TCTTTCTTTCTTTCTTTCTTTCTTTCTTTCTTTCTTTCTTTCTTTCTCTTCGTAACACATTTGCAAATCCATAAAAGGTTTATATGATGACAAAAGGCTGTACAGGAATACATTTTAAATTGTGAAACATCAGTACGCTTCACCATTGTTTGGCTGCGTAGGCTACAGTTGTGGTCTTATGCTTAATTTTATGCTCCATGTATCTTTTATGTCAAAACCAAGCAAAACTGTGTCCAGTCTTCATGTGGAACATCAAAAAGATACATTGTCACTGTGTCCAAAGCTATACATGTTCAATGAAGTCTTTTTAAGATTAAGAATTTAAAGCTTAAACTGTTAGTAGTTGTCATTTTAAACTGTGTGAGACAAACAGAAAAATGCCAGGTCTTTTAAGACAGCCTTTCAAATATGCACATTACAGTAGTGCGTCTCTTTGTCATGTAGGGCAATGATACACATACCCAGGCAGAGGTCATTAACCCAGAGGCTAACTTCAGCCGTGGCCTTCACCTCACCTTTTATCTTTGTATTTTGCTAGTAATAGGCAGTAAAACTCAACGTCTGGACCCTGACATCATTGTACACACATCACACACATTATTGTGCCTCAGTCATAGTCATTATGGTTTATAAAAACGTCTTCTTATCATCAACAGTGTGAAATTTCTCTCTGTAACGGTTAATACCCAAATCAGTAGAAACCGCTTAGCCCAAATTATATTTGTATCAATAAATGTAATCCATCAGAAAGTGGATATGCAACAGATGTGCATATACAGTCAGCCTGACATTACTGATTAAACTGGCACTCATAATACTCAGTAAGAAGGAAAAAAGTCATTATGGAGTGGATGACAAAAAACAACTGGAATTGACAAAATATTTTTTCTGCTTTGAAAGGAGACATATTGATAGTTATAGTTAATTTTTGGTCCTTGAAGTAGTCACATATCTAAAGGCTACTACAAGAGCAGCTGATTTTTGTCCCTGAAAATTGACTGTCATATTTCAAAGTTATTTTTAGAACATTGAAATGCAACAATCAACACAAATTATAAAATGGACAGAATTACTTGTTAAAACAAAACACGGGGCAGTTACTGAAGCAGTGTTTTTGCATCAACAACAGAATCAATAATCCAAAACTACAGTGTGAAAACAACATAACTTTAACAACAAAAAAAAACTGTCCAATCCTCTCACTAACTATGTTAGTTGAAGAAGGACCAAAATAAGGGTACAGAGAACATTTTATTTCTTAACGTGCTGGTTAAAATCAGACAAAGTAGTCTTGCCTGGTTTGATTCTTCTTTTATGCGTCTTGTGTATTCAGTCACTATCAAAATGTCAAGGTACACTGTTTCATTGTTGTCCCACGTTCTGAGAGTTTGGATTCCTATGAGCTCCCTGTGTCAATGACCTTGTTAATTCTGAGCCAGGAAAAGATCCACTGGGTTAGCTGCACGCAAAGTCAAACCCCTGACATGATGTCCATGACCATCACGCATGTGGCTACACTGGCGGTTCAGTGACCCAGTGGGAAAAACGCAAGAAGAGAAGGTAAAGTCAATAGAGGCTCTGCTGGAAGCTTTGGAAGAAGAGCAGACTGACTTTTAGGTTACGTTAGATTCAGTGATGTAATCCTTCACAAGATAACTCAATAGAGGATTCATGTTATAGTCACATTTAAATGGCTGCTTAATTAGTTTCAAGTTTGTAACTTAGACATTGTAGATGTGCAGAGGCTCACCACTCTTCAGATATTAGGCATTATGTCATGTCTAACCTGAGAGTGAACTGTTGGATTTGATTGATCCCAGGAACCTGCCGTTGTTCCGTTTATGGAATGAAGGACATTTTACCTTTACTGTCCTGGCAGAGATAAGTGTCTGTCCTCTGTGCATGTCTCTGCCTGCTCCTAACCTCTATAAACACAGGCCTTATCGCAGGCATTTACAGCTGTCATCATGCTTCATGAAGAATGAGGGCTGCTGAGTGCATTGTAGGCCACTGTGCTGAGAGACTCACCTTTCTTTAGGATAATGAATTTGAATTTGTTTCCAAGTCTCGTGTAATTGATCCTCTGTGGAGACTGTTCTTCTGTGACTGGACGGTACTGAAATGACCCACATTGGAAGGCAAGAAATGGACCGTAACATATTTTCCATACAATTCTTTCCAGAAATTAGTAAAGAGGATGATGGGGTAAAGCAAACATTCGGTGACTGGTGCTGCCAGTTGTGTCTGGCTTCTAATCTCTTTATTGCAGTCATCTACTTTGTGCCTGACCTTGACTCCACACTTGGACGGTTCACTTCTCCCATTCTTTGACTCTTAAAAGCCATTTGGCAGCTGTCTCACCTGACATAAATCCTGAACTACATTATATATCATATATTCAGTGGCTTCATAGTATAATTAATTTTTCTTCTTTATATTGTTATGTCCAAGCCAAATGAAGTCATCAGTCTGCCGTTTTGTTTATTTGTGGCAGTTGTAAAGTCATTTACTTATCAGTCTCAAACCTTGGTGCCAGGCACTGAGAGGATAGAAGATAACAAATTGGGATGGTGGAAAATTGTACAAACTTTTACAAACACCATAAACTGGATTTCCATCATTTTGCTGGCCAATTTTGATGTAGTTTCAGAGCAAAAACAACCATCAAATCACAGTTCTCCACTGAGGGCGAACACTGAAGGCTATCAGTCTCATTCTGTAGCTCTGAGAGCCGCTGATGTTGTCAGCATCACCTGTGATGCACTCTTTTCCTGAGGAGGGTGCCATGAAAGCTGCTCCATAAGCAGAAAATTCACTGGCTCCTTTGGTAAATTTGGCCTCCACCTTGTTTTGGTGGGCCATCAGTTGTTGTGTATACAGTTGTATTGTGACAGTGTCTTCTGCACCCGGACAAACCAAAGCCGGCTTTGTCTAAACCAACCTGTGTTTAGAAAAAGAAACATTGGCTTGTTTATTTTCTTTTCTGGTCTGAAGAGCATAAACTAGACCAGAATTAGCATCATAAGGTGGCTGCAAAAGTCACCAGGTTCAGTGTTTGACTTTACCAAAAAATGAATAAAGGTCACTAACTCTGACTTAAACTCAGAGAGGAATGCTCAAACAGACACAAGTTGACTTGGCCCCAATGAGAGAGCAAAATCTGGTGAGTTTATCGGGATTTGTATAACAGGGCATCATTTTCAAAGAAACCAAAGTCAACTCAAGCGAGAACTCAAGCAAATTTTTTTTTTTTTACTGAAAACCTTTAAAAACGTGTCTAAAAAAGCTGCATGTGACTTAGTCAGAAGTCACATGCTCGGAAGCACGGAATGTTACAGGGACACTATTTGGGAATCATTTTTTGGGGTGTAATGTGTGCATTCAGAAACGTTTCACATATTTGCTTTAGACTGGGACACCCATTTCTGACTGTTCACAACAACATTAAATCAGTACAAAGCCTTACTTTGAATATCATAAAATGATGATGTGGTGTGCATTTTCTATGATAATCGTAACACCTATTTCTCCCTCACAGGTTCAGCTTTGTAGGTCATATTTTTAGCAGCTTGCTGACGTGTTATTACACCTACAAGATTAATCGTCATGATCTAAATCTAATTTTATCTTTAAGGGAGGGCGAATGAAATCTGACTTCATCCAGCCCCCCTTAACTCTGCTAAGAAATAAACGGTATTGCAAATGGATGGATGCTTCTGGATTAGCCCTATTTATTCCCCCTGCATTAGTCATGAAGACCTCACTGAGGGGTCGTTGGCCTTAATGTGGCCTGGCCTCATTCCAGCTCTACAGGTGTGAGCTGGCAGGTGCTGGGACACAGCGTGGGGCTGATTACCTTTGCAGTCCTTGGTAGCTTGGTACTGCCTGGGTTAATGACACCGACTCCAAGATAAGGCCCATCCCTTCAGATATATCCATGCCTTACTCCGGCAGCTACTTTTCATTGAGAAAAGTTTATCAGCTTTCCAGGGTTATTCCAGCAGTCACCTGGCAGAACACACAGTTGTTTTTTTTACACAGAGTCTATTGACATTTCAAGGTCCACCTAGCAGGAGGGGTTGGCCCTATAAATAGAGGGAGAGACGGGGAAAGAGTACTACTCAGCCTCATAAAGAGGACCCGCGTTTAACAAGAGACAATCCTACACGGAAAAGATGGACAACAGATGTAGCTGTTTGTCTAAGGGTGATAGGCTTTTAAACCCTATCCTCTACAACATCCTTTGCCAAATGGATAGCAGCCGACCAAGCCAAGAGCACCTCAGCTACAACTCGGTGCCTCACAGATGCAACTGTGAGGTGCGACGGACAGTGTGCCTGAAAACGCCAACGGAGACCTGCAAGGAGGCTTCAGCAGTTCTGGTCAAAACGGTCACTTTCATGAAGAACTTGCCCGCTTTTAAGCAGTTGCCACCGAGCGACCAGTTTTCTCTTCTGAGAAGCTGCTGGGCGCCGCTTTTCATCCTGGGCCTGGCTCAGGAGCGCGTGGACTTTGAGGTAGCAGACGTTCCCGCCGACAGCATGCTGAAGAAGATTCTCACCAACCGCCAGCAGAGCCCCGAGACGGAGCGGGAGCAGCCCACCATGGCGGGCGTCAGCAAGCTCAAGTCCTGTCTCAAAAAGTTCTGGAGTTTGGATTTGAGCCCTAAGGAGTACGCATACCTGAAAGGGACTACGATATTTAACCCAGGTATGTGTGAACGGGATCGAATGGGAAATGAAGTGTGTGGAAATGCGTTCTGCAGGCATGTGACCCCGTTTTCCTATTTTTTCTGTCGACAGATGTACCAGATTTAAAGGCGGGCTTGTTTGTGGAAGGCCTGCAGCAGGAAGCCCAGCATGCCCTGAGCAAGGTAGTCCAGCTCCTGCACCCCGGACATCAGGAGCACTTTGCACGAATCCTGCTCACCGCCTCCATGCTGCAGGGCATCACACCCAGCCTCATCACTGAACTCTTCTTCCGGCCCGTGATAGGCCAGGCCAACCTGCTGGAGCTGCTGGTCGACATGCTCTTTGGCAGATAGAGGTGGACCTCGTGTCAAACTGTCACGGGAAATGATGAGTCCTTTGAGTGACGATGCCTTTGCAGTGTCCTCTCATGATACATTGGGATGTTCGACAATGTTGGTGTAAAGCCAACGAAAACCTGTTTGCTGAGCATGGGAATGGGGTTTTTACTTACATTTACACTGAAACTGAGGTCACTTTAGCAGATTTGCTCCACTGAGCCAGGAAGATGCTGTGCTTTGCTCTCACTATACTTGATATTACATGAAAGAACATTTCTGCTTTTTATTGATGTAAATAACAGTTGTTTTCATTTACAGAAAACATCAAATAAATATATTTTTGTACATGGAAGTAATGGAGAGTCTCTGTCTCAGTTTTGTAACCACCCTCACTCCTAAAGTTCATTTGGCAGATCCATCATTTCTGACATGTTGTGATCCCGCGCGGCTGACCAAATTCTTTCAAAAATTCCAAAATAACCCTATAACCTGAAATCCAGATCTTGAAACAGACAATATGACTACCATGAAATATTTGGGAGAATGCAACAATTACAGTCACAGTTTGTGAGGAATATTTGTTCATTATCATGCTTACCAGGCCAGAACAGTATAGATATTCAGTATAGATAGTCAGATATTACAAAAGTGTCATGTGAGTATGATTAGAAGCTTATTTTTTCAGACTAAGGACTTTGTACTTGTTTGAAATTCATAAAGGGACATTTTGATATAATAAGGAATTTGGAAAAATTCCAGTCATGTTTTATCAATGTATTTTTGCGATGATGTTTTGTCTCCCTCTCATGGAAAAGTAGTGGAAGTCAGGCATTTACCAAACAGATTTAGTTTCAAGTTGGATTTTATTGGATTGGATAAATTGGATTTAAAAGAAAACTTATATGAAGCAACCAGAAAGTTAGTCTTTCACTATATATGAGATGGGGAAAAATACACAAATGCTTAATACTGCTTAACGCTTTTTATGCTATCATTTATTTGAAACAAGCCCTCCTCATTCATCCACTGCTGGTATGTTAGTTGTGAAACAGAGTGCCTGAAGTACACCTTCTACAGGTAAAACAGGAATATGGTGGTGGGGGCAGAGAGATCCGGGGTTTCACAGGAAACCAACAAACAGAAAGGTGTCCGAGAGGCTCCCAATCGGGTACAGGAGACGTTTGTTAGTCGCTGTTGATGTTGTTGCTCCGCTGAGCTGCGATTTCACTTCCCATTTGTCAGCAAATATCTTTTCATGTTCTTCCAGGGGGAATAAAATCATCTCAAGAATGTTGAGGCGCCGTTTATTTCCATCTGATTTTTTTTGCAAATCACAGCTCACCACAAGACCAATGTAAATATCAGAACACTACCTGTTAATAAGAAGTTAGAACCAGGTGAACCTAAAAGTCTGCAGATCCATATTCTGCAGGCTGTACAAACAAACCTGTAACTTTAAGGAGCGACATTCAAATCTGAGATGTTCGATAAGATTAGATGCAAGAGATATGTAGCTCAGTTTGCCTGACCTAAAGTAAGCAGGCTGCTGAAATCAGGCTGGTTTTCTGCATGGCTTTCTTCCTTTAGCAATAAATAACAAAGACAAAACCCGGGATTTTATTTCCTTTCTGTTAGAACCAGCCAAACAAGTTTTTCCTTTTTGCTGAGGGCGGAAAAAGCCTGCCTGCTTCAACACTGACCTCAGGGAGATGAGCCTGACAACAATACCAGCGATAAAAGGAACCTGGTGAATACGTTTGACATGTGAGAATTACATTTGAAAAAGTGTTGAGGTTACGCAAATTTCTTTAAGAATTTTGTCTTGAGTCGGTTTACACAAAGTTGAACTGAGAGCTCTGCAACTACAGAGCAGCACGCTTTAGAATCCCACCTCAAAATAAATGAAAGGCTAAAACAAGCAGAGATGTTTATTTTGTTAAAAATAGAACTTATCGTATGGCAAAAAAGACATAATGGCACAGAGTAACATTTGTTTAAGAGTATTTACATTAAAAAATATGGCTTAAAGTGTAGTCTTAAGGTAAAAAAACAACTTAATGCATCTTAGAATACGAAACAAATGGGCAATAGGTTCATACATACACAACATGCACAGTAACTTTAACCAAAAACAAGGACAGGAGTGAGGACGGTTTGTTTTACCATCAGCCTCTGACCCCCAAAAAGCTGAGTTCTCTAGTTTTCATTTTAGCGTATTCACTTTTCATTTTCTCAAAAACCTAAAACACTGCAGACAGATGAATAAAAACTAACATCCCTGGGTGGACAAAAATACAAAAAATAAAATCTTGACCGCGAAAAAGAGAAGTGTAACCATCCAGGTGAGAAGGTGCTCCACTGTAACAGCATAAATGACAACAGAGGGGTGAAACGGGGGACTGTGGAGACAGGCGTTGCCAGCATGGGCAGGCTGGTCTCTCTGTGGGATCTTCAGATGAGCAGGGGAGCGCCTGAGGAGTCCGTTTCAGTGTCGTGGTGGTAGGCCGAGTAGGCCATGGCAGAGCTGGAGGAGTGTACTGGAAAAGGAGAGAGAAAAAAAACAAACAGATTTGCCACAGTGACAGCTAAACCAAACACAGCAAAGCAGACGTTACACTGGGTTGACAAAAGGTGGGAACACGCAAACAGCTGGGATTCAGCCGGGCTGCCGACCCATTCCCAGCCATCGGTGTTAGAGTTGTAGAAACACGGTGTGGTGTACCCTCATTCAAAGGCATGTAACAGGACACCCTGTCCTAACAGCGTCCTCACACAACAGCAGAGGAAGGGGAGGGGAGGGGGGGTGCTGCTGCTCTGTAATCCATCTGTAATCCAAGTTGTTTGCTAAAATGACAGAATAAATCACAGGAGGCATTTGGGGGCATTTATTTAATGTGACTCCATCTGCTGCTTTGTAAGGGGTTTTAGAATGAACTCTGAGCCGGAGGGGTGGGGGGGGGCAGTCGGACAGGCAGGTATTGGGTGGCATGGGGAGGAGGAGGAGGCCTCTAATGAAGCGGGGACTGTAATGTACAGAGAAAAGGCTCGGAATGCAGGGCTTTTACAGTTGGAGGGGAGGTATGTTGGTGGAAAGCAGAGAAGGAGGTGAGAAAATGCCTCCAGCTGCTGTGGGCACAATGGGTCTCTGGGCCTCAGCGCCGGGACGCCGACTCACACACTGGAGCCATCATTACAAATCCAGACTTCCTCTAACATATCATTCAGTACCACGATGTCTTAATGACTCGTTTGAGTGTTTAGCTCAAAAGATGGCACAAAGGGGACTGTGCGTCTCCTAAGTGCCATCTCCCAGCCGTACTCACTTTTCCCGCTGCAGTTCCTCATTTTCCTCGCCAGCTCGTCTGACGGCGTCTGCTCGGACACTTTCACCTCTGGAACTGCAGGGGGGCGGGCGACAGGACAAAAAAAACAACAACAGGTGAACACAGGCAAAACGGGCACCTCACCAGACGTTTCCAGGCTCCAGTTATTGGAGCTGGTCATCCCTGGTGTTTGGCTGGTGTTTTTGTTGACAGCGGGGAACGTGCGTCAGCTTGCCTCAGATTAACTGATTTCTATTAGGCCGCTGCCTCCAAAACGCGACTGAGAGGCAAACAAAGGCAGCAGCATTCCAGCAGACGCTGTGAGTCATTAGGGGAAGACCTAATGACACCAGCGCCGCAGCCAGATGGAGCTGCAAATTGGCCTCCGACGCTATCATTAGAGCAGAGGGCGCCCGCTTATCGACGCTAATCAAAAGAGCCGAGCGGTGTTCTTACAGTCGCTGCTCATGAAGGTGTGGGTCATGGTCTCGTTGCCGCTGTCGGGGAGGGTCCCGTCGCTGCGGCCGTTGGGGCGCTGCCCCGCTGACTGGTGGCTCTTGTTCTTCTTGCCCTTGCGCGTGCTGATGCGGATGACCCCGTGCACCAGCTTGCACTCGGCCTCCTGCTCCTCCAGGTTGTAGTCCTGGGCGATGCTGTAGATGAGCTCGCTGATCTCGTTGGTCTTGCGGGAGAACGAGGAGTCGGAGGTGCACTTGGCCAGCTGGTCGATCTGGTGCAGGGCGTACAGCTCCAGCAGCTTCTTGGTGATCAGGGAGTCAATGTCCGTGCTGTCGCATGGGTCGTCCAGGTCGTAGTAGTCGTTGGACAGCAGGCTGGTGTTGCTGACCGGACGCTGGGTTTCTCCCTTGACCGGCGCGCGGCTCCGCTTGGGGGCATTGACCGGGTACTTCACGGTCTGCCCGCCGATGCGCACGTCCGGGTAGCGGAAACTCTCAGTCATTTGAAGCTTAGTGGGCTTACTAGTTTCCAAGGGGATGTCGCAGGTGGGGTTGGTCAGGGCCATGCCGTTGGGAGGGTGAGGGTCGGCGCTCGCTTTGGGGGGGTGGTCCGTGGAGCTCTCGTTGACCGGCAGGCACGGCTCCCGGCTCCCGTAGAAGCCGCAGGTCAGCACGCAGCAGAGGAGCGCCTTGCAGCCGCTCCAGCCCATGGAGGCGCAGGAGCCGCAGGCGGGCCGGGCGGCCGGAGGGCCGTCCGCCGACCCCGGAATGAATCCTATAGTCTCCGAGCCCCGGGCGGCGCCGTTCCGGGGGTGACTCCTGCCGCGGCCATACTTGTTCTCCGAGTGCCGGGAGTGGTCGGCGTGGTGCTCGCGCAGGTGCTGGCCGTGAGGGTCCTTGTAGGAGTCTTGGCTGGCCGTGGTCTCCCTGGATACGGAGCGGCCCTGTCGGTACTGGTCCCCCCTGGAGCCGGAGGTGTGGCGTTTGTGGTGGCGGGACGTCTGCGGGGCCCCTGCGCTGTGGCCAGGCATGGCTCAAGGTGCCCGGGACCTGGTGCAGTGGAGGAATGTTCACAAAGACTCACAACACTGAACGCGCCAGGGCAAGTCAAACCAACACAAAGTGTTCCGTAAAAAGCTCTGGAACTCAAAATCTGAGAATGTAAACACACTACTAAGTGGCCTGAACACTGATTTGGCTGAGTTTGACCGGGCCCTCCCTTCCCTTCGGGCTACAGTGCGCGTGCGGTGTCAACAGCAGCCACCGTTCAACGTTTAACCGCTTTTCATTTTACTTGCAAAAACGCCCACTTACCGCATAAGAAGAAACAGACGCGGGTGTGTTTGCGCCCTGATAACGTGCCCCGCGAGCGCACGGCGGAAGTCTCGCGGAGGAAAAACGCGAGCGCCTCGAACTGGGAAAAGAAGGACGGATTTCGACAGCCCGCCGATTTTTTTTTTTTGTTAGTTTGTTTTCCAGGTGTTTCCAGGTCCACCGGAGCTCGAAGCCCGTCAGCTGGAGGAGGAGGAAGAGGAGGAGGAGGAAGGCGGCGGCGGTGGTCCGGCGCCAGGACCGAGCCACAGCGCGAGGCTCATTCGCGTGTCGCCCCCCGTGAGCGAGGCGGCCTCTTCCTGTTACCGAGAGCTCCGCCGGTGTTGGGCTATCACCTGCGGCTACAGCTAGTCCCGGAGCCCAACGCCTCCCACAGGTGGGCGGTGACGTCACGCGCGCAGGTAAAAAAAAAAAAATGAGGGCGGGGAGGGGATTTTGGAAAAGTGAGGCATCCAACTTTTAAACTCGCGGCCAACAGGTTGTTTTTCCAAGAGCGCAATGGCCACTTTGCATGTGACATTCTGAGATACTGACGGACGCAACTCAGGCTGGAAACATCACACACACACATACACACACACACACACACACACACACACACGCGTGTGCGCGCGCGGGGGGGTTCACAGCTGTGCAGCCAGCAGGTGTTGCCAAACAGTATATTTCATTCCGCCCTATTTTCCCCGCGCGGAGACACTTAATCACACAAATAGAGAAACAGCCGTTAACCCGTGCAGCGCACGCGGGAACAGAGCACAGGACAAAAAACGTTAGGTCGACAAATGCTTTATTTAGGTTTAATGCACATTTTTGTAATAACAGCCGTATTATATGCTCCTTTAAATACATTAAGGATAATACAGAGCCTATTTTAAGGACTAACAAGCACATTACAAGCTATAAACCTATTTTTTTCCTGTTTTATATGATTAAAACCTAAAATGACATCTTACTGAGTGACTACATCAATGAGCATTCTAATGTTTCTGAGCTGCCATCTGGTATTCCTAGCTGCATGTCTTGATATTTACAGGGATGTCAGAAAGTAAAAAGAGGTAACATCTTTACTGCTTTTGTTAAGTTTGTTTTTAAAAAAAAGGTAGAAACATAAAACTAAATTTACAGAATATCGTTCCTGTGCCTCAACATAAAGGCACTTTTTTTTAAAGGTTAGATTTACAGGTTGTAACTGCAGTTTATAGAGAAAAGAAGGCTCCGACTGTATTCAGCATAAATTCCCTGACACAACCTAATCAAACCCACACCTTTTTTCCCTCTGCTCTGATCATAGGTTCAGAGGGGTGGAGGTTGTCACCTGCTTGGCTTGTGTCTCTGTGGGATCTTGGAGGATGCAGGTATCATTTGGCAGCTGTTGTGACAGCGCTAATCCTACCTGCCTTTGCGCCCTGCCGCCGCCTGCTGAGATGTGCCCCAGCCGGGGGTCGGAGTCAATCTCGTAGCGGTAGTGATACCCTTCAAGCACATCCCGACACGCATCTCTAGTGTCTGTGATCCACCTCTTCATACCGTTGCGATTCAAGTAGAGCACCAGCAGGAAGACCATCCCCACCAAGCCCAGCACCAACCCCAGGAAGACGTAGGAGGTCTGCAGGGTGAGGTCAGTCACCTCCGCCAGGCTTGGAGCCACGCAGCCGACGGCCTGGACGGTCAACCCTCGCAGACTGAGGCCGTTTAATCCCGCCGGCGAGGCACATCTGACCGCGTCCACGTCTACCTGAGCTTGTGATTGATTCAACCAAGCGACGAAGTCGTGGATCTCACAAGAACAGGAGTAGGGGTTGGCGCCCAAGCGGACTCTGGCGCCGCCCAGCCTCCGCAGCTCCTGCAGGGCGTCCGCCCCAAACGTCTGGAAGCCGTTGTGCCTGAGGTCCAGCATCTCCAGTCGGTCCAAGCCGGAAAAGGTCCCGCCGTAGATCGCCATCAAGGAGTTGTTATGGAGGAGCAGCTGCTGCAGACTGGGGACGTGGGAGAACATGCCGGGCGGCAGCAGGGCGAGGCGGTTCCCGGAGAGGTCCAGGCGCAGGAGTCCCCACAGCCCGCCCCAGCGCAGGGCCGTGGTGAGGTCCGTCAGGGCCGTGGCGTTGTGCAGCGAAGAACTGAGGTTAAGCTCCTGAAGGGGGCTGCCGGGGATGCTGAGAGCCTCCGGGTGGACGAGGGCCAGCTGGTTTCCACTGAGGTCCAGGAAGCGAAGGTTGAGGAGGGAAGAGAAGGTGCGGGATGCCAACTCTGTGATCCTAAAGGAGAAACTCAGGCATTTCAAATACTTTCCATGCTTGAAAAGATGTAAAACATCTCACAAATAAGAGCCACACTCACAGAAATATGCATTTACTTGTTTATTATGTTGAGGCGTCCAAACAGGGGTTAACGGACATGACTGAAAAACACTGACATTCTCACCTGTTATTGCTGAAAATAATGTTTGTGACATTCCCCAGCTCTGTGAAGGAATCGGGTCCAATTTGGTGAATGTTGTTTCCCGTGATGATGACGGTCCGGGTATATCCTGGAATATCTGGCGGCACTTGGAGCAGAGCCTTGGAAACACATTTCACTGTGCGGGTGAGGGCGAAGCACTCGCAGCCAAAAGGACACTCCAAGCACTGGCAAGGTGCAAAAAGAAGAACTCCCAAAAACACCAGGGCTGAAAAATTGCACATGTCTCAACAGCGGCCGTTGTGGAAATTCAAAGAGAAAAAAAATGTTCAGAAAGGAGAGTCACAGCCGAGGAAAAGGCGACCTTTTGTTCTCACGCACTGCAGAGGGGGGGAAAGAGCGCTCGTCCCAGCGTCGGTCCCTCCTCATCTGCTCCTCTGTGGCAATAAGGGTTCCTGTAAACTGATGGTCGTTCATATCACACAGAATCTGCTCGATGAAAAAGGTACGTGGTTCCCTTAAAGGCACAGAGGACGATTAGGACGTCCACAGCCTGCCCATTTACAGCCCTCTGCCAGGGGAAGATGCCAAAAACACAAAAACTTGCAAAAATAAACAAAATCACTTACAAAATTGGGTATTTTAGACTGAGAAAAACACAAAGACAGTAAATGATGCCTATTTAGGGTAATAAATAAACAAAACAATGATTATGATCATCCATAAAGAGATCTGAGAGCATTCAGTTTGTATCTGGAGGTAAAAGTATAAATGAAAGTAATAATAAAAACAGTGAACACATCATTTTCAAGTGGAAAAGGGATTAGAGGGAGCGTCATGTCAGCTTTTCACATGCCGGTCCTCCATCATTCTATCTTTGGAGCGGCTCGTATCTCTCAGACAAATAATTGATGAGTGCTCTCAGCATTAAGATTTTGTGAATCATCTTTGTGGCGATTCATCACTGAAATCAGCATTAGCCGGACAGGAAGCGCATTCATCACCGACGCTCATGAAAAATGCAGCTCCGCGACTCGGGACGGATTTCTCTGGTGCGGTGCAACATATTTGGAGAACATCTTCACCTTAAGAGCCACCAGGAGAGAGAAACACGGACCCCGCCGCGCCAACGGGGAAAGACATGGAAATAGACCTGACTAATACAGAGGGAAATCAGCTAAGAATAAAATAACAACAAACAAACATGGATTCAGTCCAAATAAAGCAAGTGGGAGCTTTTGTCCTTGACTGCTCTCCCACAGACTACACCGCTACATCACAACGCAGAACAGAGCCCCTCATTTAGAGTTTTGTTTTTACCATGACCGAAAATCCTGAATGAAAAAAACTAAACCAAAACACGTTTACATGGTGGGCAGACAAAGTGCGGGCCGGGCCGGGCCGTGTCCCCGCGCAGCCGGCCGCTCTACTGTAGGTGGAACGTCAGCAGGAAGGTGGCGAGGACCCCGAAGAGCATGACGAAGGGCAGCCAGGTCTTGATGAACGCCGCCCAGCTGGGGGACAGAAAGAGTGTGTCAGTGAGGGCGTACTGCGGGGGTTTTTGCCGGACGTTTCCGGTCAGCTCGGGCCAGGCCAGGCTAGGTGTGCCGGGCAGTCACACGTTCCGGCCACTCTGGCTCCACGCGGCTTCCTCCCTCACCGCTGCCCGGCCCGGCTCTCCCCCCCCGTCCACTCCAGCCCCGGGAGCCCCAAACGAGAGGTGACCTCCAGCTGCTGTCAGTGATGGATTACACCCCCCCCGTCTGCGTAACGGACGGGAGCGAACGCACACTGTGACGCCAGCGTTCTCTATGTGGGTCAGCGGAGAATAATGAGGGGGCTTCTCTGAGCCGTTTGTCCCCCCCCCCGCGGCCACAGTCCTGCCGCAGAGCACCTCACCACCGCCCGCCCGCCGGGTACGGAGGGAAACAGGAGTTTGTTTGGGACGGGTGTGTGAAAAGGGATTCCTCCACTGTCACAGTGACCGATTCTGTTCTCCTGAGTGCTTAGCGACGGAGGGTGTTGCCACAAAGATACCAGGACAAGGAAATTAAATTCAAAGCTATGTGTTCAAGTCCTGCTTAGAATTAAGGACTCACTGGTGATCGGTCATGTGACAGCACCATGAGAACAGAGGATTCCAGCTAACGGGACTTTTAACAAGACTTTAACGACCAAAATGAACAAATCAAAATGGTAAATTTAATGTAACACATTGTTTTTTTTTAATGACTGTGTCTTTATAAAAGGAAGAACAAATGTTTTCCAGCTTCAATTTAAATCGAACCCATGCCACCTGCACAGGAGCACAGAGCCTCCATCAGTGGGGCGTCCATTTATCCCAAAATGTGCCCAGATGAGCAAACATATTACTCCGATCGTCTCTTTTTAACATCCCTCCCTTCTCCAGACGTCCCACTTTCTGGGACACGGTGCTGACTCAGGTTCAGGATGAGCTGAGAGGAATTCTTTGATACTTTATAATATTTTCATGAAATAATGATCAATTTATCAATATTTGATGTGGTTTTTATTTTCTGCTTGAAAGAAATGTCCCCAAAACAGCACAATGGATTCACGGCTCAAGCCAAAAAGAAAAACAAGCACTGTGAATTTCTGTGAATGAGCATGAAGTCTTTACCTCACATGTTTCCCATGAATGAGAGACAGCAGGCACAGGTTGACCATGTTCCAAGAAGTGCTGTTGTCATACCGCATGAGGTTGAGGGCCATGGCCACGTGGGAGTGGCAGTTATCCATGCACAGGTTGTGCTTTGACGGAACAGGAAAAAAAAAAAACATTAGTAATGATTAGTGAGATGTTTTTAAGATGAAAAGGCTTCAGTGCAGTCTTACCGGCCTGCATTTGTATTCCTCAGAGGCATCGTGAACCGCCTTGTCCCACGTTGCCGGCCCGTTACCACAGACTTTGTCCACATCCAGCCTCCAGTATCTACACATTACAGGACAGTGGGTCCGGTTAATTTGACACACACATGAGGCAACAATTCAATCTGCAGTAATAAACCTACTTAGTCGGATGGCCGAACCCCATGTTGTCCTCCTGGAAAGAAAACATCATCATCATTTTTAAATCACCCACAATAAATGTGAACACAGGTGAAATTATGTTTACTAGACTGTAAAACTGAATGTCTTTTTTTTGTGCTTTTGTTTAGTTTATTCACACATCATTCAGGAAATGCATGATGTATATAACAAGTAATCAGATGAATGAATGGGTTACTACAGGCAAACTGTTGAAAACTCTCTCTCACTGGATATTGGCCAGATAATTATATCAATATGGACAACATAAAGATATATAATAGACACACAATAAACAGTATTCTGGTTACATTGGATTTGCAACGAAAAACGATAACAGTGACATGAACAGATGGAACAGCGTGCAGGTATCCATGCAGTTATTAATCACCACATTAGGGATGAGTCCATTTCTAAAAATACACCAAATATCTGCAAGTGGATACAATTCAGAAACAACCCGTTCGGTCAGGGTGGGATGTCTGGGAAGCAGCAGATAAACTCACCGAAACAAAGTAGGATCCTGCAAAATCTCGTATGACTCCAGAAGAGGTGCATATGCCCATGTGACCGATGAAAGGCAGCACCCACCTGCGGGACGGACAAGTCAATTCATGTTCGTTTGGCTGTCTGACAAACACAAATCAGTGCGTTTAGCACACGAAAGAGGAATGGAAAATGATCTAATGGCCGAGCAGTTGTAACCTGCCGCCACGGCTGTTAGCTGTGACATTTGATGCTAATGCTAACCACAACAACAAGGACAAGGATTTCTTCTCTTACGATAGAATAGGAATGGGTGTCCAGACAATGCAGTACGGGTAGCGGCTGCATTTTCTGTCGTTTTTTAGGAAATCACCGTGGTAGTTAATCATTATGTCGGTTTCATCCACCTCCGCCATCGCAGCCTGCAATAACGGGGGATGAGGACCGTGACGCACAGGCGGCGCCGGTCAGCGTAGACACGGTGCAGCATTCCTGCAAACGGGCTGTCCCTGAACGCATCACCGCATTAGGTTGTGTTGCTTGTGTTTACTTTGTCGTGTGGAACGGGGACTTTTGTATATATTTTTAATATGCAAATTAATTTCTCAACAAAGTGGCGAAAATTTGATTGTTTTTCCCCCATCCTACTTTGTCCATTTTTTTGTCATTTCGTTTCTATTGCAACCATTTAATTAATGGTAAAACATGTACATACATCAATACAATACATCACTAAAACAGATTCAGCATACAAATTTAGCTTTTTTTTGCCCTCCAACCCTGTGATGTAATTCTTTAAGTGACATTTCAGAGACAGTGACAGAGTCAGTCAGCATTAGCTCTAATATGCCCACAACCCTGGAAGCTGGGTCACCTCATTACCACAGTATGTGGGCCATGAGATGCTCCCCCCAGATTAGTCTTGCTTGTGGTTTGTGGAAGCTCACCTGTGTTGTGCGATCGTCAGCAGAAGCAGGGAGGAGAGCAGACACTGACAAATGAGCATACCTCAGACTCACCCACAGTACATCTTCCTAACCCAGATAGTGGGGTGTCTTTGGTTTAGAATAAAAGAAGCAAACAAACCGCCATCAATGGAAGAAGAAAAAAACGTGATAACAAGGAGGTGTTCAATAATTTTATTTTTTGTTTTGTTGCAACAAATGTTATTCCTCAAAGAAAAACAAATTAATGAGCAAAGTAAGAGGCATGGAAGTCTAGTGATGCATGTTGCTGAGGACCCATTTGTTAACATTATACTATGAGGGGGGGAAAGAGAAACACAATGAGCTGCTCTCTGAGCACCAGATGGAGTGTGGCTGTGCCCTTTTTTCTCCACCCCTCACAGCTACGGTTAGAGGAGGCTCATAAAAGCTGAACACCTGACTGCAGATGAGCACTACTGTTAGAGCCATGCAGCCAGCAACCTTATCACCACCAAATACTTTGCGCCTGGTTGTCATACAACACAAATCAGCGAGCGCGTCCCACTGAAACACCCAACAAAAGTTTGACACCGACACTTCATCTCAAATGGTTCTGCATGTGTAATGGGACTAAAAGGAAAAAAAAAAAAGGTATTAGCTAATGATGTTCTTTAACAAATACGTCATCAGTGCTTCGCTGATATGTCAATTATCTAAAGTCGGAACAGCTGTTAACTAAAAGTAGCCAAAGTAATTTAAACGAAACAAAGAAACCAACAGTAATCCTTGGCTCAGAAAGGATAAATGGCAACCTTTGGCAGAAGAAACCCCTCGTTTTCCTGACACTTGTAAACCTTAACAAAGCTTCTAAGTACATTTCATTGGAGCAAAAACGTTCACAATTTGAAGTTACAAATAATTTTAGGCTTCCAAAACTCCAAATGAGAATAGGACTGAGTCGAATTTAGTGGGAATTCCATGTGCGGGCTGTCTGAGATGTGTGGGCACTGTAACGCGCTGCTCCGTCCATGGAGCAGACGGAAGGTGCAGCACAGCCCTGCTTTGGCCTGTGATCTGCTCCTCCACGGAGACACCGGCTGTGGGGCCGCAGCGACCCCACACCGCCTCTGCTGTCCAACGTAAACCTCAGGAGTGGTTGAGTGCTTAACTCCTCCTTCTTTGTGAGAAGCTGGGAGTGACATGGAAGGTGTCCTCCTCGAAGGCGGCCCCCTGTCACGACAGGCTGGTGGAAGGGGCCGAGGTGGTGTTGGGGCTTTGTACGGGTGAGAAGGGCGTTTGTCTCGACCCTCCATGAGTTCCTCAAAGTGGCCTCCACAGTTCCTGCCGTAGGACATGGAGGGTGATGCATAGTGCAGAGATGTGACATGACATTCACTCAATGTTCTGTCAGAGAGAGGGGCGGGGTTAGCTTTCAAACAGGAGCTGGACAGTGCTTTGCTTCCTAAATCCATTCTACAGAATGGAAAACTGTGCGTTTAGCTTGGCCTACACTGCACTTGTCCCTCTGAGCCATCTTCCTCGTCTGAACCATCTGGACCCACACCATGCAGGCCAGTGATACGGTAGCCCATGTTGAACAGCATAACCTCCAGTGGATCAGCGTTCATACGCCGCTGATTAGCTTGAGCAGCTCCCTCCATGTCCTCTACCACCCGCCCATTCTCACTGTCCGTCTGGAAAGCAAATAAAAGTCATTCAAACACCTAGTAAAGATCAAATTCATGGGGATCTGTATTTTCTTTTCCATTCTATGTAAAAATAGACAGAGGCAGTCTTTGTTTACCTCTGGTCTGGGGTTCCATAACCGGACCACAGGATCGATACCACTGGTAGCCAGGAAGCAGTAGCTGGGATGGGGCTGTAGGCAGTTAACTATGGATTCATCCCCCTGCAGAATTCTCACCAGATTAGTCGTCTCCTTTTCCCAGATGAAGAATGAGCCATCATCTGAGCCGCTCACTATGTACTGGCCTTTGCTGGAGAAAAAAAAGAAAACCATTCAGATGACCCATGCTGCTCTGACAGGAGTGTGTTGTGTCTGTTAAAATGGTTCAATGTGCTCCTTCTGTAACTCCCTTTTAGCACTTAGACTTAAAAATGTTGTTTACATTTTGTTATGGATAAATATTTTAAAGTAATGGCAATATTTTACCATCACAGAGCCTTAGATCCAAACAGCTGAGATTAAGATCATTATCATCAAGTTGAAAAAGTGGTACAGATCTGACTCATGAGTTCTGAGTAAAGGTGTTGGTAGGTGTGCCATTCCATTCTAAGAATCTCTTTCGACTCCTGTGATACGTCTGATCTATCAATGTGGACATTGATATTATGTTTTCTATAAAATTCATTTGAAGCAAGCATGTTGAATGTTTATGCTACAAGGAAAGAACTTTAACCGCCCAGTTAGAAAATAAGCTGTTTGAGGGTGAAGTTTTCAGATGAGGTTGTTTCATTTAATGAGTGGAAGGGTTCATTTACTTTTCCTACTGACAGTGAACATTTCACCAACATGGTCAGAGAGACATAAAAGCTCATAATTGCTTGGAATTAGTAGTGCAATGAGATATCTTACACCATGACTAAGTGGAAGATCAGATCACATGGTGTCACATAGCTGATGGCTGCCCCCTGGTGAGGCCTGAGCAGACTGCAAGAGAGATCCACTGACCTTCCAAAGAAGTTAGCCTCTTTGATATCCGTGGTGGTGTTACAATGACCACAGTATCTGTGCTTGTAATCAAAGCTTCGCTCTCTTAACACCAACTCATCCTCAGGAATGGATTCTTTCCGGCTGAAAGAGTGGAACCGAATGGAGCTGTTGGTCTTCTTGTCTTCTGCTGCTGACAAAAGGAAAGTCTTATTCTTAACCCGTCTTACACGCGTTCTTACTCTAGAAGCACAAAATTACAATTCTTTCTCCTGCTGTAATCCAGCAGCTTGTCCCACCTGATTCCGACTTGGAGAAAAGAGCAGCCTTGATGTCTTTGTCTAAGGCGTTGCAGGCACTGCTGTGCGCCTGCTCGGGAAACTTTCCTTTAAAATCGTCCAGACACTCGAGCGCCTCAGCCACATACTTCAGCTCAAACAGACACCGTGCCAGCCTGAAATGTGCCTTCAGATGGCTGGGGTTTAGTGTGAGAGCCTTCAAGCAATCCCTGAGTGCATCATAATGGTCTCCATCCCTGGAAATTGCAGACCCAAACATGACCAGTGAGTAACTGATTCTGAAGCGTCCAGAATAAGAGGAATCATTTCTGTGTATTAACACCTACCACTTGCGTTTCATATAAGCTGCAGCCCGGTTGCCGTATAGCATGGCATTGCAGCTGGCCTCATGAATGCCTAAACTATACAGCTGGATGGCCTGTGTCCACTGCTGGCAGGCGAATGCATCATTAGCTTGTTGCTTTATCTTCTCCACATGAGCGGGAAGCTCAGGAAAACTACAGTTACGAAGCAACAGGAAGATGACATTTTCCAAATAAATACACATGACCAGCAGGGTGAATTTGATGTGGGTAAAAAAATAAGTCACGACAGGTACCTAGAATGCAGTGTACTTCCAGCAAAATGAATGTGGCTGGACGGCAGGTGAAGCCCATTGGAAACACCATTTGTTGTTTTTCCATTCGGCAAATCTCCTGAAGCACAAGTTTAAATGAGTCAGGACAAACTGGATCAGGATTCCACCCCTTACACACTCTACGGAGTAAATCTAAAACGTAGTTTTGTGAAACAAAATGTATTGGTGCTCAACTTGCCTTTTTTTGGAAGCAGGAAGGTGTATGGCCTCTGTTTGAATGTCAAGTCAAATAGATACACCTGTAAGACCCATAAAAATACAAATAAAAACGTCAGACTTTCCCAGTGAGTGAAAGATGCAAACAAAAGAGAAGTATCATCATTTGGGTTTTCTTTTAGGACACGTTACCTGTTCCCCGCCCATGTTAACAAGCAGTTCGGTGCCATCTGGACTGAAGGTGACATATGTGGCCACCAGCACCCTGAGGCGGTTGTTATAGTCGGAGAGTTTCACTGGCAGGTGCCCTGAAGCATTCACACTGAAATGTTACTAAAGCGCACCACCTTCCACAACTCAATTAATCAGTTAGTTCTCAGTAAATGTGTTTAATCCCAGATACCTAGGGGTGTACAAACCTGCTACATAGTACTGCCCAGCACCATCTGGGATAGGCTTCTGCGTATCACAGAATGTGTGCACAGCTGCTGATGTGCTCTGACTCAAAGATTTCCTTTGAAAGGAAAAAAAAAAGACTTTAATACTTCCACTTGTGAAAACCATATCCCATTCAAGCTGATGTTGAATAATGGCACCAAAGCCCCTGTTAACCTGTGGTTATGAATCATCCTGATGTCATAGAGTCGAACAAAAGGCCCATTGGCGCCCACAGCCAGGTAGTTGTTGTCCCGTGGGTTGACTGCTAGACACTTGGCTTCAACAAGCTGACCACAGAACTCCGTCAGGTCGATCAGCACCTCAGAGTGTTTGCTGCTCTCCCGCAGGTCATACTGTCTGTGGTAAAGGAGGAGAAGGTTTGCATCAAACACAGCTGCTACTAATCCCTTTGGCTTCATCTGGGATCTAACCTGATGATGCCATCCTCAGCAGCACTCCAGAACGTGTTGGGCCACATGGGTGCTGTGGCGATGCGCTTGACTCTGTTGGTATGATCAGAAAACATGTGGATGGTTTCCTTCACTGTCAGGTCATGCACGTGGACCTTTGTGTCGGCAGCGCCCGTTATCAAGATTCGGTCCCCAGAATGAGGGAGGAACTGTGTGAACACAGCAGAATAACCTGAGATGATCCAGTTGATGGTTACAGCATTGTATGGCATTCTATTTTGAAACAATGTAAGAGCACACAGCTCTAATAACCTTAGTGGCCCCTAAACATGCAATATGCCCAGCCTGCCTCCTTACCTTTACAGAGAAAATATTTGCTGCATGACCTGTGTGCATAGTTGTAAGCTTCTTGTGTCTTAATGGATCCCAGATGATGGCATGTTGATCATCTGAGCCTGAGGCCAGCAGACTTCACACAGAAAGAGTCACAAGGAAAAGTCAAGCAAACTTCGTTTATATTTAAGACCTGGATATTCCTCTGGTCCCACTCTGGAATGACCAATAATAATGTTGTATATAACACATGCATGTTTGTCAACTATGTCAACAGTTTTCTTAGCAACAATACGTACAGATGTGATCACTAAGAATTTTAAGACTTACTCTCCCTTGTCATTCCATTCTAAACAGTTCACACAGCCAGTATGGCCCTGTTGAAACAATCAGAAAAAGACCTTACATTTCCATTTTATCCACAAACATCTAGATTTTCATGAAAAAAAAAAAAAAGGCTTTGTGTTATGAATGACCTGCAGCTCCGCCTCCAGACCAAGTCTTTTGATGAGGGGGTCGGTCACATGATGGAACCTTTGGAAACCAGATGCCCTATTGTCCTGGAGATATGAATCAACATCTCCATCAGTACACAAGAAAGGATGTAAATGTCTCTGTAGATCAACTTCTGGAGTGTCAAACATATCTAACATGGGGCACAACAAGGTTGCGCCCCATGCATTAGTTTACTTACCCTGATCTGCCTATTCAGGATATCCTTGGTGATGTTGACAGTAGTCATGACCTCACCACAAAACAAAAATTAAGTTGTGGGCTGGAGGGTTCCGGGGGTCAGAGCTCAGATGACATTTATTCCTCTTTGTGGAGACTAGGCTGTAAAGATGTTGATGAAAACTGTTAAGCATCCAGACCCGAGGGCAGTGTTTTTTGTCATTGTTGTGTGTTGACATCAGCGACTAAGAACAACGTGTTCCTCAGTTGACACACAAACATTTCAGATAATGGCAGCTGGTCTGCAGACTTTGGTCACCCCATGCCACAGACAGTGTTTGACTCCGTTACCGAACACTAAAAAAGCCGAGTTTATTAGCTGACTCGGCGCTGTTAGCAATGCAGCTCTGTCAGTAACACAACCGTCTACCTGCCACAACAAAAAACTGCCGCTGCGCTAAAGTCTCGATAACTTACCTGGACCGTTAGCCACCGACAAACCGGGCCTTTGACAGACCTGCCGTTCACCAAGTAGCTGGTGCTAGCGTATCGACGTTACCTTGCTAGCTAAACAAAACCTCCACTTCGTGTAACGTGAACATTTGTGTCGCTTTAATTGGAATTTACGACAACCAAAAAAACATCACCGTCGTCCTTTAAGTGAAAACGATTCTGTCAAGAGATGTCCATTTAAGAAAAGTAACAAATTATACTCTATGAGAGTTTGTTGACAGCTTTCACGCTAATACCTCTCTAACTTGAACACAAGCCTCCTCCCACTGGAGATAATCACACATTTGGTTCCGCCTGCTGAAACGCACTAAAACACTTCCGGTCCACGGGCGTTTCAGAATATGAGCATTCTCTCGGGGACTCGGTGCCGCAGAGAGCGAAGTGGAAATAAATAAATAAAGACAAAGAGACGGTCACCTTCAACACAACTCACAACGAGAACAAAAACCAATATAACACGCAACAATGAAAGGGAAGATAATGTGTTCAGCACTGTGTCAGAGCTTTTGTTAACAAAGGATGGTGTGCACAACAATATGCATCTGTTTTATTAATGGCGCGATTTTACATACGTCTGAAAGAAACCCAAAGTTGGAAAGCTGCTGCAATTTAAATAATTAAATACCCTACTGGTATTGTAAACTCTTAACCTGCTGTCCAAATAGGAACATTTAGTTTTCTGTCAAGATATATTTACATTGTTTGAATTACATAGAAAATTGTATAACAGCTGATTATTATTTTTAGTTTTTACTTTCAACCATATTATTGAGGATGTCTTGTGAACTGTTTACAGCCTTGTATGCGTTGTAATATCTATTTAGACAAAATATCAGGATACTACCGTTTTAACTCCTTGCTCATATATATTCCTATAAATAGGCCTACAGTGACAGTGTGTCAAAAACTTTACTGAAGAGTATGTAATTTATTATCCCTCATGTCCACACTTCCCACAACAAACCCAATTTATTGTACTCAAATTTATATTTTCCCCAAAACTGTCTGAATTCGATAATTTTGTTATTGTTTTGCTAAATATCAGTCAACAAACCACGGGCTCATTATATAAATACATATATACATTATATGATAAAGATGTTTGAAGCCGCCGAAAGATATTGACGGTTATTCTTGCCTTCTCGACACGTCTTACTGGGGTTAGTTCGTTTTGTTCTACACCAGTGTTAAGTGGTCATATGACAAACTTAACGTTAGATCCTGTTTTGTGGCGTTATTGGTTGTTTTAAACTGTGAGTCGTTAAATGCTGCCCCATAATAGCTTACATAGTACATCGCAAATCTAACCACATCGTGCACAAATATTACGAAGACGGGGAATATTCAAACGAGTTCACAAACAGCACTAGCTCTCAGAGTCTAGTTGGGGGCGCTGTAATATTAAACAAGCGACCATTGTGTCTTTGGTGGGTTGTCTGCCATCGGAGGAGATCAGTTTGCTAGCGGAACAACAGCAGCAGCAGTAGTAGTGGATGGTACAGATTCCGCATCAGTTACTGATCTAAGACCGGGATTTATTTCTTCAGTTGGCGTTTATATGAAAAAATAAGGTAAAGTATGTGCTTTATTTGCACGGAAAGATAGCCTATTAGCGCGAATTCAAGCCCAAAGGCTAACTGGCATACGTTAGGTTGACACCAACTCCTGTCGCTGAGTAAACCACAACGCTGGGTTAGCTTTTAGCTAGCTTGTTCGACGGATTTGTCATGGATTAGCTAATATGGTTAACGGTGCTGCGCATCACATAGTAAGAATAGCAATGAAGTTAAAGCTTTCAAACAACCCTGACCTGCTTTGTAAAAACTGCCTCGTTTCGCTGTGATTTAATCTGTTTAAACAAATTAATTTGAGCGGTTTCTTGTGGTTCACTCAGCTCGCATCCAGTGGTTAACGAGACATTTCCGTCAATAATTTGGTTAAAGATGGGGATTAGTTTGAATAGACAATCAAATTATTCCTCTGCGCACCAATTGCCACGGTTGCTTGCCACAAATATTGAACAAATTCCAGTTAAGGATCTAAGTATTTAAGATCGTATTCATGTTAGACATGTGGTCATGCTGTTATTTTGGTTGTTCCTCGGATAACTCCGTGGCAGACACGTTTAATAGGTAGTTAATGGTAGGAACAGCTGTTGAGCCCGGTTACTTAACTCCGCAGTTCATAATGTTCAGTACGCGATGGTTTGTTTATTGTCGCACACATGTGCCACCCTCTTTTAAATATTTTCACTGCAGTGGTGGGAGTAGTTCCACATTTGCTTCATGATGAACTATGAACTACTCTTTTACTGTGCATGTATGTACAGTCATTTATTTTTTTCTTATTTCTAACAGGAGACATTTGTATCGTATGGAATGAAAACCTCACAGAGATATATTGACTCCAATCCAGCTGGTAAGTTGACACTTGGCTGTCAGAATGTTTAAATGTTGTGTCAGCTCCTCATATATTGACATCATGCTCTGGTGACACTTTGTCTTTTTGCAAACATACATCAGCTCGGTTTGCTGACATGGAGTGGCAGACACCAGCTGTGTCAGAGAAGTTCCAAAGTCGTTTTGGCCGCCGGCCTGGAACATCAGACAGTGGGGACACTGGTCTTGGCACTTCAGCATCTGACAGCACAGAAGGTGATGACTTTTGCTTGTTCCTCCTCTGCCTGTGGCATGTGTTATGTAACAATATTTTGATGAGTCTGATTTATAGTTGCCCTCCCAGGCGTTTCATAAATGATTTCTGCTTCAAAAATGAATTGTTTATCAATAAGCGCTGTGCTCTTAGAGCTGAATGGCAGTCGATGCCCTCACACTGGGTCCGAACACCTTTAGAGTGTTGAAGTCGGAAAGACTTTTTGGCTGTTTGTCATGTTGGTCCTTAGTCTATTTATGGAACGGTAAAATGCTCGTGATCCACTGCGGAGATTTACAGAGGTAAACGAAAGCTCAAGTGAAACCTGGCCCAGGGCAGTGCCTCACTGCTGCGGAGCGCAGGCTTGCTGAGAAGATGAGTTGTTGGGATACCTCTGTTAAAGAGCTAAATGGGGGCTAGAGCTTCTCTTCGGCATTAAATGACAAATTCTTTTTTTCTTTTTTTACCAACATGGTGTTATGAATGGGAAGTGGGGATGATACATGTGTCTGCGCTCTGTGTTTGTACATGTACAAGCTCAGTCTTGGAAAAAGTAATGGGCTGGTGCTGGGTGGTGTGAAATGGATAGCCTCCTGGGATGGGTGGTCCTTTTTTCCACAGGAAACGGGGAAAAAAAAGCAACAAGTCGATGAGCAGCAATGCACAAAAAAATAATTTAGGCCTTATGCCATAGTCCCTGCCTGATGTCCCATCCTTGATTTGAAAATGCACAGAACAACTGGGACATTTAGTCTAAGCAACCGATTCTATCTATTCTTAATGAATTTGGTGTTGTCACATAAGCCTGAACTCAGGGTCTGAAAGGCAACGTTCCTAAAAAGATGGAACCTGTATTCAAGTTTATGTCATCCTCTTATTGGATATGTTAACTGTATAGTTTGAAAGATTTCTTTCCTTCCCCCTCAACTCCCCATACTGTGTTCTTTAATAGTATAGTTTGATAATATTAGCTTATTCTCATTTGATCAGTTTGTACATGGTGGTGTGGTGGTTAGGGCTACCTAAAAGGTTGAAGCTGGGGCCACTGTGTGTTTCCCTGCAGCTTCCTGCAGCCTTTTAAAAACATGCATGGAGGTAAACAGGTGATTGTAACTTTACCCTGGGATGGGGTGTGAGTGTGCATGGTCAGTTGCCTCGTTTGCTTTTGTGTGACCCTTTGATGGACAGTCGACCTGCCCAGATGTATCCTGCCTCTCGATCAATAGCAGCTTGGATACGCTCCAGCCCCCTGTGAACGTGAATTGGATTAAGCAGGTGTAGAAAATGGGTGGAAATTTTTAGATTCACCAGTTTTGTTCATGTGTTTGTAGAACAATGCATTTTTTTCCACTGAATTTTGTGGCACTTATAGCACAAGTGCTCTGATTTGTTGTCGTAATGCTAAGTTTAAAGTTGTTTTTTCATTATTTTTTAGAATATCATTAACAGGAAGAAATCCAAAAACCTGATAAAGCTCCTGCAGAGGATGGATTTGTTTGTTTTCTCCAGTTTAATACGGTGATAGTGTACACAAAGTTAGACATGGTGGCTCATGGATTTACCCCAGTGAAAACACATACAGCTGTTGCCTAGCAAAATGACAGTTAGTCCTGAGTTCAGTTAACACTGCAACTGTAACAACATTTGTTTTTGTTTGTTCACCTTGCTCAACCAAACTGAACTGGTTGGCTGTATTCTGTTCTTCACTTTCCAAAGGCAGGAATGTCTGCTGAGCAAACATCTAGGTAATGTTCTTGTTACAGAGTGGTTTCGACTTGTTTGAGCCAGTCATGAATTAGGGCAGCCTGAAGGCTTTTTATTTTTATTTGAAGATCTGTATTCTGAAAAAGTATTTTTTTTGTGTTTGGCATGCCTGTATCTTCGTTTTAGAAGGTGAAATTTTCCAGTCTGATGATGTGGGGGGGAGTTAACTACTGGACAGGGAAAAAATATCCCACTGAGGCTCTGACTTTGGATGTACACGTGTGATGCCTGTTACAGTGGGAGGAGGCAAGGTGCTTAAATAAGCGGCACCCACAGATTGCCCTGTAACTTGAGAGGCGGGCTATATATACCCCTAACCTTTCCTGTGTATGTCTGTTTGTATGCATTTGCTCAGAGCTTGGTACAGGCTGGTTTAAGACAATACAGTTTTGCTCGACTGTCAGTTTTAGCCTAACGGTCGTCTCCGTGTTGCTTGGAAATGCTGGAAAAGGTTTTTTTTTGTTTTGATTTAAAGCAGCTAAGTCTAAACTGGGCTCGGTTCAGCTTATGAAGAAAAAAAATGCCACTGCTAATTGCTTGTTTGTTGCCTTCAAGTGACTCCCCGTCTTCCTGTCCTCAGCAGGTCTCTCAGGTTTGTACTGTTGTCCAAAACAGTTGTGAAACTTGAAATTGCGTTGATGCTTGTAGAGATGTTTGGTGTTAGATGGGATCACTGTTGTCCACAAGGTTTGTGTTAACATGTTGTGATCCCTGAGTCTCAGATGAGTACAGATAATATTTTTGTGTATGTTGGGTGGAGTGGGTTCAGTGTGTACTCTGTTGTGTAATCTGACAGTACTAATCTCTGCATGCCCTTAGCGTATTGATTATGAGAGATTATCTGAAGTGGTGGCTGCTACCTCTTCAGTTCTATTGCAACAAAATGTAAACGTTTGTTCCTTTATTTGCACCTGAGGTAGTATCAGCTTTATTAAACACATGATGTATTTGTTTATGTAATACAGAACATTTTTCCTTGCTGGGGCTCAAGTCTATTATAAGCTTATTCCCTGAGTTGAGTCAATCAGAGCCTGTTAATTCTTTCACTGGTGACACCTGATCAAAGTAGGCCACCCATAAGCCCTGCTGCCTTACTTCATTGTCTGAAAATAGAGAAAATGGCCTGAAGTATTGCTCTAGATACCATGCACTGATTTTAAATAGGCATGTTTGAATATAAGATTATGTAAGTCACAGTGAAGTTTCTACTGAAATTCCTATTTTTTTTTCTCTTTCAAGATTTCTGCAGTTCCAGCAGCAGCCCATCTTTCCAGCCCATCCGCAGTCAGATCCCCATCCCCACTGCACATGTCATGCCATCCACAGCTGGCGCCCCGGCCTCTAAACCACAGTTATTTGGCCAGGAGGACTCCTTGTCCTCAGCTGAGGGTCACAGGTCTTCCTCAGGATCAAGAACCCCAAGTGGCTCCACTTCAAAGTCTTCCTCTCTTTCCAAATCATTATCTTCACCAAACTTGGATGCTCAGGCCGGTGTAGGACTCGATCATGTGGGACGCAAGCCAGACTGCCTGAGCCGCTACCGCAGCCTCGTCAACGGGCTGGACCACTCGCTGTTCCCCACCGACCACACGCGGGTGGATGAGGCCCAGAGGTTTGACACTCCCGCTGTGGAACCTACTCTAAATCAGTCAGCCCTGTTGAGCGGATTATGTCCTGATGTCAGACTCCAGTTACAGACAACTGGGATCAGAGACACCCAGGACTGCGTGTCCGAGGCCTACAGAGGAAGTATGGACCACAGCTATAAGGTTCTGCCTGAAGCCAGACTCGGCCTCTCTGGCGCGGCAGAGGTCTCTAATCAGAGGGCTGCTCAGCCTGGTGCAGCTGGATCTGCTGGAGTTTATGCAAACTCTCTCAGTCTGCAGACACAGGCCCTGCTTAGGGAGCACACAAGCCCAAAGGGTTATGATCCTCTGCGGCAGGACAGATGTAGTGAACTTTCTAGCTGGCAGCAAAAGCAGCAACTGGAAAGTTTGCGCCTACAAGTGGAACAAATGCAGGCAAGTACCCACTCTAAAAAGAATTCTACTAAATTTTTGATAAATAGATTGCATTCTGTGTTATACTTTTGTCTGTTTGAATGATATTATGTAGGCCGCCCCTTCTTGTTACCGGCAAGCTGATGAAACAGCCACATTTTTAGAAGCTAGATAAGATAAAAATCTTTTCTTTGTTTAAAATTCAATGTAGATGTAAAAATTTGGCAGAAATATTCAGTGCAAAAACTTCATATAGGTATACACTGAAAAAAATGACCACAAAACAAAGCTTACTGACACTTTTTTGGATGTATTTTTAAAGTTGAGACATCAGACTAATTGTGATCCATGTAAATCCAACCATTTATTATTTTTCTACATTCTACATTTTGAAAAGAATGTGGGAAAGCTGGCTGTGATGGAGAAATGAAGGTTCTTGTTACTGTTTTCATTAGTGTTCTGGAGGGCTGCTTTGAAGAAAAAGGGCGGATTTATGTATATCATAGGACAACTCTTGAAGAATAGTTTTCAGAGTTCATCACAGTAGTTTGTTTGTTTGATTATTTATTTATTTCAAACCTAAGTTTAAATCTAAAATGCACCTGAGCCAAATAATGAGCAAAGATTCTCAGCTGTAGCTGAAAGTTCTGCCATGACCCTAAAACTCAACTGCCCCTCTCCACTGCCTTTTTGTCACAACCATCTGTGTTTGTAAGTTTGATATGACGCCTCATCTGCTGCTACAGCAACAGGAGGCTACAAGCTCCCAACCTCATCTAATCTCCCTAGCAGCCTGTTGCCTTCGTATCCACTACACAGCTCTTTGTGCCACTCGTACTGCACAAAATACCACTGCCAGAGAAAGTTAGACTACTGGGCATATAGACGTGTGCCACACAGAGAAATGAAAGAATTCCCTGCTTGCTGCAGGGTGTTCAGGTCTGACAACACCTGTGCTTTCAAGTTCACGTTAATCAAACCTGTCAGTGCACATTACACTGAGACTCTATGGAGGTCTGTTCATCTGTCAAGGGCAGATTCTCTATGTATTCTTCCAGAATATCACACAGCTTCCTGAATGCTCTACATTATCAGATTTTATCACTGGGAAAAATGTCAGATTTACCCTGATGGTGGTATTGTATCGGTCAGTGACGTTGACATTTATTAGGCCTGTCTTTTTTTAAAATTCCAGTTAATGAATGCAGGAGTGGGTCAGTACCCACCTCTATACCCTACCCCTCTTCACTCAGAATCAGGCAAGTGGGACGCTCTGGTCAAGGCCAGTGAGAGTCTGCTGAAGGAGAAGGAGCTCATCATTGAGAGGCAAGTGTTTTTTACCAGTTTTACCCCTCATGCCGGGATGTTCTGAGGAGGGAACCTATCTCACCACCATGCTTGACGGTCCGGCCTTCTGTGTTGTTTTCTTTTGCTGGACGTAATGCAGGCAAAAGCAGCACATGGCCCAGTTGGAGCAGCGTCTGAGGGAGAGTGAGCTTCAGGTTCATGGAGCCCTCCTGGGCCGAGGGACGTCTTTTGGGGATATGTGTATGCTGCGTCTCCAGGTTAGTGGAAACACGGTCTGTCTGTCGCTGTTTGCCACACTTATGTAAAACCTCAGCTGCATCTTTTAACTTCATACTCTGGTGTTGCAGGAGGCTCAGAGGGAGAACGCATTCCTGAGGGCACAGTTTACCGAGCGCACTGACTGCGTTGCCTTGGAGAAAGCAGAGGCAGAACGCAGGCTGGGGGCGGTTGAGGCTGAAACACGGCGACTAACTGAGAACATGAAGGAAGCCTGCGAGAGGCACGTAGAGGAGATGAAGAAACAGGAAGAAAGGGTTTGTGCTTACCTAACGCCTCTTCCTAACCCAACTGTTGCAAGCGGGGAAACCACATTATGTAAAAAAAAAAAAAGAGATGCAGAAAACTGAAAATTATTACAGAGATCAGATCATCTGTTCTGCTTCAGGTTAAGGACTGAACACAGGGCTTAAACTTTAGTGTGGCGCCAACACACGCCAAATCTGAGATGCAGATAAAAATCAGGATGAAGCTGAGCTCATGAATATATCTGACAGGATGTGCTGTCTGTTTTAACACCCTGACTTCCCCATTTTCAACAAAAAAAGGGAAAGAATGCTGAATTCAACTGAAGCGGTTTCTCTGAGCTCAGCACTCGATGTTGAAACCGTTTGTCACATTGTCACCATCCTGCGCGCCACGCCTGCATATGTGTGCAGATCCGCAGCCGCGACAAACACATCAACAACCTGAAGAAGAAGTTTCAGAAGGAGGCGGAGCTGAAGAGGGAGAACCAGCAGCGGATCGAGACTCTGGAGCGCTACCTAGCAGACCTGCCTACGTTGGAGGACTACCAGAGCCAAAACAAACAGGTTAGAAAAGGGCCGCTTTTCTCTGACGTGTGAAAATCATGAAAGCTGGACGAACACATACATTTATGATGTTTCAATCAGCTCCTGGAGGCTGAACAACAGGCAGCTCAGCTACAAGAGAAAGTCCGAGAACTGGAAGCCATCCTGGACACCACTCACTCCCAGCTGCGGGAGAAAGATGCTCAGCTGGAGGAGCAGAAGCGCAGAGAGAGAGACCTGCTGACAACTATTACCGAGTAAGGACTATGTGCTTTCTCCTCTCTGACTGCAAACGGAGACCATAACAAAGCTGCATCCTGAGGTTTTATGTTTTTGTCCCCATCAGTATGCAGCAGCGGGTGCAGCAGGGCCTTGAGGATGGAGCCAGACTTCCATGTCTGGATATTGAGAAACTTAGAGGAGAGAACAACTCCTTAAAAGAGGAGCAGCAGAGACTCAAAAAGGTGAGTTATTGTGTGTTGAGGGGAAATAAGGGAAAAGCTTTTCAATAGGTTTTCATCTCAGCACATTATATTATAGTATTATCTGTACTGTTAATATTTTCCAGCTCTAGGAGTAAAAAGGTTATGCACGTGAGAAGGCTAGGGCAAAGAAAACGCCCAAAGACAACGTTTTTAGACGTTTTTCTGTTTGCAGGTCATAGAGAAGCAGCATCGGATGATGGAACAGCTGGGCTCCCAGATTCAGGTCTCCCTCCCTTCTCAGTGAAGCTTTGTGATAACTGCAGGTTTGTCTCGTGGTTTGTTAACATTTCTGCGTCTTTGCGCATCCTCAGGCTTTAGAGGAGCAAATATCTCAGGAAGAAGGCAGCTCACAGGCTCTCAGAGAGGAGGTACTGGCCAAAGAGCAGAGTGTGTTGGAGCTGCACGCCGCCATGAAGGAGGTGAGATGAGCCCATTCAGAACTGAAACCATTCTGTTCCACAGTTGGACGTGTTCAGAGCCAGAGTTCAGCCCAACTGCTTTTTTTTGCGTAACACTTGTGCTGATTCCATTTGTAGCTGTCGGCTCAGAACCAGGAACTGATGGAGCAGAATCTGACCCTGCAGGAGCAGATGAGTGACGCGGAGCAGAGGAGCGCTGACCAGGCCTCCTCTGTACTACAGCCTGCTGGAGCTCTTCTCACGCAGAGTCTGCACTCAGAGATCGCTTCCTGCCTCAGTGATCTGCGCTCCCTGTGCAGCATCCTGACTCAGCGAGCACAGGGCCAAAACCCCAACCTCTCCCTGCTGCTCGGGCTCACCGGTAAGCACGCCGCACGGTCAGATGGAATAAAACGTACCCAAATGTTCAATAGAAAGCATTCAGGGTTTGGCGCGATGTGAGAAAAACGTCTGCTTCTTAATCCTCCAGCCCCTCCAGCTGTGGCCGAGCAGGACGAGGACTGGATGAATCCAGATGTTCTGCAAAAGAAGCTGCTTGAAGCCCAACAGCTTCGACGGGACGTGGAGGGACTCCGCAATGCGATACTGGACCGTTATGCACAGGACATGGGCGAAAACTGCATTACTCAGTAGCCCTGACATCCAGGGGATGTCTTTCATGCAGAGTAAATGACTGTCAGAAAGAGGACTGGAGTTTTAACTTTTCTTCTATTGAGGACATAAGAAAGCCCAAAAGGTTTAGCTTCTGCTTTTCTCTGGACTGACTGAACATAGTCTGAAGCCTGCCTGTAGCTCAGAGCCTTCCCTTCCCCCTGGTGAGTTCATCTATTTCAGTCCAAGGGCTAACAGAAAATAACTTACCTCTAATACTTGATCCTTTGAGCATTGTGTGTGTGTGTTTTTTTTATAATGACAACATGATATTGTCCGTTACCAAACAGTCTTATACTTAGTTCCAAACTAGTGGATAACTCTTTGTGTAGAAGTCCCACAGATATAATGTATTTAAATCCTGTTTTCCCTGTTTGGGGGAATGATCCTAAAGTGGTTGACAATCAACTGAAAATACTTTAACCTGTGCTTTTAAACAATTTAGCAAAGAAAATGTTACTAATGCGCCATTATTTCAAATGGTGAAACTGTAATGTTACACTCTGCTGTGATGTATAGGATGTAACAACTGAAAGGTATGACACCAAATCAGCTTTTCACACCAACAGGCCTACAACAGATTTATTACCAAAGAAACTCCAGGCGAAGCAGTGAGGTGTTTGTGGACGCAGGCGGCGCTCTGTCTGCTGCAGCCGTTGTTTTGATTGAACACCAGCGTGTGCCTTTGTCACGTATGCAAATAGAGCTCAGACCAACCAGAAGGGCTGTCAGCATCTTCCAAACAGGACCTTTCTGTCAGAGTATCAACCAGTAGGATAGTCATTACATTCCCTGACTTTGAATGTAGAAAACCTTGGGCCTTATGATGGCAAATATTCAAAATGGCCCTAAATGTTTCTGTTTCTGGTAGATTATTGAATTAAAGTGGAAAAGTCTGGGTGAGCGTGTAGAATTTACTATATGGATTTATTTTTTATTTAAGATGATAACTGACCCGTGTTAAGCAGAGTTGTTAACTGATAACTGTATGACTTAGAAACAGTATTAATCCTCAGTATTATTTATTTGTTTTTGGCGTGCTTCGACAACTGGGTGTGAGAACTCTGGATCTACCGAACATGTTGCTGTTATAATGTGCTAATGTGTTCTGACAACCTTGGCGTCCATGATGTGTAAAGGTCCCATGAAGTGGCTTTTAGATTGTATTTTTTTCTCTGTGGTTTGTTGTGATCAGATGTTGGAGGAGGGCCGATTGTCCTCAGGTGTTAATCCCATGGGATGATGATTGGACGGGCTGGCTGGATCAGCCCTCAATCAGTCATGGTTTACTGGAGGAAATATGTTTTTATTTTTCTTATTTGTCCAGAGTACAGGATAAGCCATTTGGAGGAAAAAATGTCACTTTACAGGAAAAGAAAAGGGATTCTAACACAAAAATATGCAACAGTGGCTATTTTGTCTTTGTTAATGTACAGAGCACCTCTCCCAGGGACACACAAGCCATTCTTCATTTCATGGGACCTTTAAACTTCAGTAGCACAAAATTTCCCTTTGGAAAGTCAGGCTCCACATGCCTTAACATCTCAAGTGTTTTTGCAAAAGGGAAAAAAAAAGACCTTTCTATTTTCATACTTTTGTTCTTGTTTGTATTTGCCAATTTTAGAAATAAAGATTTTCAACATTTGGTTGTGGTTTGATCTGCTGCAGATTCGTCAGGTCGAGAAACGACAAACCCCCAGAAACCGCTGATAATTAAGGCATAAGGGGCTGTTTTTTGACCAGATGATCCATCTATTCATAGCTGGGTTTTAGCCTCTGGTGTCCTGTGGGATAAGACCTGTGCTGAATCTGTGCTGTGCTTCAAACGGATCAGACTCCTGAAGCGGATGGATCCTGATGGCCTTGATCTGCTGACCTTTCAGAATAGTTCATCGTAGTAGTGGAATACAATGCCTGATGTCTTTCTTTATTTGGCATGGTTAACTGGTATTGTGTCCTTCCTTCCACGATGCAGCAAAAAAGCAAACTCTCCCATTTCATAAACTTTAGTACCTTTATTCTCTTCTGCCAGTGAGTGGCTGTGCTCGGCCTTTCGCAGCAGCAGGGTGGCGTTTGTGGAGAGTCCGCAGGATCCCAGCGTCCGGCTGTCGTCGTCGAAGCTCTGCTGCGGGAAGGCGCTGATGATGTGGTAGCCGGGCCGGCCGGCCCCTCTGAGGGGCAGAGCAGCATCGGGGTTACAAAAGGGAAGCTCTGAGCTCCTTCCCAGAGCACTGGGGGGTTGGGGGGGGCTCCCACCTGTGTCTGTCCAGGTGGCCCCGCAGCTGACCGACTGTCTCCGAGAGGTACATCCTCACGATGTAAGCCTCGCTCCCGTCCTCCGACCTCAGCTTGAGCGTGACGACGGCCCTCTCGGGCCGGCGCGTGTCACAGAGCGCCGTGTTGCTCCTGCGTACGCGGCAAATGAAAAGCCGACTTCTTTAACCGAACCGCGCTGGGCGACCTGCCCTGTTTCTCAGATTAGTGCATACAGTAATCTCCACAATCTCTACATTCACTCATCGTGTCCAAACCAGGATTTAATCAGGCCGTACACTCAGTACGCGGCTGATAAATCCAGTCATTTCTGCTGAGATTCTGTGTTTCTGGTGGTCCAGATTTCTAAAAAAATTTAAATAATCTGCGTCTTTTACACGGCATTACATATAGGAGGTGTTTTTAAAGGAATACAAGTGTGTATCTACTGCCCCCTAAGCTGTGGCTGCTCTTTCTCAGTTGGACTCTTGTGTTTTATTCACCTGTCCATGGCTGCTTGTGCCGGGGTGTGTATGAGGATGGGGGGGCAGCTGCTCTGGGCGTCCTGTGAACCCTGCTGAGGGCAGAAGTGGACGTGAACACAAATGTTGGCGCTTGCCCCTGTAACGGCCTCCTCCTGCTGCTCACCCCCAGCATGGCTCTCAGCGGCTCCCTGACCTCCACCACCCGGCCGGCCCTGACCACAGACCTCGGCAGCTTGTTGAGGAACCGATCCAGCGTCAGCTTCCTCCCTACAGATTAAGGGGAAAACCAGAAAATGGCGATGAGGGCAGGATTCTTTTATTTCTTTTGAGTGACAGGAGCAGAACAGACCTGGAATCCGATGGAAGGCTGCATTTGTTGTTTCCTCTTCCTCCCCGCCGACGGCCTGGCCTTCACCGGGGAAGGCGCCCGCCGGGAGCCTGGCGGTGAATTCCTGGTGCCGCAGGTCGTGAACCTGAACAAAGATCTTCTTAGAAAAAGTTGTCTGCACATCTGCAGACGCAGAGGAAAGAGAGTAGACGTACCTGGAAGGGCACGCCGTCTGGAAATCTTTGCTGAAGCTCGGATGGGAAATACCCGTCCATTAAGTCTTGCATGCACTGCCGGGCGCTGTCCTCCTGGAAGGAGCGGAAAGGCCCGTCGAACATGACCACGCCGTTGCTGTACAGCCTCAGCTGAACGGGCTCCTTTTTGGCCAGCTTTGCTCCCGTCGCTGTGGACTGCACGAACGACTCCCCCTCCCCAGCCAGCACGTTCAGCTCCCGGATCCTCTGCACCACCAGGTCAAAGTTCATGTGGAAGCTCCCGTGGGCAGACGTGCCTAAAGGGGAGACACACCCAGCATGAGGGGGGGGGGGGGGTTGATGGGGAAGATCTAAGGGCCTTGCAAAGGCCAAACTACCTGGCTGCCCCGGATGGGGGTCACATGTCTGCTCAGTATCGGCTGGATCACTCATCTCTCCCTCCCCCACCCATATCAGACCATAGTCGTTTAGGAAGTCCTGCAAGGTAGAGGACAGCGCGATAAAAATCCTGACTGTGTTCAAATAAAAAAAAGAACACAGAAAGATTCCACCACTCATCTCACCTCCATTTCATGCACCTGACTTTGCAGTTGTTTGCACCTTCGTTCCAGATCGTCTCTGCCACTCTGAGAGCCTGCACCTCCTGAGTCCACACACACACAAAAACACACACAGGGCCGGACAAAGAATGACGTTCAGCATTCAAAGCACATCAAATGAAGGCCCGTGTGCCGTTACCTGACTCTTCCTGAGCCTTCAGCCTTCGTTCTAGAACGGAAATCTTTCTTTCCTTCAGAAGAACGCAGAAAACACAAAAAAAGTGAGAGGGCGGCGCCTTTGTTTGGCCGGCTCTGTGCATCAGCCGGAAAACGTGTGTGTGTGTGGGGGGGGGGTATCTCCACCTTGTGCTTTATCTCCTGCTGTTGGTGCTTGACTGTTTGCTCCAGCAGCGTCACTCGCTGCATCATGGAAGACATGAGCTCAAAGTCGCTCGGAGGAGCTCCTGAAAACAGCAGCACGGTTTGGACACCTCTCCACATTTCCTCTGCACTGTAAGTAAATGTGGTTGGAATCGTACCGGGCTTTGGTGGGCCTTTGGACTTTGTGGCGCTGGCGTCCACAGGATTGTGGGAGGAGGACGGCGGATTGCAAACAGAAGAGTCATCGGCTATTAGTCCTTCCTGAAATTCTGAATAACGGCAAAAGACAACACAAAGATACAATCCTGATGTATAATAAACTTGTTTAGAATATGACGGATAGTGTTAGATGTCTTATTTTGTGTATGATAGGTTCTTCCCAGGTTTTTATTTTATTTTTATAGGCAAAAAAAAAGGTTAAAATGACCCACTGCAGCAAGTAAATGTTGGTTACACGTGAAAGATGAATAGGAAACCATATTGTCTAACTTTAGTACTCTGTGGATCTTCCCCCACTGGCGGTGATGTGCAGCCTACCTTGCAGCAGATTCCTCCTGAAAGGCACCTTTGGTTTATGACTGTGGGCCAGAAACAGATCAATGTATTTGTCCCCTGCTTTTTTATATTTGTACAAAAAGTTGTGCAGCTCTGCTGGGCTCCACTCTTGTCCCCTGCACCTACCCCTGCTCCTTCCGAGGGCCCCACAGGGGCGCACGCCGCATCTTCTTCAGCATGGACAAAGGAGAGCTCATTTTGCTGTTCGCGAAGTGGATCAAACTTTGCTGCTGTTCGGGTTCGGGCCCGTTCACGCGGATTCCCCTCTGTGGGGTCGGTTTGTTTGGAGGCCGTTGTCATTGGCAACAGGAAGCAGGAGGAGAACCTGAAGAGTTCCTCTTCCTCCCACAGGGGGGCGCTGTCTGCTTTTTACCCATCGTTTTTTACACATTTAGAAATGAATCTACGAAATACTGTAAAGTATGTGTACTTCCAATTTGACGATGCAATATTAAATCATGTTAATGTCAAACAGGTGCGTGTCAAATGGACACTTATAATATCTAGTTATTTGTTTTTTTATTTTTCAAGATGTAACCACGTTTGTTAAGCAGAAATAACACTTCAGACACCAGAGTTAAACGACTTCTATGGTTAATATCGGTTTATTAATGAACCCACTCGGTGCTAAGTATCACCACTAGTGGGCCTGGTGCAGCCACACACTCACACACACACACACACACAGACGCACACACACACACACTGTGTGGAGGCCCTGCCAAGCCCGGCCAAACCAGGCCATCCTCGTCCCCGGCGCGACTAGCATGGTGCGGGCCATGGCGGCACCCTCCGCGCGCTTCGACGACGTCTGGCCGAGCCCGCGCGAGCGCAGCGGGGCTCCGGGAGGGGGGCCGCGGCCGCAGGGAGACCACGACGGTCCCCCCGAGCTCCGCCACGGCGTAGCCGGCGGCGGCGGCGGCTGCTGCAGCCTCCCCCCGGGGCCGTCCGGCGGCCGCAGCCCCGCCGACGACCCGGCGGAGGGCGGCCTGGAGGAGAAGATATCCGCGTGCTTCGGATGTTTCCCCGCGAAGGCGGACTGCGGCGCTCCGGTGAGCGCCATCGCCGAGGACACGCTGCTGGAGAAGGATGAGTGAGTGCTTGTGTTTGTGTTTGTGTTTGTGTTTGTTTGTCCGGGATGCTGCCGCCACAGGTCGCCTTCAGCCATCAGACAAAGCCCCACTATGTACACGGTTTCATCTGAATGAGGCGAAGAGCTGCTCCCATCCATCTGTGACACCACAAACATCTGATCAGATAATGGGGAATATGTGCATTCTGCGTCAGCTCAGCTTAAGGTTAAATTTAGGCTGCGCCTGGATGATGGTGTCACTTAAAGCTGGTTAAAGCTCTTTTAGATCTGAGAACTGAGGAGTCCTCTCTTGTTGCTGTAGCCCTTCAGCGTTCCCAGTCAAAAGACACTGGAAGTAGAAGTTACAGATTCAAATAGACATCACTGTTTGTCAAAGAAAACAACAACAAAACCCAGAAACACAACCATTTTCTCCAGGAGACATCCGGTTCCAGCTTTGTGATTAACTTTCAAACATGTCATCAGAGGTATTTTCAACCTGACAAGCTGGTTAGGGATTATGGGGATCGGAACCGAGTAATCTCATTGTTTTGTTTGTGGCTGTGCGGTCTAAAGGGTCTCCAGTCTGCTATGATCGCCCCTGACTGTGTGCTGGTTTTCTGGTTATTGATATAATTATAAGGATGCCTCAGCCATCCAATTAAAGTGTAAGATCTAAGATGTAGTAAACTCTGGGTCAGTTATCATGCTTCCCAGCCTTGCTAACGGCAGAGTCCTCCTGCCCCCCTCCCTGCAGGATCTGGAACGCTCTGACCAGTAACTACGGCCGCGTGGCGCCGGTGGACTGGAGCCGCTCCCGAACGCGCTCCCTCTACATCTCCACCTTCAACCTGGAGGAGAAAGCAGTGAGCGACCCCCGCCCCTCCTCTTGCCTCCCCCCCGCCTGCCCGCCCCACCTCTGCCCCACTTTCCTGTCGTTTATCTCGCAAATCTGACATTTTCATTGTGCCAGGGTTTAGCGAGGTGATTAAACCCCCCCCCCCCCCCTCTGCTCCTGACCAGGCAGAGGCAGATGTTGCGGAGGGGCTGTCGGACGAGGAGGATCTGAGGGAGCAGCTGGACATGCACTCCATCATCGTCCCCTGCCTGGCGGCCGAGCCCCTGGTCACGGCCGAGCAGGTACGGCCCCCCCCCCCCCGGGGGGGCAGGCCGAGGTGGCCCCCCCACTCACATCTCTCCCTGCGTCTCCCGAGCAGGTGATCGAGGAGATTGAGGAAATGATGCAGGACCCGTCCGACACGGAGGCGGAGCGCCGGCCGTCGCGCTCGGATCTGCCCGTGCTGGACGTCCAGCGGTCCAGCCCCGGCTTCCAAGAGAGTGAGTGCCCGGCCCGGCCGAGGGGGACGGACTCTCCTCCTCCTGCAGTGGCTCAGGGCTGTTGTGTGTCTGGTCCAGGGATGGCGGCCATGAGCGCTGCGGAGCTGGCGGAGCGGCTGGAGGAGGCAGAGAGCCACGTCAGGAGTCTGTCCGAGGAGCTGGTGCAGCAGCTGGCGGTCAGGGACGAGCTGGAGTTCGAGAAGGAGGTGAAGAACAGCTTCATCTCCGCGCTCATCGACGTGCAGAACCGGCAGAAAGAACACAGGGAGTCGCTGAAGAAGAAGAAGAAGCTGAAAGGCGGAGGCGGGACGTCGCAGGGCCTGGCGGAGAAAACCCCGGGATCGGTCAGTACGTCGGGTTTGAGGAGCCGAGTCTGTCTGACACTCCGGGGAGTGATATCACCTCTCGGAATAAAAAAAAAACCTCCTTTACCTGTATACTTTAATCTTCCTCATGTATTTTTTTTCCTTCTTTCTACTCATTTCTCTTCACCTCTATTCCTGCTTCCCTCAGCGCTTCAGCATGGAGGGGCTCTCATCTGTTATTCAAAGCAGCTTCCGGCAAACCTTTAGGAGTGGCTGCAGTGAAAGACAGGTTGCTCTCCAGTTTTCTCTTTCTGACCTTTCATCACTTGAGCTGAAATGTTCCCCCCCTCCCGCATCACAAATGTCAGCTGATTTTTTATTCTGATCTGATATTGTGCGTTCACTTCTCCAACTTCGCTGTGTAATTTTTTCCTTTGTACTTTTTTTGTGCTCCCTCGCGGTTGACAGTATTTGACGACAGTCATTCCTTATGAGAAAAAAGGCCACCCTCCCTCTGTTGAAGACCTCCAGATCCTGACCAAAAGTAAGCGTTGTCATCTCTGCAGATTAGTTCCAGCTGCTCTGTCCACTCTGACTTATCGATTCACTTTCCAGTTCTACAAGCTATGAGAGATGACAGCGACAAGGTGCCCAGTCTTCTAACAGACTACATCCTGAACGGTGAGATTCTCCACTCTATGTTTCCATATGGTCGTGCGTCTTTCAAAGACCATCAGTCGTGGTGGTTTTGCTTGTGGAAATCACTTTGTCTGAAATTGTAAAACGAGATGTGACATCAGAATCCTTTCTTCCAGTCAATCGTGATGATAGCTGCTTAATTCTGAGTCACCATAGTCAATGCGGTGGTAAAACAGAAGCGGGCAAATGAGGAGAAATGCTGAGTAAACTCTTATAATCGCTGCCCGTGGAGATGGCTTACACTTAACCAGCACAGTGACCCCGCCGTGGTCAAAGACAAGGCTCCTCTTGCAGACAGGGACTCAGAAAACCTCATTAAACGACCACCGCAGAAACAGTGTCCTCCATTTGAGTTTTGTCTTTTCAGTGTCATTTTATTTCACCTTCACCCCTCTTTTTGTCTTTCTCTGCCTCTTATGTTCCGCTCTGCATAATTCACTGCTGCCTTAGCTCTGGTGTGAGCACGGATCGGGAGGTTTGTGACACATTCACACACAAAGTGCGTTGTTGTGTTGGCTCTGAGAGCGCCCCCTCGCTGCCACTGAGCGTAGTGCAGTCTGATCCCTCCTCTCTCCCCTCCTCTGGTGCGCAGTCAGCAGCTGCAACGTGTTTGGTGACGATAAAAGTGTTTCTGACTTGGAGTCCCACCCCTAGAGCTCGTTTCATCCCTCACTTTGAGACTCCTCCATATTGATTTAAGTTAGGGAGCTCTACATGGGCCGCTTTTGAAGGAATTCAACCTTGCAGTCGCCCAGCCTGCATCTGTAAAGGTTTTGTTTTCGGTTGGCTTTAAGGGATATGTGAAAATTTAGATTTTTCCTTTTGTTTTTCCTCTTCATTCTCCCCCAGCTTGAGCTGTTTTTACACTTATCCTTTTTTAAATGTTTGTATCTCTGTTTTTTCCAGTGTTCTGCCCAACTTAGGCCAGGCAGATGGACACTGACGCTCTCCAGAGGCTGCCGGTAGTTTACCATGACAACAAGATAAAGCGGATCCATGATTTTCGCAAGCACACTTAAGTTATTTGTGAATGTTCTTACCTCGACGCGTGTCTTTTTTCTTTTAATCTGATTTAAATGTTTGGATTGACCAGTCTGTATTTTGTGTGGGACATTGTGGTTTGCAAACCTAGCGTATTCCTGTACATTTTTACCTTTTTGATGTGTATTTTATTCTTTGCACTGCCAGTGATCTCTAAAAGGTTTGAATTCAGGACAAAACATACTCAGAGATCTCTGCTGCAAAGGGCTTTTGCATCAATCTGAAGTGCTTAACTGTACGCCAAGAAACAAAAGCACAAGGCAAACTGAGAACTGTTTCAGTTGTTTTTATAAGCACCGCATTCATGGCGCTTGAGAAGAAAAAGTAGCAGAAAACTGAAAAGAGATTCCTATAATGATAAGTGTAAAGCAGCACATGAAAGATCGGAGGTGGAAGAAATGTAATAAAGGGTGGGAAATAATGCAGATAAACTGTATTATCAGCTGTCTATGTAGCTATAGATAAATTGCACAATCCATTCATCAGTATTTTACATGTTCATTGCAGTTTTATGGGAGATAACTTGTTGATGGTTGAGGTCGTGTAAACTACTGATTTGAACTAACTATGCATTTGGGTGGGAGCTGAGTCTGACCCAAGCACTGTCTGCTCTTTAGTGAGCTGGAGCTCAGAACCCGAGCACAGTGCGTCGACGTGCCTGCTGTGCACAGGACAGCAAACACCTCCACTGGGCATTTATACTCCGTGTAGTACTTTAAACAAGCTGCCTTTGCCTGAACTTTTATATATTTTGAAAGTAACTTATTTTCGATGAATGTCACGTCACTGAGTGACGAACAGAGACTGTTGGTGTTTATTTATTTTGTAAATACCATATTTGAACATTAAAAAATCCTTTCCCTGCATGTTTGCTTGGTTTTATTACATATATATGAAAAAACTGTGTTTCTAATCCCCACTCTTGCTGATTTTTGATAACGTAGACATTGAGTTTATGTCAAACTCAAACTGCCCCACCTCTCAACTGCTAAAAGTACTAAAGTTCATGAGTACATCCACAGAAAACACAATCTGTAAATGACAAAGGAAGGTACAGCCCTGTCCAACATGACTAAAGATAATTATTCTAAAATATTATATACCAACCGCATCCTTTCGCAACAGAATCACTCAAGAACATTTTAAACTTAAAAACAAAACCTAATAATACAGAACCAAGGTAAGTCCAAAGCTGAAACTCCAGTGTAGCCACCAGCAATCAGAAACGCACACAAAAATCAAACATGGGCTACAATCAAAATGAAATCACCCTGTAGAATTTAATCCTATGCTTCAATATGGTTTATAAAGTGACCTGTGACTTTTGATCTCTGTATGCCTCTTTCTTATGTACATCAGGCTGCATACAGAAATAAATCCCCTGAAGATCTGGATAGTTTGATTGAGAGACCCCACAAAGATTAAAAGAAAAAAAAACTGAAAACTCAGTTAACAACTGGAAATCAGAGGAAACAGTGCTGGGGCTGCAGTCAGAAAGTAAAGCAAAGCTTGTCATCTTAAAACAACACAGAGCAGAGGACAGAATGTTTCTCACACAAACATGTTTTAGGTGTTCAGTAGTTGTGAGATCTGCCAAAGCTGCTGCATTCACAGATGGCACCATGCCTGTTCCAGCATATTTCAAATCCTGGCAAATGGACAATACAATCAAGGAAAATCAGGTGAGTATGATTTAAAGATTCTCAGTCCCCAGAGGAGGAATAGTCCAGCTGGATTCTGATCCAAAGCACCCTGCGAGGTAACCTGACTTGAATGAAATCCTAACAAGTCAAAAACGCTCTTAAAAGTAATCAAAGGCCGAACCATGCGCATTAAAGAGGTAGAAATGTTCCTGATTCTCTCTTCAGAGACTTGTGTTGACTTGCATTCTCTCCTGCAAGGCAGGACTGAAGCAGTCATGGAAAATACAGGTAGAGATATATTAATGATTCATATGGCAGATTGTACTGTCTGGTTTTTAAGTCTGCATAATACCTTTTGGTTTAAGTTGGAATTACTAGTCTTTGCAGGATTGTAAAGTTCGGAATCCTTAGACATTTGGGGTGTAGTCATGTCTGCTGTTAGGAGCATTTGCCCGTAGAGGCCTGAAAGGTTCAGCACTGATAAAGCACTATGAATTCGGTGGCCATTCATTGGATTCCAGATGTGGGTTTGTTCTAGATCAATGCAAAGATAAACCCTAGCTCGGCAGTCTGCGTTTTCACTGCCCGCAGTGCTCAGCAAAAACGGTTTTACAGAATATTGGTTAAAAAAAAAACCCAAAACACCTCTGATAGTATCTCCTTATTATGTAAAACTCTGCCACGTGTTCGCTGCACCCCATCCTGACCTCACTGAGGAGATCCAGATGTCCAGGAGAGAACCCAAAACAAGCCAACTTTGGCGCCGGCAGCCGAAACACAACAGGAAACTAAGAAAACAAAAAGGTGAAGCTCCTGATTCATCTCTGAAGTTATCGTTGTTAAAGAGCTGAATCCAATGCAGATGTTAAAGAAAATCTCAAAATGTTGATACTTCAAACTCTGACCATGTCACAAAAGATTCAGCACATAGCAAGAGTGAGCTGGGCACGTTAGGCCTCCCGTCATCGATTAGTCAATCTACACACACATGGAACTCTATTCATGCTTCTCTGATCACTGCAAAAACAAAGCTTGTTTATCACCCGGCTCTCTCTCCAGTGTTTCGAAAGAAACCCAAACAGCTGCAAGAACATCTGTAAAACATTTGCTCTCTCTGAGATAAGTTTCCTCTGCTCTCTCAGCGTGTAAAACACAGAAGTCTGTGTCTGGCCAGCAGTCAGAACTGAGAGGAGCTTTTCGCGGTGCTGCAGCAAAACTAATTCTTCACAAGGAGCTGGAAGTGCTCTCCATGTATCATGGCAGTTAGAGGGTTTTGGGTGGTATTTGGCCTTCTCCTGCTTTCGCAGAGCTCCCTCCAACAGAAGAAAAGAAATAACAAGAAAGGTAGGACTTGAAATGAAAACAACATTTTAACATTTATGTTGTAATTACTGTCCAACTGTCTGGCACCTCACGTTAAGCTAAGTGAACAAATCCTGTCCTTTGGAACAGACTCCACAACAACTGCTGCTATCGAGGAGCTCCAGAAACAGATTAATGACATTGTTCAAGAGCTGAATGTGCTGAAAGAGCAGCAAGCTTTGCAGACAGGTATGCTTCTAGTTGCTGTCTCCTAAATCTCAAACAGTTTTGGAAATGGATGTCCCTGTCCTCTTTTATGTGGGGGTGTGTGGGTGCATGGTTGTCACATTTTAATCAACAACTCTCCAGAGATGACATGACTTTGCAAAGGGAAAGAAATAAACCGGTGTGACATTTACCCCTTAGTTTGCCTGAAAGGCACAAAGATCCTCGGTAAGTGCTTCCTGGCCAATCCGGCGAAGAAAACCTTCCACGACGCCAACGATGACTGCATCGCCAAAGGCGGCAGCCTGAGCACCCCTCTGACGGGGGACGAGAACGACCAGCTCTACAGCTATGTGCGACAGAGCGTGGGACCCGAGGACCACATCTGGCTCGGCATCAACGACATGGTGACCGACGGCCACTGGGTGGACCAGTCGGGCTCCAGCGTGCGCTTCAAGAACTGGGAGACAGAGATCACCCTGCAGCCCGACGGGGGCAGCAGCCAGAACTGCGCCGTCCTCTCCACCACCGCCAACGGGAAGTGGTTCGATGAGAACTGCAGAGCTGAAAAAGCCTCGGTGTGCGAGTTTAACATAGTCTGAGAGCCACGCTGCTTCTTTTTTAATCTCACGGTGCAGATGTGAGACTGGAAATGCTATCTGGTACTACTTAAAAGAACATGCGGCATCCCTCCTCAGCACACGTATTCTTTCACATGTCAGTCCAGAATCATACACTACTTGTCATAGTATAAGCTAACCTCCCTGGAGCAAGATCTTTTGTATTTCAATCATTTAATATTTTGTATTCTTAATAATATTACATCTTATCTGTTACTAAGTGTAATAAGACATCATGCATAAGGTCAATCTGCTTGTATTCCATTATATGCTGGTAATAAACGTGCACTTCCCAATTTGCCTGTCTCATTTTCTTTTTTCTAACACAATAAGAATCATCTGCAGCAGGAAAGAAATGATTGCATAAGAACTCATAAAAACAGGACATGGCTGTTACAACTGAAAGTAAATCTCAGTTTATGGTTGCTGCCTTTTCTATTGGGTCCAGTGGGCTTCAAACATCAACGGTTTATCTCATTATAAGACTCAAGTGGTTGCTGAATGGCTCCTCCAAAACTATGAAATCATACAACTTACGTACTTAAAAACCCTTTTTAAAAGCAAGACAATGGTTTTGATTAAATTGATCAAAATTAAATATCCCTTTTGGCCCCTTTTTGTGCCTGTTTTCCATCTGTGGAAAATGCAAGAAGCAAACCTCTACAAGTTATTGTTTGAGTTAGCAGTTCTCCCTTTTAAGAATGAAGCCATCAAACAAACAGTCCACTTGGTCCTCAGGGACCTGGGGGTGTTGTTTGGTCCAGTCTTAAAGTCAACAACATCTTTAATGACAGGCCATTTTCCTCTTTACATTTTAAAAAAACATGTTATGTACATTTAGAGGAGCTGAAAAAGTGAACAAACACCAGAGACTGCAGTAAAATAAGAAAACCTGAACAAAGTTTCACTGTTTGACATTTCCAATGCAGTTTCTTTTAGTTTCCTCTCTGGAAACATCTGTGTGCGGCACTCCCAACCTAGTAAAACCAGTCAGGTATGGCCTCTTATCCCCTGAATGCCATATCAATAGAAATATTGAACCTATCTTGCCTCTGGCAACATTTTATTCACGCATCACACAAGTATGTCATGACATCTCTGTGGAGATTATCCATCACCTTAAAGACATACTTCACATCCAGAATATTCAATGAGTTAAAATGATCTAAAAACACTTATTTGGGTTTTCAAAACTTCAAATATCAAACCTTCTAATCCTTTCCTGCTTTCTCTATGTGAGTCACTCCCGACCAGATAAAAACAAATCATTTCCCTAGTGTCATCTTGGTCAATAAAAACTGACTGCATCTTGAAACAAACTGGGATTTGCATCTCGTCTGGGTTCCATGCAGAATCAGGGACTTGGTTCTCAATACCACATTAAAAGGTGACAAACACCAATATGGCTTTTCATATAGTCATTTATGCTGTAACTTTGCTCACAAACCTCAAATGAGAAAGAGTCCTTTCACTCTGTGGAGCTTCAGTTTCTACTCTTCTTTTGTAACAAAATGTTTTTAATTTAAAGAAACTAAACAGAAGTAGCTTGAGTTCATTGGTCCACGTAAGGCCAACTCCTGCTTTGATTATGGATCTAAAGGACAGCTGGAGCAAAAGAGAAGTTACTGACTTCATCCTCTGAAGAAATAAACTTTTTTTCCCAATTCAAAACTGGTGCTGTGTTTATGCTGTTTAAATCTCATCGGAAGGGAATGATTGAAGCGCCTTCATCCAGGATCCAGCTCAGCAACAGCTGCCGGCTGGTTACAGCATGAGCTATTTTGTGGGCCTCGTTTTCTTACAAAAGCTGCACTCAAAAAAAAAGAAAAAAAAAGAAGTTCCTTGTAAGGCTGAGCAGCAAGCAATCACACAGAGGCCAGGGGATGGAAATCACAAAGTTCAAGCTGGTCGAGAGAAAAACAAAAAGCTGTATCCAATCATTTGCTCAGTTCCCCCCTTCTGGCTCCTGCCGACGCCCTGGATCTGGAGAGTGCTCCTCCTCGATTTGGTTCTCTCTCTGGTATATATCATTGTACACCAAAGCTTGGTTGTGGCTTGGAGGCCTGTTGGGAAGCGGGGGACCTTCGGAGGAGAATCGATGTGGCTGATCAACCCCCACGTTGTCAACACTGTTGTTTTTAGTGACCGGAGGCTTTTGTGAGTCTGTGTACTGTGTGAAAGAGCGGTATGTGTCAAACTCTCCATAAGTGCCAATCTCTGCCCCTTTTTTCAGCAGGTGCGTGTAGACCAGCGTGTCCTCAATGGTGTCGTACACGTGAGCCTCGCTATCTTCGCCGGTTTTTGGGAATCCGTTCGGCTCAGGGCGCATGTTGGTACCGCCTGGGTTGTAGATTGACATCTGATGATTGAGCTGCTTTTTCTTCTTCCTATATGACACAAAGAATATAAAAGAGGGCAGTTTTAAGGCCATATATTGATTAATCTGCATAAATTATGAGGCAAAGGGCTCTTGGTTACAAAGCTGTAAAATAATCCATTATAAAAGAGACAGGAACAGTCAAATATTTGCTTTAAACTCCAATGTCCAATTTAAGTCATTTTGATTCCTTTTGGCTTCTAAAAGCATGGACAAAATAAAAGAAGAATTGTCTAATAGTGGAATATTAAGTGTCTGCGATATCTAAAAGAATGGTTGTTCGTCTTAAGCTAAAGTATATGAGAGCGTTGGAGGAAGGGCCAAATGACATGGAAACGCAGAAAAGGAAAAAATCAACAGCATGGCGAATGAACCACAATCTGTTAATCAAACTGAGAGGAAAAAGCTTGGTTAAACATTGGTGGGAGAACATCCAAGCTACTCATATAATTAAGACCATTTCGGTTTTGCTAGCAGTTGCAAAACAAAGACTGAGACTTTAGTCATTGTGACACCTTCATGAGGGGAAAGATACTGTTTTACCTGGAAGTTGACCCTGAGGGATCAGTAAAGTCCTACCTAGCTATCTAATCTGTTTGCTTAAGGAGCATATGTTGACTTCTTTTCGAGAGCACAATCTCATTCAAACTAAAACTTGGCTGAGGAGCACACTGACTGGGCCACATTGTGTGGATTGGATGCATACACAAAGCTGAAAGAATGGGAAATTGATTCTGATCTTCTCAGGGAAGTCAAGGTCCCTTGTAGCACAGTAACTCTGGTTACTCGACTTGCTGACGAGACACGTTAACTGCTATTTCCGGCAGGTTCTGGACCTCATAGTGGTCCATGGGTGCTCTTAGAACTCTTCCAAAAAGGTAGCAGCATAACTCACCTAACGACTGTGCAGACAACGGCCAACACAACGGCAAAAATAACCAGCAGAGCAGCCACCACACTCAGGATGGTTATCAGCAGAACATCTAGAACGACAGAAATCAAGAAAAATCCCACTTTTACACTTTCTGCCTACAAGGTTTGTGTCAAAGCTGATGTGGAACAGCCGGCAATGCAGCCGAACGCCCGCTTACTCTTCCTCTTCTGCAGGGTGATCTTGGTGATGACGCTGAAGTCCCCTCTTTCGGGTATACAGTTGGACATGTTGAGGAAGAAATTCTCTGGAACGGTGAGCTCGCTCTCTGCCTCCTCATCCTCTCTGCGGCTGTAGTCCTCCTCAGTCCGGCTGACCCTCTGCACCCGGATGTTGGTGTGGCCAATGCTGCACTTGGGCTGGCTGAGGTTGGCAAACATTAGGTGGGCCTCCATCTTCGGTGGAACGGAGACAATCCAGGAAACGGTGGAGGACGGCTTCATGCCAACCGGCCAACCAGGAGAGGCCACAAGGACAGGGGTGTCTTTCGATGGAAATATCGTGAATATGTATCTTTCTAAAAAAAATAAATAATGGAATTTGTCACAGTAAAACAACGATCTTGTTAATTTATTTTAAAATTTGCTGGAATCTGTCTCCTACCTGGTATTTCCCTTTCAAAGCTTGCGGTCAGGACGTGCTTTAAATACGTCCTCAGTGCTATTAGCCCCATTCTGGACCGCCATGTGATGGTCACATTGGTGTGGATGAGGACCTTTTGCATAGCTCCCTTTGGGCAGAAGAATCCAATAAAATCTCCATGTTCTTCATCCATTTGAATAAGGATGCTGTCATTGCAAGGCTGACCGGGCAGGGCCTGTTTCAGGGCCCCAGAGGGAGACACAAGTTTTACAGTCCCATGCCTGGAAGGACGGAGAGTCCAGGTGACGGAGCTCAGAGAGGTGGGGAGGCAGGATGGCAGCAGAGGCACCAACAGATCCACTGGAGTCTTTGGACAGTCTCTCAGATGACTGCAATCTGATGTAGATCAAGAAGACACATTCAAGAATGAGACTGATATAGTGTTTGTACAAGTGAGTAAAATAAAAGTAGCTACAACAGAGTTCAGGTTTAAAAAGATTTAAGATTCTGCATCAGTGGGAATTTTAGAAGCTCAAGTAGAAAGCTGCTGGGAATGTTCTTTTCCATTACCGGGGACATCTATAAAATCTATGCAACTTCCCATGTTGTAGCTCATTGGATAGTTCCCAGTAGTTAAGCCCTTAAAGTTCATTAAGCTTCTTGGACCAGAGGGCAAATGTCAATAAGAAACTTAAAAAGACTCATTTATACCCAAAGCATTATCATCTTAATCATAATCTCTTGTGAAATTGAAGAGGGTAATAATCGTAACCAGAGCTTATTATTCCAGGACTGTAATCAGTATTTACCTATGACCCTTTTGGCTGTGACCTGGACATCATCGGGAAGGCAGTCCTGAAAGGACAGCTCGCCCTTTGATGTGACTGTGATGCTCTTCATTGTCTCAGAGTTCATTTTCATTTCACAGCTGGAGTTCGGTCTCACATTATTGATGTGGAGAGAAAGGCCAGTCGTGCCAAGATCCACATTACACAACACTGAGGAGAGAGCAACACAATTACATAAGGGCTTACAATTCCATGTCTCTGTTTATTTCACTGGAAAGTGTATACGTGCGCACACACACACACACACATACACACACAGACACATACACACACAACCCAAGGCATACATGACGGCATTCCTTGATCATCACAGGAAGTGCTTCCTGGGAATTCTGTCGCCACTGACTCAGAGATTAGGCAAACTGAGAACTCCCCAAAGCTCTCAGGCCCCACTGCCCACAGACATCGCTCATACCCACCCACTCTGTTTAAAGACAAGAAACTTTCTGTCACGGCCCCTGAGCGATGAAACTGAAAACTATTTGTGACGGTTAAGATACAGTTTAGGGAGAGAAACATTATTTACACATGTGCCTGTTGGAACACATGCCAGTACTTTTCCAGCAGCTGGAGCTAAAAAAAAAAACAGCAGAAGATATTCTTGACTTCAATTTCTCTTAAATGTTCGGCAACACAAACTCAATCTATCTAAACTGTTTTCAGAAGTGAACTGGAAAACTTGCAATATTGGACGGTTGTGACTACTTGCGGGCAGAAATAACAGTCAATTCAAAACACAATCATGCTAAAACACAAAAATGAGGCAACCACACCGTCCTGTCTCACAATATATTCAGCAGACAAAGCAGTTTCACCATACCCTCACAGCTGTGTGGCACTTCTTGTTATGCATGTGAAAACTCAACTTTGCCCCCAAACTGACTGTATTCATCTTTTCAGAGCACTCACATTATTTATCCCTTAAAAATGCAATTTTCTATAATCTAACTAACACAAACAGCATGGTGATATTTAAAGAACCCAGAAAATCTAAACATCTGTGATGGGATTTTGTCAGTTCAATCTACAAGGGCAGAGTCTTAACAGTCATGATTTGGCTTGCCTGATGTGTCACACCTCGTGTAATCCAGACTAAGACGTAGAAAACAGATTTGATGACCACTGCTTAATTCGACATTCAGAACCAGTTGCAGACTAAAAAAAGGTTTGTCTAAGCAACGCCATGCTGTTTTGAAATGACAAGGACTTCTAAACGAACAGCGGTACACCATTATGGTTGGGCATCACTTTATGGCAAAAGTACACAATTTTAAAACAGCTGTGTCAGAACACAGACTTTCTTTCATATTCATCTACCAAAATCGAGATTTGCAGATAGTTCACGTGGGTTAACTTCCACTATTCTTCAATGAGATGAGTTAGTGAGAAATGTTAGTGGGTCAATTTCAGAAAAGGGAACAAACCTGGTGAGCTTATTCTCGAAGCAGACACCTTGAAGTTCAGAGAGAGTCCTGGAGAGTGAGCACGTCTTCTGTCCATCTCGCAGTTCCTCAGTGTCAGTAAGAAACTCCCCTTAACCTCCTTCGGCTGGGGGTCGTTCAGACCCAGAACTGATGCCCCTCTCCCTCTGCTCTTGTACTCCACTGCCGTCTTCTTCTTCAAACACTGTGGCTGTGTGACGTTCAGAAAGCCAACGTGAGCCTCATATTGGTCTGGGACCTGCACGTACCACTCCATCACGTCGTCATCAGGAAAACTCTCTGGGTAGTTCGGTGAGAGCAGCTCCGATGAGGATGTGCCTCTCGGTAATTCCAGTGAAATTCTAGCAAGAGCTGGGAGAGGAAAGGATCAATTAAACAGAGTTCTGACAGAGAAGCGGACTAACTGAGAGAGAAGCATTGGAACTAACTTACACTTGATTTCCTCCCCCACAGACACATGAAATTGGCTATTCTTCAGCTCCTGGCCTGCTGGCACATCCAAAGAAAAGATGCCCCTATCCAGGACTTGAGCACTTCTGATAGTACCCCCTCTGCAGAACTTCCCAACAACGGTGCTCCCTGAAGCCTCCAGGGCCTGCAGAGTGTAGGTGTGTTTGTCTGGACATCGGTCAAACGGACTGATCTGTTTCAGCCCCGTGTCTGTGAAGTCTAACTTGAATGCTTTTGGGGCAGCAGCCGTTATGTTCCAGGTGAACTTGCGGGGAAAACCCTGCAGCGGCAGGGAACCGCCGTCAGTCTGGACGACGTGACCACTGCATGACTTTGTGGAGCATTCTGAGAATGGAAGAATATTATTTTGCATAAATAAACAAAACCATTCGTTCTACGACCCCATCAACGTAAGATGAATACATTCAGAAAAAAGTTATCCCTCCTCTCAGAAACCAATATTTTGGGAGTATTTTATGCTACATATTAGCTCATCTGGGAACTGATAGAGGGGAATGATGCCCCACTCCTGTCTGATATATGAGGCAAAAACATCTAGAAATCCATCCTCTATTTAAGCTCTTATGATTATCACAACCAGGATGCCTGAGAATCTACACCAACATCCCCATTCATATTCATGGATCTTACCTATATTGCGCACAATTTCCACACTGAATACATCTTGCGGTCTGGAGCACTGAAACTCCAGCGAGACAGCAGTTTTCTCTTCTAACAACCGCCAGCTGGAGCACTGCTCCGGGGGTTCTCCGGCTCTGCACACTCTACAGCCTTTGGCCTGCGTGCTGCTGATGTTGAAGGTGGTGCCACGGTCAGGAGTGACCGTCAGCCTCTGAACTCCTGAGACCAAATCAGAGGGGGTGAAAATGCGCCCACACAAAGATTACCTCACCTACATGAGGCCACATGTAAACAGTGTGTTAAGATGATCTCTGACTCCCTCCTATGACTAAGCAGACTTGCAGGCAAAAGAAAACACACATATTGTGCGGCTTTGTTTCGGCGCATATCGCAGTTAAACCTCTACCTTTTTCTAGCAGACACAACCTATCTTCTGACACTCTCAGGACGGGAGGACTTGTTGAACCAACAACAGGAAAAAGCTCATTCAGCTACCCACAATAACAAGAGCAGAGCTCAATTTCTGGACTGATCCGGCCCTTTTGTCTTGAAACACTCAAACACAGTCTTTACAGTCGTGTAACACGCAAATAGATGCATTCATTTATAAATAAAATAATGGAAAAAATAACCCATTAATAGCCGAATAAACTCCCTTGAGTGAATGTTCGGTAAGTCCCACAGGTCTCCTCCTGATGTTGTTTTGATGTAGAATCAGAGCTATGTGATGAGCAGATATATCATTTCACAGCGAATCTGTGAGGCTGGCTGATCATTAACTCACCTGATATGGTGGAAACGACGGCCAACAGAAGGAAAATCTGTAAAGAGCGTCCGTCTGATCTGTAGGGGGACATGCTTCAACTCCGTAAATCTGCTCCTGAGGGAAACGAATTCAGCTGATTTCTCCTAACTCAGAATCCAGGGGTGCGATTATCCTGCGCCACATCGTCTTCGCCTTTTTCCTGAGAGCTCAGCGCGCAGCAGTCGAGACGCGACTCGTCTATTTCCTATTGTGAGTCAGGCGCCAGGGGAGTGTGGAAACAGGTAAGGTCAGGGCGTGGCCCGGGTGGCCATTTTAACAGGTAAAGAGTTCAGAACTTCGTTATGACGCAAAAACAGTCACGTCTCAGATAACCTCATCAAGAGCACGTCTACCGGGCCGGTTAAAAAGACAGCGCTTTGCTTTCAAGAGAAGAATTCTAATTTAGATTTTCCTCTTTATCCACAAAAATGCGTCCTTGTGTATGAGTCATAACTCCTCTGCATATCATAAGAAAAACGTTTCTCAATATGCATTGAATGTGAAATATTTTCTTTCTCAGAAAATGTTCTCAATTATCCCGTTCCATGTGATTTGCATTTCATTTGAGAAGATTTCCAAAAACTAACTAACAGACTGTTTCCAGTCATAATCATATTTATAAAAAAAACTCTGTTGTGGTCCTGTATAGAGCAACCTGACTCATTGAAACAAAGAGAAGTAAAATACTCCACCATATAGCTTGTACAAGATACACAAAGTGTGTTTGAAATTCTTAGAGAAAAGTAGAATTGTTTCGTCTTTAGAAAGGTGTTGGGGTTTCTAACTAGGAATTACACACACAAAACAACAATTGATATGGGTTTTATTGTTATAATTGAGTTTAATCCTAAAGTTTAAGCAAATCTATAGGTACACTCAGATATAAATCTTATCATTTGTAAAATCAGAGTCCCAGTGACTCCACAGCAATGTTCCTTCAGATTTCAATAAAAGGGAGACATCTGAAAATATTTTCACAGACACGTCCTCCCGTATTGCTTTTGATTAATATTGGAATTTTCAGGCTTGAATGTGAGACATTATTTGACAATCAGCTTAAAGATAAACCCCCTCCTGCCCTGGCCTGACCGCAGCTGCAAATCCAGGGCGAGGGTTATTGTTTATTTGTTTGCGGAGTGTATGGGCAGTCATTTACAGAGAACCTAAGAACCGCTCACCCTCTAATGTTGTTGCAAAGCAGAGAGTGTGAAGACATTCAACTTAATATACTACTTAAGATCAACGGAGCTGCAAAACACTAAACTTCTTCTCAAACGTATTATAAGTACATCAATAATTTAGCTCTTTAAGAGGATTTGCATGATATAATAGAAAGAAATGTAATGTTGAGATGCCTTGCTTTAAAAAAATGTGTTTGATACACCCAGCTCAGGAGTTTAGAAGTAATGTTTAGTGTTATTTAGTTTAGTTCTATTTTCTATTCATTTACCATAAAAGTATATACTGGTACAACTCTAAAGGTTAAATATTAGACTGTGTGGGGTTCAGGTATTTTAACTGCTACGGAAATGAAGAGTGAAGAGCAAAGAGAGAATAAGTGAGACATAACATGACCAGCGAAAGCCTACATAAGTGATTCCATTTTTATTTAAACTGTTGGAACATTAATACAAATAAACACGTGTCATGTACTTGAGTTTATAAATCTAACAATATAAGAATTGAACCTGTATATATCTTGATATAGCCAACACGCATTTATCAGAATTGATTGGAAAAGAAGCCTCTACATTTACTTTAGACGGAACATGATTATAAGTTGGATAACCACACACTTTCCTCTGTCAGTGCAAAAGTCCTACACATGGGAAATATAAGGCAAAGAACTCTCTAGAAAGATTAAAAACTATACAAACACTGTTTAAAGAGAAAGGTTTGCACAGTTTACATTGACGTATTCTACAGGAAGGCCTACAAGGGTATACAAAACACATTGTTGTTGGTCCCAGTATAGATTACTATTGGCTAGTACAACACACCTTGATACTTTACCTCGGTTGTCCTTATGCAAGGAAGGTGTAAAGGTAAAAGAACAACCAGCGCTTCCTCAGAACCACCGCAGTCATTCGTTGGTCCATGTGCACAGCTGGATGGCTACAATTATAGTATAGGCAGCACAGGCTATGATTAGAATAAAGATCTGACAGTTATCTCGGTCTCCTCTGCTCCATCCCGTTAGGCAGAAATCCTGCAATGATGGGGACTGGCCATATGAGAGCAGCAACACTCCACACGATGATAACCAGAGTCATGAAGCAAGCCACAAGTGTAGACTCGATGGGCTTTCTGTTCAGCCTCCAACTTTTGTCCCCCTTCAGCTCGTCGAGGCTGAAATCCACGCAGCAGAAAGTGACCTGGTCCCCGCTCTGCTGGCCCCTCAGTTTCCCCTGACCGAACCTCCGGTACCGGGACATCCCGCACCCCACGCACAGTCTCAACTCCTGCTGACCTCCCGTGACCCCGAGGTGCTCGATGACCACGGGCGAGATGGCCCGGTTGAAGGAGGCGGAGAAGAACGCCCTGCCGTGGTTATTGGTGGTGTAGATGAGCACGTCGCACTGGAAGCCGAAGCTGCTGTCCCAGCGGGCCACCAGCGAGGTGGGCAGCAGTCTGTGGACGCTCACGTTGCACTGGAACTGAGTGGGACCGGTGGTCTGCAGGGGCGAGGCGTCGGGCGACGCTTCACTCTCGTCCACGGACCGCTTGGAGAAGCGCACGTCCACCTCCAGGTTGGCCAGGAACCTGTTGGAGGAGTTGATGGGCGGCAGGAGGAGGTCTTCGTCGCTCCAGCCCCGGCATGGCGGGAGGAGAGCGGCCACGGCGGTCAGAGCCAGCAGCAGAGTTGGAGAGTTGTTCAGCATGGCACCGGGCGCGTCTCCCCTGCTCGCATGGTGCTGTGGCGATGCGCAGACGGCGGGCAACACGCGCAATGTTTGGAAAGGCTGGGGATTAAAAAAAAACCAACAACAACAAAAAAAACTCAGATCCTCACAGAAAAATTCAATTCCAATAGAAACGTCCTTAATCTGTCACACGGACACATCCCCCCATTCTCCTCCTTCCGGTGAAGAGATTTTCCTTCTGTCTTCAACAAATGCGCCCCGGTTTTTTGCTGAACAAGAGCAGCAGCCTGCGCTCTCAGCCTCGCGTCCTGCTCCGTCACTTCAGGTGTGAGCACTGAGCACCAAAACACAGGGGAGTGGTGAGGAGAGAACCCTCAGTGCGCACAGACGCACGCACGGCGCTCAGCGCAGGCACAGCCACAACACAAGTCCACACTTCGCAGACGGAAGACTTTATTCCCCCCAGTTTGGACGACAAAGAGCAGAAGCAGACCGCTTTAAAACAGGTCTGTTCACAAATCTGAAAGATAATTCACGCAGTAAAAACTTTGCATCCTAAATATGTTCTATGCAACTTTAACGAACAATTTTGATGTACGGTATATTCATTTGCTCAGTTGATTTCTCTAAGAAGTGCCTTACAAACAATGGACTTGTTTCTTATTTGATCCCAGATGAAATTCTACCTCTTTGCCATCAGGGCTGTGCTGTGTTGAGTACAGCTGATCTAAATGATGCAAAAACAAATTAGGTACAATTCCAACTATTTTAAAAGTTAATATTTCATGTGACCCCATATATTCTTCTACCCAGCGTGAAAGCCGTTTAAGAAGCTTTTGTTTATAGTCTTCAGGAATAGTCCAGATTTTAAAGCTTTGCTTTGGATGTTGGCAGCCTTTTGTTGATGATCCCACACTGCTTCAGTAATCTTGAGGTCTGGGCTCTGGTGAGGATTCACCCCTCCACAAAACATGTTGCCCCTTTTCAGTCCAGTTCTGTGGTCATTTGGCATATGTCAGCCTTTTCCCCCTGTTTCCCTTATTTAAGAATGACTTCTTGATGGTTGATGGTTGACAAAAAATGCAGGATAATGTTCTGGCTGTCATACGGTTCAACAGGGAATATCGTTTCATGTTTTATGTTGGTTTGTGTAACGTTTTCTGAAAGTCATGAGAACATTTTCCCAGCCTTCTCGTAACATTCTGGGCTAAAGCTGTGTTGTGGCTGGAGGATTCTCCCCAAATCTTTGCTTTGAGTGTCATAAAGTGATGGGAGAATCTATTATATTAATTTGGGAGTTGTCTCCTTAGGAAGAGGGACAATATTAAAGGCATGTTTATTTAGCTTTACTGACTGGCATTAAAATAATTACGCAAATAAAATCCTTGAAATCATTTGTTATCTCAGTGTCAGTGTGTGGTGCGAAACTAAATCCATAATTTTCCACCACTGACTATCCAAAAGCAGATAGGCAAGACACATTAAACTTCAGGATAAACTTGATTAACCTCAGTTATACCAATCTGTTCCAGCCATATACAAAACAAAGAAAAACAAAAAGCAAAAACATTGGATTAGTCATGCTCTAGTGGCCATATATCGGAATACGAAGGATACAGTTTAATGCAGGAGGTGAGAAGGGGTGCTGCAGTGCTCGATATTTGTATATATAGAAATATTCCCATGGGACTTTGCATAACAGGATTCCTGCTGAGTGCTGCAACAAGGTCACATCAGTTACTGGGACATTTCATTTGAGTGATTGTGTTCAAAGATAAGAAGTTAATCTCCATGCCATCCTGAAACGATTAACTTCTGAACCCTTATTTAGTCAGAAAAAACTCACGAGCCTCAGCTGCATCCACTATGCAAGCAGGCCAACTGGAGCACCGGGGGTTTACTGCCCCGCTCAAAAGCCCCCTCATCCGCGTTGGCAGAGAACGCCACACTTATCTCACTTGCGATTTGGCACATCATTTGTCACAAACTATCGAAATGAACTATGGGCAGTAAGAGATACGCAAAGTACTGTAAAATTAATTTTATTTTGACAGCGTAAGAGCAATTTGTAATATTTTTTTCCTGCCATTCAGTAATAAAGTATGTGCGAGATTCTGTGGTGTCACAGATACTCACTGCCTTCTCTCCAATTGTGCAAGGCCACATTTCATACACAATATTCCCACGTAAAAAGGCCGCCAGTTGTCATCTGTCTCTCCTTTTCTTTAATCATAATCATAACTTATGCACTTTACAAGACTTGTTACTATAGTTACCTACAGGATAGCATAATGATTTAAGAGAACTGAAAAGTCAGTGCCTGTGGGCTGGATCTTCATCTCTGTTCTGTTATATATTTACATGACAGAGCCAGTGGTTCAATGGATTAAGAACAAAAATGGTCACTGAGCTTGCCATGAATTTCAACTGACATCACCTTTTTCTTTCTAATTTAGTTTTCTATGTAGATGCATTTAGCTGTTATCTGTAAAAGATGTAGAGCCAACAGTCCATAATCTCCTCCCATGTGTGTCCATCTGCTATTAGCTCCATGAGCCTCCTGTATGTTGATGTCTGTGTCCCTTGAGCAAACTATCCTCTCAGGGAAAGTCAAAAACATTCATAAACATGTGGCTCTCCTGTGCCGCAGCACCAGGGGGGTTTGTACACAGGGCACCTCACCGTCTGCTCTATCTGATACTGGAGAGAACACAGCCATCTCTCCCACTTCTGTCCTACCCCCAATTGTGTTTGTGTTTCAGATCCAGCACCTTTTTTGCGTAGAGCAAATCTGACTACAATGGGGACACAGCTGCACTTGGTCTCAACTGAACAGAGCTGACATAGCAGTTTAAATATTAGGATTTGCAGCTGAACACCTGGTCGGTTTTTAGCAGGAAAGGTTTTAGATGGATTTAGCTCAATTCACGATGAGCACAAGGTAGAATACACACCTCTATGTAGCCAGGATTGAGTGCTCTCATCCATACACTATATGCGTTATATCTCTACAATCTAAAGTCTAAAAACCTCGATCAGGTGTATCAATATAAATGAGAACTGAATGCAATGATTTTCAGATCTCATAAATGAGTGATTTATTCACAGTAATACAAAGAAAACATTTCAGATGTGGAATGGGAGATTTTTCACTACTATATGAAAGATTTTCTGTAATCTTAAATTTGGCACAAAATGTCCCATAATGGTTTAGAATATGCCACGTTTATCAGTTTAAATGGTTGTTATTGAGCAGTTAAACAATGCTAAAACAAGTAAAGCTATCTTAACAAGATATTTGCGAGAGTTATATCATAACATCACCGACTTGTAAGTTGACCTGATTAGTTATGTTTCTCAGCTTCTTCTTTTTAAAATCCCATTTTCAGCACTTGCTGGCCTCTGTCAACATTTCCAAATAGCTGCACTGTCATTCAATAAATGTGAGTTCATATTTTTGATATTTTCCTCATTTGTTGTGTCTTAGATGCTTTTCTTGCAATTTTAAACATTAGGAGTTACAATCCTCGAACATTGCCACAATACAAGATATTTCAGTGCAACAACATGTAGAATCATGTCTTTAATAATGATTCATAATGTAATAATGATTAATAACTATTGAAAGGATAGGTTTTAGGTCACCAGTTTTCTTCAATCACCCAAATCTGCATGTTTTTCCATGCCTTCTGTTTGCCACATTTCAAATTGCATCTACTCAGAAATGAATGATGCTTTTCAACATCATATACACTTCCTTACTACTAATATATAATGCATCAGAAACAATAATAAGCTATTGACAGAATGAGGTCATTGACCAGAAGCTAAATGTGATGAATTATGCTGTTTCATCTTTGCAGCCTGGGAAATATTAATGCTACTTGGGCGAATCCTTTTCTCCAGTATTATTTCAATGGTATAATTTGTTGCCGTGGCCTGCCTCTTTGTATTTGATGTAAGCTCCAGCAGAAAGTAAAGATGCTTTGGCCTCAATTTGCACCTGAATGTGCTTGTCTGCTCGTCTCTGCTTAATTGTGGCAGCATATTCAGCACTACACTTTTGCTTTAAAACAATCACCCAGTTGTTTGGATCTCTTTCTGCTCACTCAGAAGTCTCTCTGGAGCTCAGAAACACTCCCACACGTCTCCAAATGCAGGTCCCTCTGCATCAGATATGCTCTTGACAATGTTCTGTTGAGAAGAGCAAGAAAATGTAAATGACTTTTGTGTTCATTAATTATGCTATAAAAATGTAAATGACTTGGGAGACGAAAATGCAAATGGATAAGATAAAAGTCCACTGCTGAAGGAAAATGTATGAAAGATTCATTTTCTCAAAACGTGGCTCTTTATTCAGGAAACCAAAAGCAGGATCTGCAGCAGCTCCTTACTGGTCTCCATCAGCTCTGTGCTGGCTCAGACAAGTTAGTCTGACCCCCCCCGCCTCAAACACACAACCGACTTAATTAGAAGCTGAGGAATGGGCTTGTGCATCCACAAAGCAGCAGCATTAAATGTCTTTCTTAACATTTGAGCTCGGCGAATCCCTTGTCTGTCTCCAGAGGACATGTCATACCCCCAAACACTGCCAGAACATATCACCACGGCAACAACGACGGTGGATTCCTTGTGAGCCAACTAATGAAGAAATGCCCAGTTTGTTTGCTTGTTATAGTGATAATGAAACTAATAACAACACTGTCCACCAGTAAAATGAGTAACAATGCTGTGTTTTGGGTACGATTCACAGGGTAGCAGCGGTGATGTTTTCGTATCAGTGAGAAAATCTGATTGAGTCAGGGGGTAAAAGCTCACAGTTTGCAAAAAGCATGAGAAAAAACACCAGGAGCAGAATCAAATGAAACGTGTGTAAGTGCAGGCTTTTGGCCTAATTGACCAAATATCAAGAAAAAGCCTTTTTATATATGACTTAGAATGTCTACTGCAGTGTCCTTGAATTTAAAAAGGCTATTTCACACACAAGGTTTGGAATAAAGAGGTGGACATCCACTCTGCAAAGCAGGTCTGCTGCTCACTGACATAAGAGCTGTGTTACGTAAGGTCTTTTGGAGCTTAGAACTCAACCTGATTGAAATGCTGTGGTGGGACCTTAAGGAAGCTGTGCATAATCAAGTGTTCCAAACCTCAACGAACTAAAGTATAAACTCAAGGAGGAGAGAGGACCAAAAATTCCCCCATAAAACTCATTACTTATTATCTCCTCTTCAGAGTGTGATATTACATTAATGGCTCATCAGTGATGCATTCACATCAATCCCCGTTGAGTTAAACGAAAGTCTAATTGACTGCTGAGGTGATGAATTCATATAAATGAACCCCAAAGTGCACGAGCAAAATGTCAATCTGAAAAATAATTATGGCACCAAACCCAGCAGCCACCGATGCGTTAATGTACGTCTTAATGTGTGCGAGCGTATATGTGTGTTGTTTTTTGCCTGATTTCGATGAAAACATCAAGACTCAAGCAAAGAATCTGTGAAATAAAAACATTCTTGAACATGATTGAATTCACATTTCAATAGTTGCAAACTTTGTGAAGATAGCAGAAAATTATGTTTACTTGAAAAAAAGAGCCAACTCAGTTACTCTCAACGACTGCTTAACTACTGCCTTAAAAGAATGGGGGGTGCTGATCCAGAACGGATCCAGTTAGTTAGAAACATGTCACAGTTCACACGGCTACAGAAAGATGAAGTGGAGTTTGTGCAAACATGAAATCTTTCTTCCAGATCGGAGCATGTCATGTGTCTGTGTAAAAGATGGATCAGGATAGATTCACAGAGGCCTCCGGAGCCGATTGTGTGAGATCTTGTTCCAGCTGCAAAGTTCCCTCCTCTCGATCTGTGCCACCGTGTTTCTCCCACAGGCCCCGCTCCTGCATGAGCACAGATAAGTGAAGGACACATGAGGTTGTCAATGTGAAATAGGCCCGGGAAATAACATCACACTTATCAGGCTCCTTGAACCGCGGTCGGCGACACGCAGAGACCCATCAGGCTTCTTGTCCCCGGTCTCTGGGAGCTGAGATGGTGTGAGATTGCTTCTCCCTGGCTCGGGCTGGCCCACCTCTCATTCAGGCAGATGTGGATTGTAACTCACACTCCGGGTCCTGAAAGGGCACCTTGGACAGGTAGAGACAAGTCAGCCCTCCTCGGCTTTCTAACTAACAGATTGCTGTTCCGGTAACTCCGCGTGGTCGTTTGTCATGTGCTTCTCTGCTGGTGAAATGCAATCGTCCTCAGAAACAAGGAGAGAGGGGATGATTACCATGGGCTGTTTGTCATGGTGAGAGCAAGGAGGCGGATGCGAGTCGAAAAAGTGGATGATTGGTTGCTTTCAAGAGTGATTTGTTTGAAAAACAACGGGAAGCCTGCTTGAAGCGGGGACACAGACACAATGTTGAGTTCCAAAAAGCCCCAGCTATCATCCAACAAAACCAACTGATTAAAAAAACTTTTCCATTTTTCTAAATATTAAGAATAAAAGATAAGGCGGTGGACCACTGAGACAAAGCTGGCAACCAGAAAGCTGATGAGAATTTCACAGAAGTGATTCCACGTTTTCTATCAGATTTCCAGGAATAAACCATCTTTGTTCGCTCTAACACTCCCAGAGGACAGAGGCTCCATCTGCTCCTCTCATAAGATGTCTGTCATTTTTCTTTACTCTTCATCTGCTAAGAGGACAATCATAAAAAATACCAGGTATAGTTGTGACAACATTTAAGGGAAAACATTTAGTTTATTACCTCAAGTCTATGTCAACATGTATTCCACTCTCTGCTTGTAATTCAACATTACAAATAACCTTATCTTTCAATTGCAGCTTTGAATGTTACAGTATGCAGACAGTAAATTTTAAGAAAATGTAGGAACAACATGCAATGGTGTTTTTCAACCTGATTCAACCTGATTTTCTGTAATTTCATTTCCTGTGGTGTATTAGAGACGCTCATCTAAATGCAAAGGCACACCGGAACTGGAAAGAAAGCTTTTTTCAGAAACCCACACTGGTGTCCTAATTTTTTAGGGCATTAAAATGAGTGGTGGTGAAGCATAACCTAATCTAGCTCTTTGAATGGTCCCTTTCACAGCTCTGTGGTTATATAAGTGACCACAAGAAGGAAATGACATAGCAAGAACTTTAGATGGAAACAGTAAGTGTTATGCATTTTGATTCCAACACAACTGAAACTTTACAAGGTTATTAATTATGCAGCATCTTATTAGCACATTAGCACAAAAGTCTCAGTCAATTTCTGTCTTTATTATCTATTTCCTAAATTGATCTTCCTCAAAATTCCTGGATATTTTGCAACATTCTGTGTAAAGAGTCAGTCATAATGAACAACAGTAAAGTGTGGAGTCAGTGTGTCTGAGATGTTTGTCAGAAATATGTGTGCATGCCAGTCAAATTTACAGTGTCATCTCTGTACCTTTACATCTAGCTTTGCAATCCCTATCATCACAAATAAAGTGTCCAATTGTTTTATTGTCCAGAGCATTGACAGAAGTTCTAGTTTTTAATTAAATGTGTTGCAGTCTTCAAAATCACCTGCAGCCTGACGTAAAATAGTAAAGAGGGGAAGAGGTGAGCAACAGATGATTAACCTCTGTATCTGCAGATTATATCTTTGGCTGCAGAAAGTTAGCCTCTCCAGTGTGAGAGAAACCCATTACCCTCTCATTTTTCCGCTGCAGCCACATCCTGTGGTGCCCTGGGCAAAGACGCTTGTTTGGCTCTGATATATGATAGGGAGTCAGAGCGAAGCCCCAGGTTTGGCTGCCTGACGTCAGACACAGGAACTCTCCTTATCCCCCTGCTAATCATATCCTCGCGTGCTTCTTCTCCTTCCTCAATGAGTCTGACTTCACGGCTCCTGCCAGCACGGCAGATCAAAGGTGAGAGCCATGGGGAGTGCTGGCAGGAAAACAGACTGATGAGATGCAGGCTCCTCGTCATCTTCATCCTTGGTGCCTCTCTGCTCTGCGATGAAGATCTGAATATAAGGCAGCAGTCACATTGCCACAAAAGTAATTCTCTTGTTCTCTTCTATGAAAAACTTACAAGGCCTCCCTCCAAAAGTGTACGGTTACTGTCAGTAAATCAGTGAAATATGAATAGTGGTTCCCAGGCTTTGTGGTGACCCTTCTCATGCATGGATGGCTGACTTTTGGCACGAGTTCAGTATTGTGGTCTGAGGGAGGTTATGCGTAACAAATGAAATGATGGTGGACATTTGAAATTACAAATACGTTTTTTTAAACAACTCATACTCAAGATTTGTTGGCTCTTATCATCCGTGACAGGGAAACATATGCAGATGACTATAATAAACAATGAGGACAACACCAAGGTTTTCAGCCTGTGAAATATCACTCATATCATGTCACACTTTACACCTCCCCCCTCAGTTACATCATCATATGGAATCTTTCATTGCTGGAACATAAGCCCTTTGTCATGTGAGCAGCTTAAATAATTAAGCAGCGAGTATAGTTTTTGGTCCGGGCCTCTAGTTTGAGTCAGAATAATTGGCAAAGCAATAAAAAGAGAAAGATGATGGTTTGTAATATTGTGAGAAATAGATGGGAATGACCAAATATGCATGATGAAACCATTTAAAAAATAAAGTGAAACTGTGCTTAATTTATGTTGAAAAAGAATATATGAAGAAAAGAGAAAAAACACAAACATGACTGCAAGAAGAATGGAAGCCAGGACCAATTTTAATGATTTCCTCAGGAAAGCAAGCACAATCCTGCTCTTTTTTCTCACTGTCCATACTTATGTATTTTCTAATGTCATCTCATAGTTTAGGAAGTTGGGGATGGACAATGATAACAACACAAAGACTTCTGGGTTAATTTAACATGTTTAGACATAGTGTTTTTGGTTTGTGCTTATTCCCATGCTACAGCTTCCTAAAATTCCTAAAATTCACCTCTATTGTTTTGGTATTGTCAAGACCTAAAGGCTCAGAAAACCATCTCTGATTTTGGCCTAAAAACAGGGTTTTAAAAAGGGCTCTTAACAATGAATGGTATTTATTCTGTCAGTTTAGACGTCTAAGCTGCTGAATTCAATTTCCGGTCTCTGCAGGCTATTCTGTGAAAATAGACGGATGAAAAGTAATATCAAAGGTCAAAGATTGTATGGTTGCTAAGGTAACACAGGGAAATTTTGGTCGGAATCAACTGTAAAAGTCTGGTAATAGCGCGTGCACGTACTGGTAAGATAAGTGCGCACGCACTGGAGGTGATTGAGTTAAATAATAATAAAAAAAAAGCTTTGTTACGGTTTTGTTTCTGCCGTTGCGCAACGTGTTAATAAAGGTTATTGAAATCCAAGATGGCTGCGCCCTATGTAGTGGCATGAAGCTGAGGTTCAGATAATTTATAAAATGTTAGAGGACCCTACGTGATGTATTTAGACTCGACAACTTGTTTTATGTTTGTCTGGCCATAACGCGGTGACAGAGGACCGGGAAATACAACAGTAAGTTGCTCCAGAGACCATGTTCTTCCTTGAAGAGTCGCCAGTTCACCCTTCACTGACATGAGACAAGTGTAGCTAACAAACACGACCGAAACACATCCACGGCGAGTTAAAGGGGTGCTCGAATTGTGTGCTGTGTTCTGCTTGTGGGTTAAAGGGGAGCAGAAAGCATGTTTCATGGGAATGAAATGAATGCCATCTGGCACAAGGAGCCGGAAATATGCCGCATAAGAGCTTCGTGAGGGTCAAGAATTCAAAGCATGACATGCGAGCATCACAGCGTGCTAGTCTGAACAGAATAGAAATCATCTTTATTGTCATCATACAGTGTATAAACTAAAAATGAATATATTTTCAGGGAGAAGGAGATAGAGGGAGAGACTGTTGCTTCTCTATTGTACTGCTGTCATTTAGAAAACATAGTCTCCTCCTTCAAAAACTGAACAGCAGCTTGGGGAAACTCAGAAAGTGAAGTCTCATAATGTAGCTTCAGTGTACCACTTTAACAACAAGGTGAACCAGTTAGCCACGAATAATGGCGTCCCGTGCTTTAATATATAAATGTTTTGAAAAAGGGGCACCAAAAGCCTGTATTACATATAAATGTACCCTCATATCTACATATTCATCCCCTTTGGCAGTGATGGAAACTCAGCCTCAGAGGGTGTCATTTTACCAAAATGTAACTAAGAGCTGTTTCATGCCTATTGCCACTGAAAGTCAAACCGTTGTTAAGCTAGTTGAGAATTGATTTAGAACTTAATATGATTGGCTTGAATGAATATGAAGCTATATGGGGGGCTTTGTTTAAACAAAGGATAGGAAATAAACTGATAAATGCACAGTGCTGTGTTTTGGCTGCCATTTTGATGGCTTAAAGTGAGCATGTTTTTCCCTCTTGCTTTTAGGCGACAGTGCTAACCACCAAACCACCATCCTGCTAGAATTATTTTTTTCATTTTCATTAGTTTGAGCTGATCTGAGATTTATAAATCAATCTTACAAGTAGAGAAGTCAGATGATTACTGAGGCTTTTTTGATAAGTAACGTTTTTACAGCCTAGAGGACTCTATATTATTATAATTATTTCCAAACAATATAGCATTTGACAGCATAGATCTACCACTTTTATGTGATTGAAGAATGAATGAACATGAGCTCAAACATGAGCAAACACTTATGTGGTCTGACACATGTCTTGATCGGCTCCTAAACCTACACAAGTCTGTGGTCCTGGACCCTGACCTTACGGTGAAGCCTTGCCTCCCGCTCGTGCAGTGGACGCGTCAGCGCCAGAAGTTTTCAGTCCCTCTTCGTAGGAGCCTCCCAAATGCAGTCGCCATAGAAACGCTGTCTCGGTCTCTCGTCTCGGCCCACTCACTCACGCCGTCAGGGATGTGCCCGAGCTGGAGTGCTCGGCTCCACCAGCCGCAGCCTGAGGGAGCAGCGCTGTTTGCTGCCATGCTTAGCGTATACTCGAGAGAATGTAGTGGGAGGTGGGGGAAAAAACATCCCAACGAGCAGGTGGGTGGAAGTGGAGAGGCTTTTTCTCTTTATATTTGCCTGGTTTACATAACTGAGTAATCCCCCAGACTCCCCCCCAGCAGGTCAGATTCCATCTCCATGATGAGGAGAATTGCACTTTCTTGCATTTGAATGCTACGCTTTTTTCTTAATATTTTCTTAATAATGTGTCAAATTTTTTAACCAGGTCCGAATCTTTGTTAAATTGAGAGTTATTGATGTCTTTTTGCTTTTGAACTTCTTCTCTTTAAAGTACTTTCATCACTTTGTAGAATATAGAATCGGCAGCCCACCACAGCTTAAGATAAGCAGTAGCAGTTCTTATTTATTTACCTAATTTACATGCTTATCTCGGTTCGTTGTCAGGCAGCGAGGATTGTCATTTCCTCCAGTCTGCTGCTCCAAAGGTCTCTGGCTGCCTGAGATCCACATGCATCAGAGCAGTGAGATTAGTCTCTTGATGGGTCAGGCTAGCAGCAGTTGTACTCCTTTGCCAAGGAAGCAGACAGTACTGATAAGTCAGGTTACCATGGAAACTGTGTTTATGCACATGTCTGAGTGTGTGTGTGTGTTTTGTTGTGCAAATGACAAATTTAGGTCAAATGTTTGTTTGTTTTAAAAAAATGTATGCATGCAGCTGCCTGTCTGACCTACATGAGGCCAGAAACAAGTTTGGTATGTTTCTGTGTTCCTGAAAGAGGGATAAACCTTTTTTTGTAGTAATCCAAAACAGACAACAATGACCTCTTGAATTTTGTTAGATGCAGGACAGCTTAAATTTAAATTTAGAATCCAGAATAATCCTGCTTTCCATGTCTATAATCCAGTATTTCATGATTTTCAGCTAACAGTTTGAGGAAAGCAGGAACATCCATCCAGGTTATGCTCAGAGGCAGCTGGACTCCCTCGCCTCCTTTAATTTGGTTAAAAAATTCTAAAACCACAGGGAAGCTTCAACGGACAGATCTGTTCTTTCCAAATGTCATCCAGGCATCAGAGCAGACAGGCAATTTGATGAGAACAGTCTTCAAGGACTCACAGAGCCGTGGTCACATCACACTGAATAAACCTCTTATTTCACAAAAACCATGCTGTTGTGTGAACAACGTGGTGTGAAATGCATCAATTGCGAAACAGCAGCAGTGAGAAATAATGTCAGATGAAGGGCTGCAGGAGAGAGCTGTCAGCCTATTCAAAATCATGGTCATACGAAAAAAAACGGCTGTTCAGGGAAATACCTTTGGTAGAAAATACTTTTTGGTACTTTTTGTTAGAGCTGTGAGTTAAAATGACCCCTGCGTTGATGATGGACTGATGTGAAGTATAAGGTGATGTCACATTTCTCTACCAGCCAATGAACTATCCAAAACTTGCAGCATATTACATTTATATTGACACAAAAAAGAAGAAAGAAAGAAAGACATGCTTTCATTTTGAGTTTATGAGAACTGGTGGATTTTAGAAAATATTCTGCTCAGCTTCACCTCAAACAGTTTATGATGTTTCTTATTTTTCCAGTCTCCTGCCTAATAGTGAAAATTGCACCAGTTTCAAAGTAGTTTATTGAAGCCGACATGCCTCCATAGAAGAAATTCCTGAATGTCACCAGTGGTCCACCTTGTATGTGTTTTGTGTATTTCAGGAGGCACAGTCATGTTGGTGTCCATGAGCAGGCTGAGTCGGTTTCCACTCTGCACAGCGGGGTCTTGTCGAAGCGCAGCTGATCGCCTGAGCACAGGGCTCCGCCTTTTGTCCCCCGGCATCCGCACCCTGTTCAGTGAGACAGGGGTTTGGGAAAAAGACTACCGAAGTGACACCAGACGCAGAGTGGAAGAATGGTGGCACCCACGGATTATGGAGCAGTGGAGGAGGGACGCGCTGGAAGAGGTAAGAGTGGCTATATGGTTTAAAGCATATCAGGACCCACTCACTTATTTGAGATGTGTGTTTTTATACTTTTTGGTTTGCAAACATTGTACTTTTCAGAAACCCTAACTGTGGCACTCAAACTGCTGGCTTACACTATGATAAGGAGGTCTTGGTTATTTATTCCAATACATACAAGAGTAATGTGCCTCCAACCTACAACATGCAGTATATTGACATTATAATATGAAAAAGAACAAATTATCCATAATGTGAGCAGACTCCAATATTTGACTAATGCATCCCATTAGTCACTATAAACAATCATCATAGTTTGATATTTTTTGTAATGGGCTGTTTGGAGACTTCAACAAATGCATCGTAAAAAGGTTTTTATCAGGATGTCTTGACTATTGGGTCTCCTTTGATGAAGCTCTTAAGGGGAAATGTGGCACATCTGAACAAACTAATGAGAAAGGTCCTTTTTTTCAGACTTTAATGGCCTTACTGGAGATGGTGTTGCTCCTTCTCAGAGAAATGTGGCATTGTACTTGAAGAGTCATGTTGACTGTTCCTGTTAGCAGACAGTATCATCTTTGGTGAATTTTCCAGAGCCCATTATTTCCATTATTCCAGAGGGTCTGGACTTTGCCTATATGTTTATTTCTGTGGTTTGAATTTCCCCAGACACATGGAGCTTTTTTCATGAAAGGTTAGACTTAATGACCTCCTACATTTATGTATCAAATAATAGACAAGACCAACAGGAGTCAGATGTCAGTAAACATTGTCCACCTGGTGTTCTCTCTGACCTTTTATACCTTCATGGAAACATCTCTCTGTGGCTGTCAACTCGCAACACTGGCGCATCCAAAAGCAACCAACAAGTCAGACTGACTTCACTGACTATCCGGGCCACTTGATGAACTGCGCCTCTCTGAATGAAGTGTGTGTGTCCCCCTGCAAGTCAGACTATTTACTGTGGAAAACGGTTGATTCCTCGTTCCAGTGTGCTCCAACTGAAAACAAGATTCTGGATTAATTGTATGAAAACTTTTCTATTGGGTTGTTATGCATCCTTTCCTATCCTCCCCCAGCTGTAACAGGTGCTGGAGCTGTGTAGATCATCTCAGATCCAGAGCTCGGGCTGATTATGTATCCTAATGGCCCGAGTGTGTGTCTGCCTGGGTTAGGCTGGCGGTGATTAAGTGCATTTATGACAGGACGCTGGTTTTAATTAATTTATTGAAAAATTCATGACTCAGGTTTCCCATAATCTTATATAGCTGTAACTGGTACTTACGCTGTTGCCTCGGTAACAGTATTTTTACTGTAAACCGTCCATTATCTGCGCGACTAGCATTTAAATTCTGACACTATAATCAGCCGATACTTGAGAGTCACTCAGTAGCGGACCAGAACGAGCCAGCGCTGAGTTATTACTCCTGTCCTGACCTCATCAGTTTAACACAGTCTCTTTTAATCAAAGGCTCATCCAAATGTTGCCCATTTGGATTTAAACCAGGCACTATGATGCTTTCCAACCTGTCTATGTCTATTTTATTTAAAACCTGGATAAATAACAAGAGTTTCCTTGCTTTCTACAGAATTCAGACAGGAAGAAATTTTATGTCCTCTCTATGTTCCCATACCCATCGGGGCGGCTGCACATGGGTCACGTTCGAGTGTACACCATCAGTGACACCATCGGCCACTTCCAAAGAATGAGGGGTCATCAGGTATGTCTGCTTTTGGTCCTACTATTTTTCACCGTTCCCTTTGTCCTCCCCTTAAACAAACAAGGCACACCGGCAGCTGTGGCTGAGTCATATGTCAGGTTGTGATTAGTTGGGAATGAGAGGACAATGGGCTTGTTGAGCAGAGGTCTGTTGACAGATGAGAGGTGATGGTTTTGAAACACAGGGATGTGAGAGTAACTGTCTATTTAACACATTGGAGCTGAAAACAACAAACCAAAACTGCCCAAAATATAAATATTAGTCAATTATTGAGCTTAAACTGAAATACTGTCTCAGATTCTCACTTCAGAGTAGCTGGAATCAGAGTATATTCTACACAAGGGTTAATAAATGTTGTATTTCCTCAATCTAACACAAAGCTTTGCATGCAAAAAGAAAATCTTGTCTTTCTTAAGAAAACAAGGCCCAACACCTCCCCCACACACAGTACCATTTCTACAAAGTACCCTTGACTTGTACGGAGGATAAAATAACATTTTCAAATACTGCAAAGCTCTGAGGAATGATCCATTTTGAAAAAAGATCAGATATATGCCCTCTCTTAGTTTTTTTAAAGGCACACGCTTTCATTCTGACTTTTAGCTCCCTAACCAGCCTATAGGCTTTTTTTTTTTTTGACAATGATGTGTTGTTCCTATTTGTCCAAGTTGGCACACATCCACCTGCAAGTAAGAAATACCAACCAGCACACAGGTACTGTTGATGTTGGGGTTTCGTTGTGGTCTGCTTCATATGGAACAGGCGACGAGCTTTAGAGATGCATGGATTTGAAAATTAATCAACAAGTGTGTACATGAAACAAGGAGAGTGTGATTGACTCACAAATGATTATGAATTTCAATCCTCTCAAAACCACGTGCACATAAATTAAACTGATGGCCATTTGAGCCGCTGGTGGATGTGGGACTCTCTCCTTCTCATTTGCACATGAAAACATCGTTTGCGCCACAGCTAAACAGAGAGCCGAACGAGCAAAGTTTTACTGCATGTGGGACTGGTGCACTCATCAGTGGGGAAGAGCAATTTCATTCTGCTTAACTCATCACAAATGAAACAAAGATTGCCGAATGGATTGGAGGCACGTTGCCACGGCAACCGCTGGGTCTACATACACAGACTTGACAAGTACGAGGTACAAATAGTTGTTGCTTTGGCACACATGGGACCATGCATTAACTTCCATGTTAAACTGCTAGAATAAATAGATAATAAGTAGTGGACCCGCTTATATAATTCTATCATTTTGGACTCATAAGTCTTTTTTGTTTACCAAGACTAATTTTGATCAAATAATCTAATTTTCACACAGCTCCACAGTTGTATTAAAAGTAACACTTATCTCTAGTTTTTTATTGGATGGCTTAAGTTCTGGTTTGATATTGCATGATATTCTAAACCAGAGGGTGCAATTAGATTCACTGTATGAAAGTATAGCTGATACCCTAAAAGCACTGTACTCTTAACCACTGTCTGGCCTCACCATCTGCGCTTTTAAAGCCCCCAAAATGTCAGCATTTCCTCCACATTACCACTTCCTTTGGTTAGTTTTAGCTGTGTTTCGTATTGTACAAGTCTCTTCACTATATTCCTGAATTTCTACATCTTCGGTCTTACCTCTTCTACCTATTGGTGGGTCCATGTTATAAAAAAGTTTAAAGTCTGGCATTTAGTTGAAAAGCATAACATTCAGTCACTTAATTAATTAAAATAATTACTTAGATACTGTTCAAGTGGAAAATGTATCTATGTCCCTCAGAAAATACATTCACTACTCAAGCAAATACTAGACTCCATTTCCCTTTTGCTAGAGTAAGACTTATGCAAGAGTCCTGAAAAACAAAGAGGGTTACATTCAAGAGCATGACTATTGGATCCTAAAAATATACATGCTTTTCAATAGCTTTGCTCAGTTTGATCTCTGAACCAAGATATTTTAGTGATAGCCGCCTCCTATTGAATGTCTTCAAATAAACTTGTGTTTTCCTCTTTGTTATAAGCTGCCAGTTGGCGAAACTGTGAGGTTTCAAACGTGCAGTGGTAATTTTAAACCTCCCCATGAGGTCTCCTTTTCTGGGCAGAAGTAGGTGTAAATAAAGTAGAATCCATACTTGTGATCTTTAGCCCTCTGGTGTGTTATTGACTGGGCGCAGATCAAAGTGCTGGTGTCTGTAGCTCTCTCAGTGCTCTGTTTGAATCCAGTAAACAGTTGTTGATGAAGCTGTGGCCGGTGTTTGTCAGGTGGATCATTCTCCAGCAGTTTTTCACTCAGTACCTGTCCACACAGTCATTCATATGTGTCTTTACCCGGGAGAGAAATCGCTGCGTGACAAGCATCTTCCCACCTCGGTGTCCTATCCCTGGTGGATTGTTCGCTAAATGATGTGCATCTCCCACCTAGCCTTTAGAGAAAATCCCTGTTTATCCTGTCTGGGTTCTCCCCAAACAGAAACATGGTTTCACATGAGTGGTAAGTGCTTCCTCCACTGAACTGTTCTCTCCCAGCATCTGTCTGACAGTAAGTCTGGTTCCACGGGATGCAAACAATAAATTTTCTTCGTCTCTTAATAAGAAAATTGGGTATTTGGTCGATGGTTATATCGACTTTTGAGCTTTAAAAAAAAAACATTTTTTTTTGGTCTTTTGTCAGCATTATAGACCAATTTCTGTCATTTTGGGAGTAAAATGTTTTTTAATTCTTCTTTAAAAATTCTCTTTTTATTTTTAATTTCTTAATGTATAAAATATGTTAAATATGTACAAATTCTGGACCATAGGAAGGAGACCTCATCTCCTGAAGTATTTTACTGGAAAGCAGTACTATTTAAGTTTGATCTGACTTTGGTGTTTTTATTTCTCTGATAAATGGAGCGTACCATGAAAAAGGTCCACAATGGTCAGTGTTCAGGGTTCCCTCACACTCATGTTTTCACTAATACCCCCCAATATCTTCACTTTTTGAACAGGGAGCTGAAACCGTCTGCTTTTTACTGGGGAGGATGCAGTAACTCTTGTGTCCAAAAATAATTACAAAACTTGATTCTATTATTGTATTCTTAAAGAATTTCCAGAAGCTAAGCGACACTTTAACTCGGGTGAAACTATTTTATTTGAATCCTGAAATTCTTAAAATTGTAACATTTTTAACTTCTATTTATGTTAATCTAAATGGAAGTAGTGGCTTAAACAGATACCTGCTGTTTGGTTAGAATCAGTTCAGCTTCAGCAGAGGGTCGTTGAAGGTGCCACACATGGACTGAAGCTGCTCTCTGGAGTGGTGTAGGTGGACACTCTTCCTAAGCAGCCACTCCACATTCATAGAATCAGTCTCCCCGCTCTTCTGTCTTCCTTTTGATGAACTGAGCCGTAGGTGCATGTGTCCGTCTGTGAATGGCACTGACCTGTCTGATATTACAGTGAGCAGACACTCATGTAATCAGGCTCTGCTGACTCCCACCTCCATCCACCGGCGCTTTATGTCACTCATGATCTGAAATCCATGAAATTAGTTTGCCTCAGAGTCTGACTGAGTGAGACCCCTTATGTGGACATAATGATAAGTGGTGCTATTATATGTGGGGGTATAATCTGCCTCTGCCACCCTATTTGAACTTCTCTTACAGTTTCCCAGAGAAAATACTCTCACTTAAACTATTTACGTTGGACAAACAACATAACATATCAATTCGGTGAAATGCACACTTTTCTGCTTTTTTTTGTTCCCAGAGGCTATATCCGACGGGTGCTTTGTTTTCTGTCTGCTTGTGTTTTCCCCGAACAGAGCAAGCCAACCCTCTTGTTTTAACACCGTCCAGCACTCAGCTTCACAAATAAGGCCCATGCAGTTACCAAGGATACCAATCCGTCAGAAACATCAGACCCGTTAGGGTCCGCGCAGTGATCCTCTCCAGACCTCCACTCATTGTCCCTCTGCCTCTCCTCCACTTTACTCACTCCTTCCACTCGTGCTTTCATACACTTTCTCTCTCAGTGAGCAGTAAAACCGCCAAAGAGCTCAAGAGATGACTGAGATGAGACATTGTCTTGAGTGTTCTTGAGCAGAAAGAAGGTTGATAAAATGGTTGTGGATACAAAGCACAGTTGGATAGGGAGAAGACAAATACTTTGAGAAAATGAAAAATTATGTAGTGTAGAAAGTTGTCATGAGTATCTTGTTGACTAGATTGCAGCCATTACCTCCTCATCTTCCATTTTCACTTGCTATCATTTTATGTTGGACCTAAAGTTGGTCTACATGCGAAGACATTTGTGAAGACATTTTCATCTCAGCAGGGAACCGTCATATCACTTTTTCGGCTCCGTGTTTATTACACATGAATAATTTCTGCCATCCCTTGCTTAAAAATCATTGTGTGTTCTTTATTTGTCATAGCAACACAGCTGTTGCCTGATTGAACATTTATGAGAAAATGACCACTAACACGGCGCGGGTGACTGAATCGACAGGTGCTGAATCCGATGGGCTGGGACGCATTTGGACTCCCTGCTGAGAATGCAGCGATAGAAAGAGGTCTTGATCCGGAGGAGTGGACAAAGAGGTATGTGAAATCAGATCTAATCATGTTATTTTTTTCCCCTGCTATTGTCCATACAAACATCATTTTCACTCTTCTTCCATTCAGTAACATACAGTCCATGAGGGAGCAGCTAGACAGTCTGGGATTGTGCTTCAACTGGGACCGGGTAAGCAGGAACTGATGAAAGGAGAGTATCACACACAGAGTAAAACAGATTATAGTCTCATTTGCTCTCTCCTGAGTGTGCACTGCACCTCACCCAGCAGACCTAACTGTAGCCTTTCCTCACAGGAAGTTACCACTTGCCTTCCGGACTACTACAAATGGACACAGTATTTGTTTATCAAGCTCTTTGAAGCCGGATTGGCGTATCAGAAGGAGGTAAGAATTGTCTTTGGCTTCCTTTTGAATTATATTATTGACTCGCATGTGGGATTCCTGACAGTAAAATAAATGATATATGCAGCTTATCCATCACTGTTTGAGGTAAATAAATTAATTGAAAGGAAGAAAGCCGGGTGAAAGCGCTTTGATTTATGTATAATCAAATGTGACAGCCTTGAAGTAAGTTTTTGGATGCCATATTAAATCCAAAAGCTTTTCCTAAGCCTTGCAGTTTCATTTGAACTGTGTTGGTGCTTATCGACATTTGTGTGTGTGTGTGTATGTTCTTTAGGCTGTGGTGAACTGGGACCCAGTTGATCAAACGGTACTGGCAGATGAGCAGGTGGATGAAAATGGCCGATCCTGGAGGTCTGGCGCTCTGGTGGAGCAGAAACTGCTGACACAATGGTTCATCAAGACTACAAATTATGCCAAGGTACAGCAGTTTTGTGCGTGAGTGCATGCATACATACAAACATGCATATAGATACATGCATTTTTGTACGTATATATATATATATAGATGTAGATGTATATATGGGTGTGTGTGTGTAGACACTCTAAAAACAATCAAAGCGAGCCCTCTTATAACAGCTGCGACTGACATGTCAGTAGAAGCAACTGCAGCTCTGCCTTTCGACTTCTGCAATCAGACCCCTGGAGACCTTCATCTGCAGCCTGGCCTCTCTGCTCACCGGAAAAGGCCATCTGCAAACTTTGGGTTAGCCTGCCTTGCTGATTAGCCTTAACCTTTCAGCACAGGGGTAAGCAGACCGACTGCAGAGCGAAATGACCCCTTTTGGACCGAAAATACATTAGGACAGACCTTTCATGTATGTGACGTGCTTCACATTTCGAAGTGATTTGAGGCATGTGGGTGTGCAAGTGCTGTTTACAGGAGTGTCAAATGTGATTGCTTCATGCATGCAAACAGAAATGTATAATTTCACAGTGTTCTCCTCAACAACATAACTTGAAGTGGAAAGCCCCCAGCCATCTGTCTTTTTTTTTGCTATTGTTCTTCCAGAGCCAGACTTGTTTGTTGTTTTCTGGGTCTCCAGGATATCTAAAGATCTATCAAAGTTTTTCTTTGGGATTCCACTGGAATTACACTTTTTGTTTGACCTATTGACTGATGAATCTTTCACACGTGAAAAAAGCTCCTAATTTAAGAGATTAACTGTTGTTGTGCACACACAGGACACCGTTGCAAAGAATCAATTTTAAATTGTATCTAGGGGCTCTTTATTGCTACCAGCCTGTCACAGACACATGATTTGTCCCCACTTCTTTAGTTGAATTTCTGAAAAAGTACTAGAATAGCTTAGTTTGACAGACATGAAATGGTATTCTTGCAGCAAAAAGATGAGTCCCACAAAGCTATTAGTTGAAAACATTGCATCTCAGCATGGCGTGCAGGACAAGTGGAGAACAAAAGAGGAAATGGCAAGTCTAAAAGCTGTGTACAACAGATGAAGAATATCTAAAGGTGATCTCCTTAAGAACAGATATAAGGCCTGTGACCTTATGTCGTGGGTTTTCCTTTGAATTGGAGTTGGTGGTTAAAATTGCTTTGATTTGTGGTATATGCATTATAATTGTGATATGAGGGTTTGCTCTGCTCTTTATTTCCTTTTACTTTTAAAACTGCCTTTTCCAATCATTCTGTCCACCGGCGGCCAACAGTTCCAGCCGCGGCGCTGCAGTCGCCCATGCATGTCCGTGTCAGAGTTGTGAGTGGAGGTGGAAGCAGCCTACTGTGACAATGTGTCCCTGCATTTCTAATTTTCTCTGACGAGCAGAGAAGTGGGACGGAAGGAAGGGGGAAGGCGTTGAGGGAAAGAAGTGAGAAAACAGATGGATGAAAAAGGAGGAGCGTGTCAAGCTGGAGCGTGCCAAATATAATGTGATGCAGTTGGACTCTGATTTCCTGCTTGTGCGTTCCTTCTCCTTGTCCCTGCACGTGTCTGCCATACAACATTAACTTCAGACAATATTTACTCATTTAACTGTCGAGTAGCTTCACCTGGTGAAATGGCTGTCCGTTTCTAATAAAATTGTAATAGACGGCGTGCTGGATGCTAAATGATCAGGTGGCGGCAGCAGAGTTTTCAGTTTCAGGCACAGACACACTTGTTGCAGTCAGACTGATACTGCCGGGCCATTAAACCACATAAACATTCAAATGATTCTCTGACTACGAGCCTGGTGCATTGTTCGATGATGGCACTGCTCCAATATGAGCAAACAAGTTTTCCAGAAATAATAATTACCTTTGGTAAATTAACTGCAAACATCTTGTGAGTTAGAGGAGTCTGCATCAAATCTCTTAACCCGCCAATCAATCCGGATCCATTTTGTATTTTTTCTGTCAGAAGTGCACTTGACGTCTCATTCTTTCAAACACGCAGACTAATCGGGGGTTATTGCTGTACCATGCCTTTTCTTTCAAGCTTTTCTTTGTTGCCATGGAGACTCTTGTCTTTGCTGTACATATTTTAGTTCACCCTGCTTCTGTGCCATTGCTGTGTGTCTTTCATCCAGGATGGAAAAACCTTGTGTTTCCTCTCACTGTAAGGCCGTCTTTGGTTGTCTATCACAGCTTTGAGTTTTTCTTCCTTGCTGGTTAAGTCCTTGTTCTGATGACAGTTTTTCGGTCAGACTGGACAAATGCATAGCTGCTACACTCTGCGCTCATGCTTGTGAAGAGTGTGTTTATGTTTGTATCAATAACTGTGTGATGAGCTGGTGCATGCTGAGCCGAGACTATTGGTAATAGATTGTGACAGCCTCAAAAGGAAATGGAGAATTATAACATCTCTTTCTGCAGACCAGCTGTGGCTTTCTGGTCTGAGCCTCGTTGATATGCATAGGTTAGTTTAATCACCCAGAATAACTCTTGTGTGTGAGAATATGACATGCCAACTGTATAGGCGATTGCTTTGTTGATTTCAAGGAAAGTGGGGCAGGCTAAGGGCAGAGCTTTTGAAGATTCTGTTTGGTCTGCAGTTACTAAGATTGGAGGCATGGACTGCTTTGGAAAAATAAATAGGCTGGCCCTTGAAAGAGGCCACACTGAGCTTAAGTAATTTACATTATCTGGTACCAAAACACATTTTCTAGTCACAGTAAGATGAAATATAAGCTTTTACCACACCTATTTAAAGTCTTAAACCTGAGTGCTATTCTCTGCTTCGCTCTTACAGCCACTCCTGGATGCTCTGGAGGACCTCCCAGAGTGGTATGGGGTCAAAGCCATGCAGAAAAACTGGATTGGAGACTGCACTGGATGCTACTTTGATTTCAAACTCAAGGTGAATCTTGTACCCTCACTTCTCTGCTGACTTTTTTAAATCTTCCAATCATTCATTGAATTCCCCACCATCCAGTTTCAGGCTTTTTTATTTTTTATCAAGTGCTTCATCATTTTCCCTCTGCCTCTGTATTTAATCCATCAGTCTCCTGATGATTGTGCCCTTTAAATTCATTCACAATAGCAGGGATTTATTATCCAGAAATATGAAAATGACTGCAAAAGGAAATTTCCCCCAAACAGATGGTTATTTTGAGTTTACAAACAGTTAATCACTTTTCAAATTGTCTGGGGCAAAATTCTCCTTGACATTTATTAGATATGTTAGATGTTTCTGCAGGATGATACTCTTATTTATTAAGAAGAGCAGAATCTTTTAATTATGAATGAGTTGTTCTGAACAAAGAAGTCATAGTGTGTGTCAAAGAACCCATTATGGTTAAATACATGTTGCATATACATCGCATTTTTTAAAGTCCAAGTGCTAACTTGGTTATTGAGCTGAAAATGTATCTATTCAGTAAGAATTCTTGAAATTATTTTTAAAACTATTTTTTACAAGTTTCTAAAATCTTTAATTGGATTAAACTGAAAATTCTGAATTTGAGATGTGAATTTTGGGGATTTTACTCAAATGAGTAATAGGATTGAAACTCCTGCTCTCCGTCCGCACGCTGACGGATAATTGGATTGTGTCAGACGTTTTTACAGAAACCGGCATGTAATTGGAAAGCCAGCAGCTTTCATTAACTTCTTCATTAACTCAGCTCAACGGTGTGAGAAGTTCACATGTTCTTGTTTTGTTCAGGTGAACGGGGAAGAGACGGGGGAGACCCTGTCAGCCTACTGCTCCTCCCCAGAGGCAGTTTACGGAGCAGCCTACCTGGCCATCCTGCCCTCCCACCGACTGCTGCACGGTAGCAGCTTTTGCCGCTCCGCTCTGCAGAAAGCCTTTCAGCCGGGCAGAGGTTAGCAACTCTCCACAGCTCTAGATGCTTTGGTTGTCTACACAGGTGTATGCGTTTTGGGCTTTTTTGAGAAAATACATTTTTGCACGCGTCTCTATCAGCATCATGGTAATTACTTTTATTAAAGTGTAAGAATAACAAAGTTGATTCTTCTGCATCTGAGGAGCAGGAAACAGCGCAGAAATCTTTGTAGCACTGACTACTTAAAAAAAAAAAAAGGCTTCTGTGGAGAAGTTTTAACATGGAACCAGTGTCCTTGTTTTGTGTTATCACCTGTATGGATGTATGTTTGTGGCTTGTTTATGGGACCATGACCGCTTTACATTAACCTTGTATTTTATGTGTAGCAGCAGATCGTGGTAATTGGGATCCCCTTGAGGTGGTGGCAGCAGTGAATGGTTGCTGATAATGAGCCACTTGGGGAAAAACGGCAATGTCTCTCACACGTCTCACCTCTTGTCCACCAGACTCTCTGACTGAGGTCACAGCTCACAACCTGTTCACCAGCCACAAGGTTCCCCTGGTCATCTCTCACAGGGAGGAATTTGATGGCTATTTGGACACAGTGATTGGTGAGTTACTGGGTTACTAACATTTAGAAAAAGCCTTCATCATGTTACGCCTGCACCACGTTATGTGATGGATTCACATGTGACATTGAAGACAGTGGGTGTTTGGCTACCAGAGTAGAGGAGAAACCCAAAGTGTTGATAGCCACATGGCAAAATGCTTTGCATCCCCACAAGGAGAATTTCGTTCTTACTCTCTTCAGGATTTTAACGTTCCATCTCTGCAATCGTGTGTAACAGGTGTTCCAGACTGCAGTGAGGACGATCTGTCTGTGGCCAGAGCTCTGAATCTGAGTTGGACCACAGTGCTGAAAACCCAAGAGGATGGCACACAAACTCTGATCAACTCTGAGGAGGTCAGCACTGATGATGATTAGAACAAACTTACCCCTTGTTGATTTTTTTTATTTTATAAAGATAGAATTATCAGTCCTGCAGTGACTTTTCTTTTTTTGTTACTCATTAGTTCTCAAGCCTCACCAGAGAGCAGGCTTTTGACTCCATTACCCAAAAAGCCAGAGAGCTAAAGGTGGGCGGCCACCTTACCAGTTCCAAACTCCGGGATTGGTTGATATCCAGACAGCGGTACTGGGGCACACCCATCCCTGTGGTGCATTGTGGGACCTGTGGGTCTGTCGCAGTCCCTGAGGAGGATTTACCAGTTACTCTACCAAAGATACCCTCTTTCACAGGGAAAGGGGCGTCGCCTCTTGCAGCTGCACATGACTGGGTCAACTGCAAATGTCCAAGGTGAGAATACAGAATTAAGTTTAAAACTTTCTATTTTTCAAATTATACATCTCTGTAACACAGTTATAGTATGTTTCATCCATCCTGTTTTTGTCAACACATTTTTCTTCAATCTTTTCTAAAATGATTTGGCTTACATAAACTCTTAAATACTTGCATACATTTTTGCAAGTTTTTAAAAAAATCTGTTTTTCATCCCCCAATATTTCATTTAAACAGATGGAGTTTAGCATTATCTCAACTTATGGTGAAATTTTATTCACCCTCATATTAACCCCTATTAACTCCTCTGGTTTTGCATTGCTTTTATCGCGCCATGTAAAGCATTCAGTAGCATTATAACATTGTGATAAGATACAAACAGATTGAGCAGAAATGAATTAAAATTACGTCATAGATTTCTGTTTATGTCTGATATTGATGTGAGTCAGGAAGGAGAAAAAATAAATAGTTGTATTGCTGTGTAATTGGCTCATAAACATGTTATAACATAATTTAGCCCTTTAAAATGACTAGCTTGACAATGACAGCTTAAAGTTCTGAAATCGAAATGCCATTGTTTTCATGCATGTGTATTCAAGGTTTTTAATTTAATGTAAGCAGCGCTTTTTACAACACAAAAGACTGCAGAAAAATCTGTTGCATAAACTGATGGATAAAGATTTGAAATGTTTTTGTTGAAAATGGATGTCATGTTTTCAGTGATAAAGAGAAGAACCGTCCAGCATCTTATCAGTGCATGGATTAAACACAGCATCTGTGACAGCGTTGCACAGTATTAACTCGCAGCTACGCAGGCATCATTAATGCTGTGTGACACAGATTTTGTGTGAAACATGCTTTTTTTGTTTAAAAAAAACAAAAGGAATATACAAACCACACTCTGCACAAATTACAACAGCAGGGCTCAGCTGTTAAAGAATATTTTTTGTACTTACTATTTGTTTTTAAAGTTGAACAAAAAACTGAATGTCCTAAACAGTTGAGCTATCGTTAAAAACGCTTGGATGCTGTTTGTTTTGCAGATCAGATCTAGTCACAAAGAAACATTCCTCAAACTTTAAGTCATAACTGAGGAAGAATAATGTACAAATTATTGTCATTTGTTTAAAATGAAAGATTTAGGAAAATCTTTTCCAGATGAGCCTTAAATGACTGCTCCCACCCAGCCCATGAAGTCTATGTTCGGTTATGGGTCTTTGACTCATTTTCAGAGTGATCACCCCCCTGAGAAGCCCTTGACTCAGTCAGTGAGTCACCATTATCTCTTGAAATACAGCCAGCATTAGCACATAGCGTTGAGCTGCTTGATACTGCAATTGGGGTCCAGCATTGTTTATCTTTAGCGAAACATGAGCAGTTGGGGGAAGCTATTCTGTGTATTATGAAGTGAAAATTGAATTATGAGTAAACCCTCTCCGGAGAATGCCTCTCTTCCGTATTTCCTGTGTTTCCTCGGGAGACCGGCTTTGACAAAACTGCTGTCAGGCGAACTGAGAGGACTAACGGGTTTACGGGAACACAGAGCATTGAGAGAGAGCCTGTAAGTTGTGTAATTAATGCTGCGGTTCAGACTAGGTTGTGTGGTGTGAGTGGCATCTGTGACAGAAGCAGCGTGAGATGAGGGTGGAAGTTGTATAACCCAGCGGTGCCTGAGAGCCTCAAACTGTACATGCGCGCACACAGCCATAATTACACACACACTCACGCCACACAGCAACCCATCTCAGAAAATGCAGAATAACTACTCGTCTGGCGTCTCCAGAGTCCCCTACTGACATGGGAATTCCTCTCTGAATAAGACTAATCACAGTCAAGGCACCATGTTGATTAAAACAAAGGCCCACTCAGTCGCAGATGGCACAAGTAATCAGATTGTGTTCACTCACTTCCGCAAAGCTACTATAATTCCCCCCATCAGCAGTGATTGATGGCAACAATCGTGAAGACACCGTTATCTCCCCCCTGCCCGTCTCCCCTCCGTTGTTGAGTGTCTGTGGAAATATGTTCACTTCACTTGTCGACCATGTCCAATTAAAGTTGGAGTGGAACACGGACAGGCGGCGTGGTGAGAGATGGGCGGCAGAAACAGTTTTATCTGTCCTTGAGGAAGTCATTTCCTGTGTGCTCATCTTCTCCCCGGCCCTCTGCGGCACTGTAAATTAGCCTGCCAACTGAAGCCTGGCTCGGCTTAGCCTGATTAAAAGGGCGTGCGTGCACGTGTGGGCTCTATGCACTCGCAGGTAAACAGAGCGACCTCCTGGTTTGCACAGCACAGACACAAACGCGCTCGGCAGATAGAGGACTGTTTCCTTTTAAAAGGGGACCTTTGTGGAGAGGGCAGTAGCCTCCCCTACTGCATCTGTTTCAGAGCCTTTTGCCTTTTTCTGGCTTGTCAACGAAACACACTCACACTCATTCACACAGATTGGCTCAGATTTAGTTATCTAGTTTTACTAGAAGTTCTCCTTCGTGGCTTAAAGAGGTGTTATCCACTGACAGGACCCTGAGTGTCACCCAGTCTTATATCCAAGTGAAAGTATGAGCTCACAGTAAAAAAAAAAAAAACCCAGCCAGGCATTTGGTTGGCCTCCAGTTTCAAGTAGGAGGCAACTTTGGAAATGTTACTTGTTCTAACAGTTTTTCCTTCAATGGTTTTAAGAGGTTTCCTGGTGTTATTTCATGATGGCTTGGCTTTTTTATACTGCTGGGTTCTCATCATATGAAACAACACCTGGTTTCCAAACATTAACCTTGCTACACCTTAGCCTTGTTGCTAGGCAACACTCAGCTCTTACCTCATCATCACAGCCTTATTATAGACTGATATGGTAGGTGGTCGAGGCGTTTTTGCCTCTCATTTTATCCGTTGGTGAGCACTTTATTAAAATATTTGACTGTGAGACACCACATATCAGGCAATTAGATGGGCAGACAACACAATAACATCCCATAAAGTCCAGGGAAAAAAAACAAAAGGGTTTTCACATGTACTGTGGTGAAGCTCAGATCTTTTTTACTGTTTATCTTTCTGGGACACCGATTTCAAATCAGTTGAGACTCATTATAAACTCAAAGGCAGACGCTTTCACTGTTCCATTAAATGCTTCAAATCTGTAGCAAAAGAAGACTTTCCAAGAAGCTCTTTTCTCCCCGGTGTCTTTGTGGATGTCCTCTCCTGCACTGTGAAAATGCTGTTGGCACATTTGCACCGTGCCCTAAAAGTGTTGTTTGGCTTGGCTGAAAAAAGGGCTACAAGGTGGCATTTCCAACACAAACACCCCATCATGAGCGAGGCCTGCCAGTTTGTTCCCTGTTAGCACAGCTTGTTGGTAGGGGCACGGGAACAGAGCGGTGCTGCCAGTCTGGCTTCAGCTGGACATCTCACCGGGGACATGACCCCAGCAGCCAGATGGAGCGTGCTTACATTATCCAACTCGCAATTCTCTGACCATGAAAAACAGGGTGAATTAATTTGCTCTAATTTGTCAGCCTTTTCGTAAACGTCGTGTAACCTATGCCAACTGTTTGTGTCCGTCTCTCTGCTGCCAGATGTAAGGGCCCAGCGAGAAGGGAGACCGACACCATGGACACATTTGTGGACTCTGCTTGGTACTACTTTAGATACACAGACCCTCAAAACTCACACAGGTATGCGCAGCCAGCTTCACTCTATTTATTAGTTTAAGTCAACCAGACGTCAGCACAGCATCTGTCTGCTCGTACTTGAGCATATTCTTTCATTTTTGTTCTCATGCAGTGACTGATTTCTACATAAATGGCACAGAAGTAATTCTGTTTATTCAAATTAGAATCCAATAAAACGGATAAAAGGGAAAGTGTCAGAGGGTTCTCTTTCAGTACATGTATTCTTTGTGTAAATACAAATTTAATTGTGTCTCTCGACTCACCAACACAGGATTCACATTGACAAAAACAACTTATGCTGAAGGCACTTTTTGTGAACATCACGCTGGACCATATAATTATCCTCACTGTGTATCACCCACTCCATCTCCCACTTACCTGCTTCAAACAGTCACATTGCCTGTGTACACAGACACACATGTCCACACTCTTCCCTTAAAGTTGAATTCTCTGCCAACAGAGATTATGGAGCCATGGCTGTCACCTGCTGGGATAGTGGCGATACCTTGAGCTTAACAAAAGCGATTAATTTCCCAGTGCCCTGACCTAGCAGTAAAGCTGCTTTTAAAGGGAAGGGGACTGCTCTCTCTATTGCTTTCAGGAGCTGGACAGATTATGGCGCAATAGAAAAAGTAATTACACCATTTGTGCGTTACAGCTGGCTTTACACACACTGGGTGAAAAAATAGGAATAAGGAGCTGAAAACGTGGAAGGCAGCAAGAAAGAGGAAGGATATGAGACGATGGTGCCGCTTAGGAGTGTGTTCAGGGTTGTGTAGTCGTCCCTGGTCCCATGCTATCTAAGAGACCAAATTATTTTCAGTATTGCAAGTTAATAATTTTTTCACCCCCTGTTCAATCATCTGGAGACCCAAACAGACACGGAGGGTAGTCAGAGGCAGAGAGGTGTGAAGGAGAGGAATGACAGTGTAAAAAGTGACGCACTGAGATAGCCTGATGGAGCATCATTAATGCTGATCATCACAGGCGTCAGGTAAACCACATGCAGCTGCCCTGTAGAGATCTTGGCAGACACTTTTAGTTAACTGTTAACACGTGAGACTGCTTGTGAGTGTGAAAACAGTGAAAGAGAAGAAGCTGGATGCTGCTCCTCACCTCATGCTGTGTCAGAATCAGCCTGCCCCCTGCAGGAGGAGCATGGGAACGTCAGCCAGGGCAGACCGGTGCAGTCTTTTCTAAGATTAAAATGTGTAACCTAAAGTAAAGATTAGCTATGCTCCACACTGGGATATTGTAAGATAAACATAAATGAATAATTAGTAAATGCAGAGCAGAAATTAAAAAGATTCACATGCATAGACACAGTTAATAAACCTATGAAAATAACGAAAAAAACATGGAAAAGAGAAAGCCAAAATATCTAGTTTCGACCCCTGTGTGTTGACAGAAAAATAAATAAATCTTATGCCACTTATTTTTTATGAAATGGTACATTGAGAGACAAAAAAGAAGGCATGAACGGTGATAAGTCTGTGGATTTTTAAGGAATAAAAAAAAATTCCATATTAATGTCATCAACTTAAATCTTTTGAATGGAAAATCCTGAAAGACGGCTCAGCTCTGTTTGGTCTTTTGGCCTCTCACTCAGCTTTTATTCTTCCTTGGCAGGCCTTTCCAGCGCCACCTCGCAGACCACTGGCTGCCTGTGGACGTGTACATCGGTGGGAAGGAGCATGCTGTCATGCACTTGTACTATGCCCGCTTTCTCTGTCACTTCTGCAAGGATCAGGGCCTTGTAGCCCACAGGTTGAGTAAACTGTGCTCTGCATGTGCTTGTTTTTGACAATGCATATTGTGTGTTCAGGTTTTCTAACCTGTACTGTTTTTTTTTGTGTTTTTTTTAGGGAGCCTTTTTGGAAACTTTTGGTCCAGGGTCTGATCAAGGGCCAGACTTTCAAACTGGCAGACAGTGGCCATTACCTGAAGAGAGAAGAAATAGACTTCACAGGTACACACTACCTGAGTCGAGTGTGTGTTTGCTCATTTGGCTCATGTAACAGATGGTAGAGTAGAGGGCTTCCTTGCATATGCCCGAGCTGGAAAAAACAGCTAAAGATGGACTCACTACCATGAATAACACACTAGTTGAGACCTTCAAATTTTCCTATTATTGTCATCATGACAGTCATTGCATCCATCCATTACATACATGCATTCCTGTTTTTTTTGTAGATTTAGCAAATTCAGAGTCCAATCCAAGTGACATATTCCAAATAGAATTGGATAACAGTCAATTTATCTACTTGACACAATCAGATTATTTGCAATTTTCTTACTTTTCACACTTCCTGCTTCTTTTAGACAAGGAGCCGGTAGCCTTGAGCGGTGATCCTATCGAGGTGACGTGGGAGAAGATGAGCAAGTCCAAACACAATGGACTGGACCCCCAAGAGGTGGTTCAGCAGTACGGCGTGGACACAGTCCGTCTCTACATCCTTTACGCCGCACCGCCTGAACAAGACATCCTCTGGAATGTTAAAAGTGAGCCCAGATGCTAATGGCAAGATGTATTAAAATATTCATGAACGGGGATTAAGAATGATGCAGAGGATAGGATTTTTTCCTTTAGAGTAGACTGCTTTTATGTCAGATGCATAAAAAGAATGTGTGTTAAATGATCCTGTGCTGCTTTTTTTGTGTGTACTCACCGACTCCAGCGGATGCTCTCCCGGGTGTTCTGAGATGGCAGTCTCGGCTTTGGCAGTTGGTGACCAAGCTAAGAGGGGCACGGCAGCTTGGAGACACACCCAACCCCTCCTTGCTGAAAAAGAAGGAGGTGGCAGAGGCCAAGAATATCTGGGGGAACAAGAACTACGCGATACAGGAGGTAGCTGCTCTGCAGGCTTTGACTGGCTGTAAGCTTTGATAAGATGAAGTCTCGTGTTGATATTTTATAAAGCTGACTTATTGTAGGAGTTGTTACCAGCAGGGGTCAGCTATGGGCTCTCTTTCAAAGGCTCAATTATTTACAAAGCTCATGGTTATCTTTGTTAACGTTGCTCTCTGCTGAATTTAATTTCTCTTCTATGTATCCATGAAAATTATTTCAACCCGACATATTAGTGTGTGTCCTTCTAGCCCTTGAGACTTTTATGATTTTATTGCTTTTAAGAAACGATAAAGCCTCAATATCTCTCAGATACAAGGTACAGGATGACAGCATGATAGTAATATATCACCTATTACTCAGTTCAACAATATAAAGTCTTGTGTCCCAGCATTCATTGCAACCTGAAGCCCCCAGAGTAAAGAACACCAGTAGAAGGGGATACAAATTGATTTTAAATCCGCTATCTCTCCTTTCACACTTTATAAATAGCCTTCTTTGGCAGCCAGGTTGGATTTGCCTCCCCCCTTCCCATCAGAGCCTGAGCTTTTAAAGAACCGCAGACTCTTTGCTATAAGGCCTCAAAGCTAAAGCTGTCCTTTGATGTGTCCCACGGAAAAGTCACATCGATCAACATCCTTCTCAGGGCATTCTCTAGCGGGCTAATATTCCTACCAGGGTTAGCATGGGAATGCTTACAAATCCCCAGCTGGCACACATGATTGCAACAGGGTCGCTGCTTTAAGCTTGTCATTGTTTACTCATGATTAATCAAAGGGAGAGATACTCTGACACAGTCAGGCATTCATACATGTGACAACACAAACCATAAAGCTTAACAGATTTACTGTCTGAGGTCACCTTATTGTGGTTGTGTTTTTAGGTGACGGCTCACTTCACAGAGGACTTCCTCTTTAATGCCGCCATGTCTCGTCTAATGGGACTCACCAACACACTGAGCGTGAGCACCACCTATCCTGCCTCTAAGGAAATCTTTCACGATTTATGTTTAAAAGATTCCCACAAGAACATTTTTGACCAGCCTGTGTCTTCTTGTGCATTCAGAGTGCAACAGTGAGGGTGGTGCAGCACAGTGAGCAGTTCGAGGAAGCTCTGGCTGCCCTGGTCATAATGACGGCGCCCATGGCTCCTCACTTGGCTTCTGAACTTTGGGCAGGTTGGTGACATTCAAGCTTGTGGTATAAAATGATTGGCAGGTAGGAAAAGTGGCTGTCATCAGTCGGTGATAAAGAGAAAACATGCAGGATTTCCCTCCTCACAAGGTTCTTCTAATATGACATTTCATAATTTTACAAACATTCATAAAAAATATAACATGTGTTTAAGTAAGATTTAGAATTAAAAAGCATAGCTGCAGTTTTATTTATTTTTTCATACTTTCAAATCTAATGAAAATGCATTAAAATGAAGTTAGTTTTTCAGACACAAGAGGAACTTGTGTCTGATGAACTTTGTGTTGACACTGGATCTGACACCAGTCAACGCCCAGCAGAAAAAAACAACACAACATCAAACTTTCTGTTGTTGCTTTATTTGTAATTAACTGCATACATAAAACCAAACTTTGTTGTAGCCAGAACAACTGTCTATTAAACAAAAATGAAAAACCATGCCATCAGACGCCTTACAACAAACGAACAATGGGGAGGAAGATTCGGCGTCACTTTTCAAGCCTCGTGTGGAGGCTCGCCCTCGCACTTGCCCGGAGGACATCCCTTTATTGTTGTCAACACGCATGCACAAGATCTCTGTACACTGCTGGGAAGAGAGGGGTTTCCAGAAAAACAGCTGATAGCCAGAGTCAGGGAAGCCTGACCGATGATGACCGGGTGGGCGGACGGTGCGTGTCCTGTTTGTGCTCACGTACGGGGTTTCTTTAACAGTTCATAAACAGGACAGACAGACGAGGGACATGTGACCTCTGCTGCTCTCGGCCACGCGGGACTTGGCACTGCTGTTGGTCAGTTGTAATTTTACACACACTGTTCAGGATGGAGGAAGTTCACATCCTTCCCCTGTGCCTCCAGTAGGATGTACACTCGCTGGCTTTACTCAGTCGGGTTAGGAGGTAGAAGGGCAGCTGTGATGTTGTTTGACCTTTCGTCGGGATCTCGGGATACTTCTCTATTTGTTGTTTTTTTTTCCCACACGCTGGCAGACATGTCGTGGCAGCTATGTGACAGCACATCAGCATATCTATATTTAATCTGACAGCCGGTGTTGGAAATAATTCTCATCTTTCCCAGGTCTTTGCCAAGTGAAAAACCCCCTCAGCCCCACCCTCCAGCGGGGAGGAGACGTCCTGCACCAGTCCTGGCCGACCGTGGACCCCCAGTACCTGGAGGTGCCCGACTTTGTGGAAGTCTCTGTGTTGGTAGGATCACGCAAACAGCAGACATCTGCACCCTGTTGTGCTCATTCTTTATAGGGACATTGTATCCACATAAAAGATTAAAGATTTCTTTTCATTTCTAGTTTTCAAGTAAACACTTCAGCCTTTATTAACAGTGATATATGTTCATGTTTGCAATAGCATTCCACGTTATTTTCCCTGAAACTCTTTTCTCAAAGTTGTAAATCCATGATTCCAATTATAATCTATAATTTTCAGAAGGGCCTATGATTAGACTGTGTGCAGCCGTGTGTGTACCTGTATGTGTGTTTGTGTGTCGGGAGATCAAATGATGTGCTTTGGGGTAAATAGACAAGTTGGCCAGTCATTAAAAGCCAATAACAGAGCCGCCATGGTGCTCCTAGCTACACTTTTAGTCCCTTTTGCACTCATTCATTCTTGCCTGTAAGCTCCCAAACAGGGAGACCGTTGGTTTGGCAGCACGTGTCGTCACATTGAGCTAAAGAGTGCGCTAGCATATGTGTGTGGCATAGTTATTACTCATGTTGTGGGAGCCTAAATCTATTTACAAAGCCACATTATGGGGTCCTGCCTTCTTTTTCAAGACAGAAACCACACCCCTATGCAGAAAATTGTTTTAAAGTCAAAACATGTTTTATGGATAGGATAGGATAAGCTTTAAGTTATGACTTAGTATGGGACTAGAGAAGTGAGAGTTATATTTGGAGGAAATCTCCAGGAAATTGATCCACTCAATAATATCCTGAAAGTTATAGTTTTCGGTACAGGAAAGACTGAGAATAGTGGATGGATGTGAGTGGAAATGGGGAGGGTTAGTATGCGCATGCCTTCCAAAAGTAGCCTAATGAGTCCAGACTTCAAACCTGTCCTCACAAAGATAGTTTTACACATACAAAAGCCGAGCTCCCAGCGCTCAGTGATGATGGTGTTGGTTTTCTCTTGGACCGAGCCCTCTGTTGTGGCTTCCACAAGCCTCCCTTCTTCTAATCATGCTCTTGGGGTTTGTCCCAGAATGGAGGCCGAGGCTGAGCTGAGTGGCCTCTAAGACACACACACACACGCACCCACACACCATTAATTTGCAACCATTTCCAGAGACGTGATCGCATCCAGCGTGTGCATGCATTCACTTGCTTCTAAACACGCAGGACCTTCTAAACCCTCCCCATACCTACCACTAAGTATGTGTTTAAAAGGGTGTACTGTATATGTAGACCGGGAGGTGGAGCCTGTTATTTTGGGACCCTTGTGCTAGGAAAGAGTTTTGGTGCAATTATACATGGAAAAAAAGTTTTTCAGATTCTAGAAATCTTAATGCATAACCCTCGAAAGAACTAACGTGTAACTTTTCTCATTTGCCTTTTGTTTCACGCCGTTAGATAAATAACAAGGCCTGTGGGTCGGTGACAGTCCCTCTGCTGGTGTCCAAGGACTCTGATCAGGTCCAGCAGCTGGTGCTGGACAGCCCCGTCGGACAGAAGTTCCTGAGGGAGCGCAGCATCAAGCGAGTCATCCTGTCCCCCAGGACGGCCCTCATCAACTTCCTTGTTGATGTGTAACATTTTGTGATGACCGACAGTGAAGAGACTCGGCACAGGGAAAAAACAAAAACATTTAAATGTCATAAGAGAAAGACTGAGGGAGACTCATTGACATGTACATATTTTTAGATATTTTATTTATATTTTCCTGTTTTTATTAAAAGATTGAAGGAGCATCCTGCAGTCTCTCTGTTGTCTCTGGAAACGTCCTGACCTGACTCTTGTTAGTCAGAACCTTCTGATGTCACGCCAGAGTCCAAACTCCCCGTCAGAGTGCAGAGGTCCTTCACGTCCTCTCCTCCCTCCTGTTCTGTCGCTTTCAGCGCAGATACCTGCCACAGCCTGTCCGCTCCGCGTCTCAACCGAGTCTCACAATCACAAGCCGCCTTATCAGTGTTTGTGTACGTCTGCGTTCTCTCTTGCAGCTGCAGATTTCCTCGGAGCTCCGTAAATGGATGGTTGACTGTGGGATCAGCCCGTGAACCCTTCTGCCATCAAAAGCCGGCGGAGGTAATCTCAGAACCTCATGTGGAGGTTTTTTTTCTTTCTTTTTTCACATCTTAGTCGTACATTACTGCTCTGCTCTCCACTGCCAGAAGTGTCTGTTTGTCAGCTCTGTGTCTGGACACTTTGCCAACATGACTCAGCTGTAAGTACTGTCCTGGCACGGCCCACACGCCAAAGGCCCTGAAATGTATCTGCGTGCCCACCCACAGGCCTATCTTTAAAGCCTGTGTGAGCAAGCGGTCATCCGATATGCACGGGCATCCCGCACAGCTTCTATCTCTGATTAATCCAGAGGCTTTTTTCTTGTTCACGTCGAACATGTCCCGCAGTGTCGGCGTGTGAATGAGAAGGCTGAAATGTGCAGTTACTGTAAGGTCAGCCCCTGTTCCAGAACTTTCCCTATTTGATATAAGAGGAACAGCACATGACTGAAGTCATGCTGTCCTGTGACAATGTGTAACTGATAAGTTAGTTTCTTTATGACGCTTTGTTACCAGAAGCAATGGAAAAGCAAACAATGTTTCTACTAATCCCCCAAACCTTTTTCCATATCTGATATGTATCGCTAGCCGTCAGGTGACAGGAAAATGGCTCTCAGGAGAGACTGAATAACAGGAAGAGAGACGAGGAATGAGCAGAGGGGAGACACAACTGTGTTAACTGTTGTCTGAGTTGTCTCAAATGAGGCAAAATTTAAATCCAGGGCACAGAAAAAAAGGGACAGGCATACAGCTCATATTTTCTTTCATAAAAATCCTCGTATCTGTAAAAAAATGTTTGGTTCTTTCATGACTACTGTGTGAAATAGCTATTAGTTATATTATATTTAATCTTTAACCCATGATTTCTTTAGGGTTATTGCTTCAGAAAGTTATTCCTGCTTCCCTCAGCAACTCCTGATGTGGATCTGAACTGGTTTCGAACAATAAAGTGAAGATGCAGAGTCATTCAAAGAAGCAACAGTGCTGCTTTTTTCAGATGTGTCAGAGGAAGTCGTAGGAAGTCCCCACAAAAGTTAAAACCATGTGAAAGAAATGGATATTCCGGAACAGAAGGATCTGTGCTGTACTGATGCATTTTCTCTAATAATTAATCCTACAACCGTCTGCCTCTGCTGTCATTTAGCACTTTTTGTCAGCGCTGCAGTTGCTATGACAACTATGAATAGGCAATGGTATTGCATTGTGACTCACTTTCTCCTCAGAGCACTGTCATGGCTTTTCTTACACAAGAAATGTGCAGGACGAGTTGTCTTTGATGAAGTAAGGAAAATCACTTTGCTTCCTCTTGAGAAACTCTCAAGAAAAGCCTTAGAAACGGGTGGGGCTCACAGCAGCTCGGCCCCAGTCATCCTCTGCTACACGGTGAGTCCCTCAATTAGGCTGTGTATTTCATTGGGGGAAGCAGTAATACAGCAACTATCTTTGGGGCTGATCCAAAGGCTAGTAATTTGGATGTTCTCCATGTGACCTCATTGTTTCAAGGATAAAGCTACAATTGTATTAACATAAGACTGTTACATTCCTTGTGTGACAGGAATGCTTAAATCATCAGTTCCAGACTTAAGTGTGCTATAAAGTTTTTTATACAGGCTGTAAATGTATGAATTAATGATTTAATAAAATGCAGCCCGCTGATTTCCAAAATGACATCATTGTACCATAAAGAAGGGGCACTATTAAGGTTAGCATTTTCTGAAAATGTTAATGCTTATTAAAGGAAATGCAGTTAACAGCGAGCTATTTATGGAAAGTTCTTTTGGTTTTTATAATTCCAGGTTGAATCGCACAGGAGAAAAACTCAGCCAGCTCAGTTTTTTTTCAGAGCCACCGTCACTGGATCTTTGAATCAACTCATAGAAAGAAAGTGCACAAAAGCTGGAGCTGGTGACAGCACATGGTTTGTGTTTTCCATATGATGTCAGAAGCTGGATTCTTCAAACATAACTGGGCCAACTTTATGAGACTTGCTCATTTGTGTGGTCTATTTTGTGTCCTTCTGGTGTTATAGTGCTTTTTTTCTTTAGCACTTATCACATGCAGAGTGACTTTGTTGCAACCACATCTCTGTTGTTTCAACACGAGGAAATGCAGATCTCACCATGTTTTGGCTCCTGCTCTGTTCTTTTTAAACTGCCTTACACTCTTAAAAAGCTTGTATGATAACATCAGTTGGCATTTGAGCAACATCCCTGATGTGTTTGCCTTATAAAAGTCCAGCTGTTTTCAATAAATAGGTGTCTAAAAGCCAGATTAGCATACTGCTTAAAAAAGATACATCATCATCATCGCTGTATCCGCAGACACATGGAGCCTTACCTGCAGTATCTATGCTATCTTATATTCTGGCAGGAGAGAAGAAGCCCCATTCCTTAACCTGGATCCCCCCCCCCCTCACAATGGCACCAAGGTACCATGCTTTTTCTGTTTTCATTTTGAAACTTCCTGGTCTTGGTTACATGTGTGAAAAAGGGCTGAATGGTGTTAATTGTGTGTTGACTGCCAAAGTTTGTTGAGCAGTTAATTGAAAAAGCATATTAAAGAGTGTTAAAATGTGCTCCCCTAAACTAAGAAGTTTCATGAAATAAAAGATATCCAGAAAGTAGTTTTTTTTCATGCTTGATGGAACACTACTGAGATCAGATTGGACTATTTTATATCCATTATGCACATTTAAAGACGATTCTTACCACTGAAGATTATCCACCTGTTAAGGAATGTTAAGGTGTGGGCCAGCCTGTTCAAATAAACTAATTAAAAGTAATTAAACTAAACTCCTGATGCCCAAGTTGTTGAAGTTTTTTTTATGCGGATAAGAGACAACTGGTGGACATTTGATCGTCTAAAAAAAAAAAAGGGACTGAGTCAGCCTGCTGACATTTTTGAGGAAGGCAGGATGAGAGTGCCTATGAGCGAAAAAAAGCGGATGAAGATCTGCCCACATGTTCCGGTGACTTAAAATAGGTTCGCTGTGACCGATTCATGCTCACTTTGATAGTACGAGGTGCCTCGGACCGGGTGAGACGCGGCTGGAAAAGTGTGGCCGCTGTGCCAGATTTGCGCTCTGCGCCTTTAACAACGACCTCTCCTCCGTTTCCACTCTCAGCTGCCGACCGGCGGCCACGTAAGGCTCCCCCCGTTTCTCCCACGGCTCGATTAACCGCCGCCAACAACTTTTTGTACCGATTTTGGACGATCTCCGTACTTTTTTTTTTTCGCGCCACGGACGCGAAGTTTCGTTTGCGCTTTTTTCGCTGCGTCGCGGGCCAAGTTTTTTTTGGATGAAGGTTTCCCGCTGGGACTGTAAAGCTGGAGGAGGAGGGGGCAGGTTGTCGCGGGGTCGTCCGGGGTATCTGATCTGGGATCTGCCCTCGTTTCTCATCAGACGGACGGCGGCTGCTCCGGAGCGGAGCTGAGCTGGACGCACGGAGAGTTCCACTTCTGCACCGCGAGGGTCAGGGGGACGCAGAGGCTGGGGCCAGGACAGAAGTTTCCTACTGAACGCGGACTGTTTCTTTGTGTCAAGGCTTCGAACTTCTATTTCTCCCTGGAAGTATCAGTCTGCTAAAACGGATCTGGGATTAATCCAGCCCGTGGCGTTCCAATCGAGCCGGTTTCACTTGGTCTGGGCAGACGTGAAGCAAGTTTCAAAATGGATAAATACGAGGATCTTGGACTTGAGGCGAGTAAGTTTATAGAGGATCTAAACATGTATGAAGCATCCAGAGATGGCTTGTTTCGAATGAAGAGGGACGCGGGAAATAACCCCGACTTTGAAGAGACGAGGAAAGTTTTCGCCTCCAAAATGACAAAAATCCACATGCAGAAGCAACAGGAGGAGATGGCCAAAAGCAGCCAGGCCATCCGGATGAACGGGGGCCACAGCAGCAGCAGCACGTACTACACCAGAGACAGACCGCCCATCAACAGCTCCAGACAGCCGGGCGAGGCGTCCGCCAAACCCCCGATCCTCTCCGGGCCCGCGCCCGGGAGTCCGCTGGAGGGCCAGAGGCCCCACACGGGAGTGGGCTACGACAATAAGGACCGCTCGGAGCCGCACGCACACCCGTACGCCGACGCGTGCGCGCCCGCTCCTGGGCACTCTGGTGCGGGCGCACGGCCCCGGAGCCCCGGCAGCCCGGCGGGCCAGCCCTCCCCGTCCCTGCCGGGGATGGGTGCGTCCCTGCCGGGGATGGGTGCGTCCCTGCCGGGGATGGGTGCGTCCCTGCCGGGGCCCCAGCGCCCGCAGGCCCCCTCCGGGGTCAGCAGCCCACCGCCGCCCCCCCAGCAGCAGAGTCCGGCCTCCGGCCCCTCCGGGGAGGCCACGGGGTGGCCGGGCGAGGCCCGCCCAGACCTGATCCCCGCCTTTCCTCTGAGCGCCTTCACAGGAGGAGCTGACCTCCACGTCCAGCAGCCCCCCGCCCAGCCCGCCGTGCGTTACGTGCCGGCCGCAGCCCCTCACCCCTCCGTCGGGCTCAACGGCCCCGCGGCAGCCTCCCCTGTCCGGGCCCCGGCCGCTCCCACCCCCGGCAGCCTCTTCAGGAACACCAGCCACCCGGCGGCCGGCCCTCGGGTCATCAGCGCGGAGGCCCAGGTCCTGCCGGGCCCTCGGGTCATCAGCGCTGAGGCCCAGGTCCCTCCCGCCCCCCCGCCGGTGCTCCCGGGGCCCAACGAGCAGCCGCCCTCAGCCGCCGAGATGAAGCTGGAGGCCCTCACTAAGCGGCTGGAGAAAGAAATGGATGCCCAACCGAAGGCCGACTACTTTGGTAAGACCTCAACAAGGGGGCCTTGTGTCAGTGCGACAGAGGCTTTGAAGCCCACTGGATGACAGAGGGGACCCACCCTGCCCTTCAGAATATTAACCCACTTGTTTTGAATTTCATACTACGCGCACACACAGTCAGTCTTTGTCATCTTTCTTCTGGGTTTTCTTCAGAGACGGGAGTGTGGCTCATCTGGAGTGCATCCCGGTTGTTTTACTTTTGACGGCGTTTGTGCTCTTTGCTGATGAATTAGTTTAATTCATAAGGCAGACGGAGTTGTTGGCCTCGGAGGAATGCAGGCAGCGTCGTTTTTGATTCATAAAATCTTTTCTCTCTCTTTTTTTTATGTTTTATTATTTGGTGTCTGACTACCAGATGGCAGAGAGGAGAATGTTTTTCCTCTCGTCTCCTTACCATTTTCATTCGTCGCCTTTAGCTCAGCAGTTGGACCTTGATCTCTCCAGTGGGAGCTGCGTGGCCTTACGTCTGACTGCTCGTGAATGTGAGGAGCCCCGGCACGCATGGGAACTCCTAGTGAATAGCAACACCTGCGCCTGGTAGCGGCTGCAGATGTGGGCCGGGTTGAAAGGAATGTCCGTCATCAGCACAACATGTGCTCCCAGTTCTTGTAGCCCATGAGCTGTTCCGACTCTGGGGGGGGGGGAACAAAACACGCTTGTGTCTGGGATCGTTGAACAGACTGTAGTCATGGATCAGATCAGGAAAGATCCGGGGCTTGTTTTAGGCCAGGGGGGGCCGTTCGGCGTGTGTGTGAAGCCGGTGGCGGGCAGAGTGGGGCGCGTGTAGCGGAATTTCCTGCCGGAATGTCACGATTGCAATTTCGCAGCCTTCCTCAGCCCCCCTGCGTGCTTGTTTTGGTGTGTAAGGGAAGATGTTCTGGCATCCATCACTGTCACGACGGGGCTCATAAATAGCCCCCCAACAGGAATACGATGTGCGCACAGCAGAGCGCCGCTGGCCGGAGTTTGGCTTTAAAGTGATTCAGTCTATAGATATTTATAGGTTTTTATAGACTCATTCCCACATAGCCCACACATATAATAGTTCCTTTTAGGAGTTTCCCACCAGACCATAGCTCATTCTGAGTCATGCTTTTCATGGTAGATAAAAAAAAAACACTGGTGGAAGCTTGCTGCCTACGTAGATTCAGAACTTTTTCAGGCCTCTTTCTTAGCTCATTATCACATTTATTGACATTTTGAATATAAAACCATCATCCTGTGACTGTTTTCCAGTAGAAATGCTCATACCTGCTCCATTTGGACCCTTCACATGGCCCGCCCCTGCTCTGGGAGGGTTGGAGGTTCTGAGAAAACCAGCTCTCTGCCAAACGGCCGCACCAGGGGAACACTGAGGAATGCCTTTAAGGAATTTTGAAAATGAGGCTTTAAGATTTTAAAAGTGCTTGGGGGAGGGTGGGGTGTCCCAGACGGGGTTTTCGGGGTGCCTGTGGAGCTGCTGAATGGGCAGACAGACAGTCGGAGAGATTTAGGGTCCAGTTTGTGGATGTGTCTTTGTCCTTGGCCGCATGAGCCTAAAAGGATGTGAGTTTTACAGAGTTTGTTCAAGAGGGGAGAAGTGGTGGGACATCCCCGTCTCCAGCCTGCCCCGATCCTCTAACTCCCTCACACACACATACACACGCACACACACACACACACACACACCCACACATTCAGTGGAGCGTTTTGTGTTCAGATGGAGGATTAATTTATCCCATCTGGCTGTCTTGTGGAAAAGCGTCATTTTAACTCTGGGCTTCTGCCTGGCTGTCTCTTTTGGGATTCTTGTCAGGCACGTGAGCGTGATAACCCATTGTGCACACGTGTGTGTCTTTGTCTGTGAATGCATGGCATTCCGGAAGCTGATGGAGGTTTTATATGCTGTCAGCTCTGGGAGGTGTGTTTTTGGTTTAAAAAAAACCCCCAACAATTTCCCAAAACTGAGTGGTCTGCAGTACAGTTTGGTTAAAAAAAAAAGCAACAAGCAGCCACAGTTAATTCAGCTAGGCAGTTATGTCGGTGGCCAGGTTCAAAATGAAGTCTAACTCACTCCAGACCTCCTTACTGCTCCTTCCTTTAGCTTTATTATATGAATACTTGGGGCTAATTGGCAAACTGATAACATTACCAGCCCATGGCAGCTCCGAGCTGTAATTGGCTTCTCGGTGCCCACCTCCGGTCCGGCGCGAGTAAGCTGCACCTTGAAGCCATTATCCCAGAGAGATTCCATTAGAAAATGGGAAGAAAGAGGCAAGGCAATCTCGTTTGCTCAACGTGGAGGAGAGACGTTTGGATTACTTGAGGGGCGAGTGTCTGATAGCCGTAGAGAGGATGAGGAATTGGGGTGATGCCTTTTTAAAGAGATTTAGAAACTCTACTTGGATGTGACGCATTTCCATTAATTATGAATTTCACCTAAATTCAAGCTGGTTACGGGTTCATTTACTTGTTCTTCGTCATTTAGATTGAAAGATACAACTTTGTGGATTGTGTGACTTGGAGTTGGGCTCTCTGACTGTTTTAGGGAGCAGTTAGCTGCCATGCACAGAGTTTTGACAGCTGGGAAAGGTGAGGGGGGGGCATTCACCGCTTGGTTTGTTTAGCTTCCCTTCCCCCCACTGGAAGCCGGTCAGTCCCCTAAATAATTCTACCACTGTTTGGGAACGTGGGGCTGTGGCCAAAGGTTTTAAAAAGTTTTTTTTTTTTTTTTTTTTAAGACAGGTCGGTCGCTCTAACAGCACAGAGATTTTTTTCAGAGATCTCAGGGAGGGGAAGGGGTGTACAGTACCCTATGTGTTTCTCCTCCGACTGGGATTTTGAAAAGTATTCAGAAGACATAGTTCCTAGGCCCATGGCTTCATTTGAGAAGTTCAAGGACGATGGCTGTTTTATTTTACCCTCTTCTCCTCTTAACAGACTAGCTTACATAAGAGCAACATTCTTGTGCTTTCTAATAATATCCTTCTATTATCTGTAAATCTTCTCTCCAGCCATCGGGGTCTCTGATTATGAGTGTGCGACGGGGTGGCATGCGCAGACACTTAGCTCCACTATATATAACACAGTTGTTGATTGTATTCCCCAAAGCCTGAGAGGAGAATTGGCTAAAGGAGGTTATTTAGTGTAACAACGTGTTTTTGGAGCACGCAGCTACGTGATGTGTGGCGGATACAGTGCAAACAGAAGTCTCTTTGTCAGAGTTCTGGGAGATGCAGGGCTGGGCGGCTCTCTTCTACCGAGCACCAGTGTACAGTCTCCGGGGAGTTTTTCTATTAAAAACACTCACAAATAACCTTGTGCCCATGTATGCGCGCTCCTCCCTGTTATCGGGAAACCTGAGGCTTTGATTTGGTCCTGGGACGGTGTGGCCAGCGCCTGTGTTTGGACCGAAAGCAGATAAGTTAGATGATGACAGATGTTCTTGTGCTGTTTGGAAAGAATTCCATATTCGGCAAATCTACAATTTAAAAACGGCAACTTATTGATCGCACAGAAAGCCCAGACTGCTCAGGGAGCTGTCCAAAGTCAAAAAAGGAGGTTATGTAATCGACCTGCAGCTCTCTCATGTGATCTGCCTGAAGTACTATTCTCCATCGAACACTCAGCTAGGAAAAAAAGGACAGAAAAAGTAGTCCCTGTCAGGGGTTTGTTCATCTTAACGCAGCTTTTGATCGAAGGCGCTTTGGCCCAGATAAATGGGTGGCTTATCCCTAAGTGGACACTGGTGTCTTGATGTGGAGCCACACACAATCTGTGTGTTGTGAGAGCAGGCACACTTTGATTGCTATCAACTGCTTTGCTAACAGAACTCCGGGCTTCTGAGCCAAATCAAATAAGCACACAGAGCTATATTTCCCTCTGTAGCGAAACAGCTCGCTGAACTAGCTTCCTGAACCTTTGTGAGTTTAGATTTTCTTTTTTTTCTTCTCTGTGTCTATGAATAGTGGAGCCAATAACATTTGGTATTGTTTTTTATGGAAATTGCAGTATAATTTCATGCATGTTGATTTGATTGTCTTGATGTTGTGTTCCAGGAGTCTGCGTGAAATGTAGTAAAGCGGTTTATGGAGCCAGCCAGGCCTGCCAGGCTATGGGCAGCCTGTACCACGACACCTGCTTCACCTGTAGTGCCTGCAGTAAGTACACGCTCTCACACCCTCTTTGCTTCCTCAGTGGTGTCCCATTGGGGGAATTGATCCCGAATATGAGGCTCACGCCTTTTGCCGTAAACCCAGCTGCCTGTGCCGGTGAATGAAAGTGGCACCCTCTTCAGCCCTTTCCTTCCCCTGCACAAACAGATCATTATTGAAGGATTACTGTCATGTATTACTGTTGTTTGGTTTCTGGGTGTGCCAGTCCCCTCCTCCAGCCCACACAGAGACACAGAGAAATTGACCCTTTACCTCTATACCTCATACCTTTACGCTCTATCTGACAGTGAAGCAACATTTTGGTCAATAGATGCAGAATCACTGGTTTGAGAGGCACGTGCAGTTGACTGAGATGTTTGTTTGGGGTTACCTCTCATTTTAGAAAAGCTTTTCACAGTTAAAATTGTCATTTTCCGGTTTGTGAAACGTCTTCTATTGTTTCCAGTTGCCCCCTTTTCAAATATGCATCTGCAACTTTTTTCCCACGTTTGTTCGCCGGGTCTCTGGACATCTTTGCTGCTAAACTGATCTCTGCCAAACCATCAGTCGAAGCTGACCCGTAGCTTCATACCCAGGCAACAATGAGAATCTCTGCCCCAATTATCAGATGCCGAGTGTGTGGAGGGTGTGTGGTGCGGACCCACGCAAAGGCTCATTGTTCTGCCGCACCTTTGACCTCGCCGCTTCTGCTCTCGGATGTCTGATAATCATCTCTATTTTCCCTTACCCTCTGTGTGCGCGACACAGTGCAGATAAAAGACAGGAGCCACGGTGGCTCGGATTGAGGCTGGGGAGGGCTTACGCACCGCATACCTCTCATAGCTGGCTCCCTGTGAGGGCATTAGGGCCGCGTTTCGCTGAGAGCGGCCTCGGGGAAAAGCATCTCTTCTCGGGAGGAATGCAGGATATGGGCCCTCGGTTAGACCGAGCTCAGGGAGGACAGTAGGTGCCGTTATGTCGGCTAAGTGCAAATAAATGCAGATGCGGCGTGGACAGAGAGGCCATTCATCAGGAGCAGGGACATGCGGGTTATGCACGTCCGACGTTCAGAGCGCTTGTACAAAGCACCACGTCATTTTCTTATAGAGTTTTTACAGTACAGCTACACTTCAGATCGGAAACGAGGCTTTCTAAGCTCTAGCCTCCATTCAGCAGTATGCTCAAGGGGCAGCAGGGCATTCCCAGTGGCCAGCAGGGCTCAGCCTGTCTGGGCTCCACACTGCAGGGGGCATTTAAAGGAGCAGTCCGGCTCCGTTTTGAGATCAACCCTGGAAGAAGCTCCTGCTTTCCAAACATGTCCTACGATCTTTGGAAATCACGTAAAAGAGAATTCAGGAGGGACTGTTTCATCACCAACTAATTTTCAACTTAGACATTTATGGCGGCCTCTTTCCAACAGATGTCACGCTTCAGTGTTTTAGCAGAGAGGAGGTCCGAGTAGGAAATCAGGGTCATTTTGGATTTCTTGCGTTGTGAATGGTGTTCCACGGGGGAATCCAAAGAATGCTTTAATTAGAGAAACGGCTTTGTGTTTCCCTCTGTCCCTCAGGTGTTTTACATTTTTATGAAATCTCCAGCAGTCGCCCTTCTTTCTGCGGCTGCTGCTTTTCCGGCCACCGGTCCTGACTCCTGACTTTAATTAAGCTCTTATCTTTTCGCAAAGCTCAGAGCCTTCCCTTTCTGACTCACTTGGGGGGGGGGGAAAAGACAAGAATGTCTAGGGCAGCAATGGCCCGCCGCTCACTCTCATCCCCCTCATCTCTCCCTCTCCTTACTTTGGGGACACAGTTGGAAAAGCTTGGCAGTGATCATAGAGGCAGCTCTGGTGAAATAACGTTGTGTTACTTTGGTCAGCTCCTGATGATTATGCAATTGTGTATCGCCAGTTTGGATGGTTTAATCAGTTTATTGCACCACTGACTGAAAATAAAGAATCACAAGACGTCTGTCTTCGGCCTGAATAAAAGATAATTTAGCTAAAAAGGAATTGAGTTGATTATAAAAATTGAAATGAGGAAAGACGTGTTAAAATTACCTTGAAGCTGTATTTTCTTTTGTGACACACTGACAAAAGCAAAGCCTTTCTTTCTCTTGCGCTAGTCTTTGTTCGAAAATCCAGGTAAACAAAAACTAAGGGCCACTGTTCTCACTCTGTCCCCTTCCCTAACCTCCCCACTCAGAAAATGTGAGGAATGTTCCCTCTTCCTGTGGGACCTGGGCAAGAATAGCGATGTGAAGTGAGCATGAAGGTTTAGCGTGTGTGTGTAAGTGTGTGTTTGTGTGTGTGTGTGTGCGTGCGTCGCTAAAGAAGCCAGATCCAGAGCGTTCACAGGCAGGAAGCATACCAATCGTGTGGAAAAAACACTGGAAAGGAACAAAGAAGAAGAACTGCAGGTTATGTGGGCCTTGGCCCGTGGTTGGCCAGAGACCGAGCCGTGTTTAATCTGTTGCACCTGTCGAGAAATTGGACGTAATCGGCATTTTCCCCACTTGAGTTTGATCCAGAACCGCGCTGTATTTCACCAGAGCCTCGTCTCAGTTTCTGTAATATTCTAATAAGTCACCAGCGCACCATAGATGTACAGTTTGATTTATCTGCTTGGCGTTCAGCAGGATATGATTAATATTGCAAGAGGGCCCATTACCTTCCAACGACTGAAATTAATCACTGTGGCCCTCGCGCATTAGAGCTGGAACTATTTTCTGAGAAGGAACCAATGGCTTAGGCAGGATTTTCCACAATGACATTTTAACAATTTGTCACTTACTTACCTTTTCTTGTCTGCTTTAATCTACTTATTTTCATGTCTTAGTAATGAAAGGATCTATTCTCAGTCCCTTTGACAGTCTCAGGTGAGGAGTGACTGCATTCAGTAAGTCTGTTCCTGTTTCTGCAGGTCGAAGGCTGAGAGGGAAGGCTTTCTACTATGTTGGAGGGAAAGTTTTCTGTGAAGAGGACTTCCTGGTGAGTGGTCAATGTGCAGCCAATATTCTGTTTACCGTACCTCGGGTGGCCTCATAACCTTTGTCTGTGTTGAAACGGCCCGTTCAGCCTGAGGGCTATTCAGAAAGACTTTCCTAAATACGAGGGCTATTCCCCTCACTGAAATACCATATCAGCGGCTCACACTCCGTCAGCTTTCAACTATGACCCCATGACCCAGTTTTAGCATCCAACGCAGCCGCTTGATGTCCGTTTCCTCACGTGGGTGGAGCTAGAAGCCGGCCGGTAACTGGAGAAGGCGCTTTGCTTTAAATGGTGAGGGGCAGATAGGCCGTTCTCACCTCTTCAGTTTGACCTCGCGTGCTTTTTTCTGTTAAACACCATGAACCCATCGGCTGACATTTGCCATGTATTAGAGGAGTGTATTTTAAAGCCTGTCACTCTTGCACTGGTGTTCTCTGGAGCCCTTCTCTGTGCATCCTTACCCAGGAGCCCCCGCTGTAGAAAACCTTGTCTAACTGCCCTTTAACCCAAAAGCTCTTTGCTTCCCAATTAGAAACCAAATCACTTTGAATTAAACTGACTCTGAGTTTACCGTTTGGTGTTCTTCCAGCCCCATTAGGCCTGGAGTATACACAGCAAGTACAGACTGGGATGTTGTATTGGAGTTGAACAAAGTAAAACCCAAATCTTGGAGTCACACTACAGCAAATTTGAAATGCTCATTTTCCACAGTGTTAGGGGACGCAAAAAACCCCCACCACCCTTTTATTCCCTCATAGTTATACATAAAAGATGTTTTCAGAGGGGGGATAAAGTAATTAAAAGCCATTCGAAACACATTAAACCAACCAGAACTCTGTCGTTCATTAAAAGCCAAATTCCAGTAACATTGTGGTCTTTTTCTTTCTTTCTGCTTTTCCAGTACTCTGGTTTCCAGCAGTCTGCTGACAAGTGCAACGCATGTGGACATCTGATCATGGACATGGTAAGTGTCTGTCCCCTCTGTCCAGCTTCCTTTAGTCTTCTGAGTCAGAGCTGGACAGAACATTTGATTGGCTGTGGGGAAGGCTTGACTGCGTCTCTTCTCGACTCAAACAGGCTCTTGAAAGAAAAATGCCATCCATGACATGAAGTCCCTTTTTTATCCCGCAGACATTGTAAAGGGGATGTCTCGAGCTTTGTTGTTCCTTTTTCGTGGTAGCAGTGTAAACACATTTTAATCTCAGGACTTCAACAACAGTTCTATCCAAAGGGGATAATGACGAGCCGTCCGGTTATCCGGTGAAATGTATTTTTCTGGAACGGACTGAAGAAAAGCGAGCGATGGCTGAATGAGAAGTTAAAGGGGTGTCCCTGGCTGGTTGGTCTGTGCAGATCCTGCAGGCCCTGGGCAAGTCCTACCACCCCGGCTGTTTCCGCTGCGTGATCTGTAACGAGAGCCTGGACGGAGTGCCCTTCACTGTTGACACCGAAAACAAGATCTACTGCGTCAAAGACTACCACAGGTGAGAATGTCGTGTTAGCACAAAGGCGCAGGAAAACCCACGGACACCGACTGGAATTTGTCTTTGCCCAATGACTTGGGCCCAACACCTTGAAAGCGAGTGTCGGGTTTAACACTTTAACTTCCGCCGCGATGGCTGGATCACACTGAGAAGGCCTGACACGTGTGGCAGACACATGAGAAGTTTAATCTGGCATGACCAGGGAGGGCCGAGGGGGGTGGGGGGGCTCTCTGCTGGAGGTGTGAAAAGTGGCATGCAGCCATAGCTGCTTTGGTCCAAATCTGACAGTAGCTCTCTCAAGGAGAACAAATAAGGGCCTTTTTTTATTAAAACTGAAGGATCTTCAGAGCCCGGGCAGCAGCTCTTGATCTGAGGCTGCTGTTTTTCTTTCTGGGACAGTATGTACGGCCGTACCGAGCACGTGGCCTTTGGCTGTCTGGCAGCCCACACATGTTCTCTTAGCTGATTAAATCAGACAAACCTTATTGTGTGTACAGCGTGTGCGTTTGACTTCAAGCTCTGACCGTGTGCACTGAGAGGGCCTTTCTTTCCTCAGACATCCAGGTGCCAGCCACGTGTTCAGAAATCATAAATTCAATTAGTCCTGAACTGTTCTCGTTGGTGGTTTTTGTGGAATCCTCGGTATGAGGGGAAAGTCAGCACATATGCAAAGCTGCCGTCTCTTTAGTCCGCTCAGGTTCTGTGAATCTGGTCAAAGGACAGAAAGAGGAGAGGTGAAGCAGTTAGAAAGGTTTAAAAAAAAAAAAAAAAAAGTGAACAGTATTCTCTGTGTAGTACATTTTACTTCTAAAGCTGCACTCATTGCAGTTTGTGCGTTTTGTATATTTCAAGTGCAAACAAAGTTTTTCTTTTTCCATTTCACTCTTCCAGGGTCCTGGCGCCTAAATGTGCAGCCTGTAACCAGCCTATCCTGCCCTCAGAGGTAACACCAGCCTGCCTTTCTACCTATTCATTCAGTTTGGACTGTCAGATATTTGATGAAAATACTTAAAAAAAAAAAAATAGTGGTAGATAATGTTTCCTTGCAAAGGCATGCATTGTATTTCATAAAGATATAACAAACATTTATTCAACTAAGTGAAGTTTCTAATCATGAAATTCTAAATAAATAGATAAACAAACACATTACCCACTGTTACAGATACCACAATACTGATTTTGTCCGTATTAGTTAACCTGCTGACCGTGTAGGGTGAAGTCTGGACTTCCACCTGCTGACCACCATGTTCAAACGTTAAACTTTGTCCGTAAATGACAGGCAGTCATAATCAACTAGTAATCAAATGAAATATTTTATCTTCATAAATAAATAATGGGATTTTGTGATAAGGGTAATTGTTTTCAGGGAAGGTTAGAAAAGGATTAGCTCTCTTGGCCCACAGTTGCAAAAATTAAGAAGTGAGTCCTTAGTTGTGTCAAAGTTGATCCAAGTCGGATGAAGTCAAAGTCCCTAAGATGGATAATTCATTTCAAACGCACTGTCTGTGCAGAAGTTCAGCAGCCTCACTGTCGCACTCGTATTGCCTACAAGAGGATACTCCTCGTTTTCCAGAGGACTTTCAGTCCTTAAAGTAAAAAGAGTTTTTTCAAATGACAGACAGCTCAGTTCTATAGAAACATGTCTCATTAGCCAGCATCCCAGACAGTGCTCTCTCATTTATCTGAGAGTTTACATTGTGGATAATTGACAAAATGCTAATTTACATACAGACAAGACAGATGTAAGCTAAACCAAAGAAATAATAAGAGCAGACAACAAGCTCTTTTTTTAAATTTTCGGGATAAATTCAGACCCTCATAGACAGCTTGTGTGATAGCAGAGCACGTTTGCCCCCAAGCTGCAATGCAGGGTATTGTTCAGGAAGTTTTAATAAAAAAACCCCTACAGCATTTTACTGATTCAATATATTTTTTCTTTTGTCGGATGAAGACAACAGAACATGTTCTACTGGTTTTGGCCTCATATGAATGTGTCTACCCAAATTTTCTTGCAGGGGTCTGACGAAACCATTCGAGTTGTGTCCATGGACAAAGACTATCACGTGGAGTGTTATCACTGTGAGGTGGGTCAGTCGTCAGCTACAAAACTGAAAGTTAAGCTTGGCACGAGGACAAAATGTGCCTTAAGTGACTGAGCCATGGACCCCGTGAGCAGCTCATTTAGAGAATTGGTAATGAGTAGATCACAGATCTTAATTGCAGTCTTGGTAATTATGCAGTGCTGGGCAGAGCAAATGCTCATCATCTCAGTCCCTTTTTTTTTTCCTTCACCAAAGTCTGATTGGCAGCTGCCGAATTATATAATTTTTTCCACCTGAATAAAATCTGTGAGCCGTGAGAGGCAGCTGTGTTTGTTTTTTAACTTGGCTCTAAAGGGTGGTCCAAGAGGAGTAACCCCCTCACTTTAACATTCTCTCTCTGTCAAGTTTTTGCTATTAAAAGTGCCGGTCTTTGGAACTCCCACTGTACACCTCCAGTTCTACCAGGGGTCAAGAACAGAGTTTGAAACCCCAAGATCAAATCGGTGGTTCTCAGTCAGTGGATGAACTCATCTGTGCTCCCACCCTTTGTTGTCAGGACTGTAAGATGGAGCTGAATGATGAGGAGGGCCACCGCTGCTACCCCCTAAACGGCCATCTTCTCTGCCACGCCTGTCACTTGAAGCACATCCAGCCTGTCTGCCCCCCCTCGGTCCCCGCCGCCTCCTTCTAACCCTGGCCAAGGCGGAGGGAGACACCTGCTGGATCTGAGGGGGAACGTCCAGACCCGGGAAGCAGGAGTGGATATTTTTTTCTCAGTTCTTGTTGTAGAGGATTGACTGAATCGAAGCATCACATTCTAACGTTGTCCGATGTGTATTTATAGGCAGGGATGCGGACAAAGCCTCGCTTATGGGGAATCTTTGATGGGTGTGACCCAGCAATGAAGTATCGTCATACACCAAAGCTGAACTTTGCTGAAGTGTTTTCATATCATTATTTTTGTATAGATATCAGCTTTGGGGCCTTTGTAAATATCCTACTGCCTGCTCATTGAAGATGCTGTGTGCCTTCAGCTTCACATTTGCACTGAGACCGCAAATTGAACGGTTCGCTCCTCAATCATTTTTCAAAGGTTCTCTTATGCAAAAGATGTGAAGCCCATCCTGGACTGAGACACAAATCACTGGTACTGAGACGTTCAGTCAGAGAGGAGGTTAAAGTTGCTAGAATAATATATCAATTCTAATCTTCATTCACTCCTTACAGTACGCAGAGACTCCTCAAAGGGTCTCTGGATTAAAAAAAAACTACTTTAATCCTACAGCTGGTGTTCATTTGATGTAAAGCAATAGAGTTTGGAAAAATTTAATTTTTCTAATTTCTTCTCACATTTGATTAAGACCGTTCAGTAACAGACCTGCAGTCAGTTAACACTTTTATGTTCTTTTGTGGAGGCATTATGCAATAAATTCAACCAAATACAAACAACGCCACCAGCTCCCGTCACTGTCAGAAAATGTGCTCAGGGCTTACCAGTTCTTTCATGTAGATTTCCTTGCCCTAATCAAATCTGACAAGCGAAAGTTTTTGAGAACTTGGTCATGGTATTTTATTTTTTGTTGTTTTTGCGGTCAATAAGAAGCTGACACTCCTCACATTCTGCCTGTTGTAAGCACTTACAAATAGATCAAGGACCTTTCCTATGCACCCACGGCATTTAGCCGGTAGACCCATGCGTTTTTCTTTCATTTTCAAACATTGTATGTTTTTAAAAATATATATTTGCTTGGCCTATAATCATACCTTTTTCATATTAATCTTGATGCAATCCATGTTTTAAGTACCTTACCCACAGGCGTGGTCACCTCCTTCTGAAATACTAATTGGATTTGCAGAGTGAACCATTTTGCTGAAATATTATAGTTCATGAGTTGTGTGTACTAACTTAATACTGAAGCTGACCACCATTTGAGAACGACCGTCACGGCCAACTGTTGGCTAAGATAAAGAGAAAACATGCTTTGTGCTACTTCACTGTTCTAAAGAAAATGTTTAATAAATTACAAAGGGCCAGCTCTTGTTTTTCTCTTTAAAATCTTTCTCACTTTGGTACTGTCATTTCCCCTGTGGCCGATGATCTGCTCTGTTATTTGGACTTCATTTGAATTTAACGTTTGCTTTGTGACTATGCAGCTTGTAACTGAAACCCCTGTTCTCTGTTGCATCTGATGTATCATGAGTCTGAAGCATAATCAATCCACTTGCACAAATATTTGGACAGGTTTTCAATTTTAATATAAACCAGAGTATCTACATCTTCTTTCTTTTGGCAGATCTTCCTTAGAGTTCCTATTTGCAGAGGTTCCACTGTTGCTACCAAGATTCATGTTTGAATCTCAGATCTCCATCTGAATGCTTTTGAAAGATTTTTCCCAGAGTAAAAGAGGCGTTTATTCAACATCATTCGTCCTACATCCAGTTTTCCCGGCTGTGTGGTCTAAAATGAGTGTTAAATCCCAGCTATTGACATCATTACAATGACAGTATTACTACTAAATTACATCGTTTGTAATTGAGAATAACTGGACCGACGCTTAAAATCTGTGACGATACCAGAAAATAGAGGAGGCGTAATATTTAGAGATGGACTTGTTGTCTACTTTAATACAAAATTGGGCTCATTACCTGCCTATTTTGTTCGCCCATTGATATTATTTCTGTTGTACTTATCACATGAAAGAAATTTGGATTATCCTTATTAGCAGCACATACAATTCTCCGTAATTACTCTTATTGTCCTCCCTCACTGCACCTCTATGTCGTTCAACTCATAAAATGTACTTTATTTTCTCAAAATGACTCTGTTTTTCACACCTCACAGTGAGCTGGGGAAAAATAAAGCCCATTCAATGTTAAAATGTTCCCATTTATCCTAATCTTGATGGTGTTTCTTGTGTCAAAGTTTGTTTTGCCTGGTTAGTTGGCATTTTTTGGCTTTGATACACGCATACAGTATGACTAAGAAATGATATGTAAAGTGTAAAAAGGGATTGCATGGATTTACTAATTCTTCCATCCATTATTGTAACCGCTTATTCCTTGATTGGGTGGATTTACTAATTATAATCTGGAAATGTGCAGTACTTACATGTGGAATGTGAGCTGTGGTAGAAAAATTCACGAGGTTTTGGTCGATGTAATATTCCTGCTTTATCAAACCATGCTAGCAATGAGGAACCATTTCTGCAAAGGTGAAGCTGCAACCAGATAAATGCAGTCTTCTAAAGCTTTTAATGAACTTGTGCGGTATATGCCTCTGTCCACTAGATGGCTGCAAACATCAGTACCCACGCCCCCTTCTGAAAACCACTTTATTCTGAAAGCTATGAAACAGTGACATAGAGATATCCGGCCTACAATAAGATTGAATGTTTTCAAGTCACTTGAGCTTCAAGGAGAAACATATCAAACAGAAGTGGAAAGAAGCAAACTTCTTATTGTCATAAATGTAATAAAGCATTCAATGTTAGCAAAATTAGAGGATCTGACCCTTTAATATTGAACCATGGCACAAAGCATGGAATGGACTCCAGACCACTTGAGTGGAAGTGGACACTCAGTCTGTGCAGAGTAGGGGCATGGGCTTCATGTTAACTGCACAGGCAGACTGAGGGCTGAAAATGATTATGAATCTTGTTCCGAATTTATTTTTATGTTGCCTAGCTTGGAATGTTATCAGACACCCCTTTCAGAGACGGTGAAGGCTTTGTATCATTGTGGTATCATGTTGTTGTCTGCAGTGCACTACGGGAGCCTCGGGATCTCATTTGTTTCAACTTGTTTGTACATCTTTGATAGTTGAGCAACTATTAGCAACACGACCGCCTGGGGCCTTTCATAAATCCTTGTCCAGGCAAGTCTACACTCTGACTAGTTTTAATTATTGTTGCATGAGGAGTAATGAGATTTGTTTTGTTAATTTTTAGTTATTTGTGTTCTGGTGCTAAGTTATTATTGAGACGGCATTGACGGGTGAATATGCAGGTTTGGTGTTTCCTTTTTGTTTCTTTTTTTATTAAAAACAGTTTATTGAAAAAACAAAACAACAATATTAAAGTTGGAGACAAACGTTATGAAACATGTATGTAATGACTGTGTAGGAAACAAGCCCCGCCCACCCGGGCTACTCCCACCAATGACGGCAGCAGAGTCCTCCCTACTGTGGGCTTTGTGCACGGGCTCTGTGTGCTCCGCGGCGGAGAAAAACGTGTATTCATCCCGTGTGCTGTGACACTGACAGTGACAAACAAAGTTGGCTGCGCGGACGGAGCTCGGGGTCAACGGGAGAGCGCCTTTTTTCGCTAACGCTGCATCCAAACAGCGCCGGACAAACGAGGGGGAGTCGGACGGGGAGATGCACGCATGCATCAGCGTGTGTGTGTGTGTGTGTGTGTGCAGATATTTGGAGGCTTTCTAGGAATGAAAGCCTGCTGATGATACACACTCTGGACTCACGCGTTTGCTGGCACGGAATAATCAGCTATTTCACACATTTTTCAACGGGATCATCGAGAAAGGCATCATTTCGCTCTCCATGGTGCTCGAAAGGCAAGTGAAATCATCCCAGTGTCATTTGAGTAAGCACTGTAAATACTGAGATGATACAGCTCTGAAGTCACCCCCCTGCATGCCTTTGTTTATCAATCAGTCTGGCCTGTCTTTTCTGTCCATTTGTCAGTTAAAAACATGTTGGCAGATACTGTATATATTTACAAAAATCCATGGCAGGACCTGATTGACATTGCCTCTTATGTAAGCAGAGAAATGGACAGGATCGGGACCACCATGCAGAAGAAGGCTGCAGAACTGGAGCGACTGGCCGAAGTGCTGGTCACTGGAGAGCAGCTGAGGTGGGTTCCTTCAGTCCTCCAGGTGCCTGAGAAGAGTCCAGGTCATTGTTTGGTCACCATCAATAAACTGGCAATGTTTATGGACTGATCTGTTTTATGGCTACACTCCTTAAGCACATGGTCCCCTTGTTTGTGTCCTGGGCCCTGCATTCTCCTGAATACGGAAGTAGCCTACAGGGACATGACAGGACATGACACACCACAGAAGACAACCGGGTGTTGTCAGCATGTTGGCCAGATAGTATCCGCGACCAACCCAAGACATCAATACATAGCATTCAGCAGCAATGCTCACCACCTAGACAAGCTAACCACCATTGGGACATTGTAATGTGATTTGGTACTGTGTGACTTTTTGGACCAAAAACCCTTTTCTTTTCATGTGCTCTACTAATACAGTGCCCTTTGAGCTCCACAGGCTAACTGAACCTGCTAACCCTACCTCATTATCATGCCCTGCCCATTCAGCCTATCAGGGGAGTGTACCCATAACACTGGCAAGTGTTATTTACATGCTGTAACCTTTGACCTAGCGTATTGTATGTAAAGAGTTGTTTCATGACACTGGCATTTACTGCCCCATGACCACGGCAATGAATAGAGGCTCAGTAGGGAAGCGTGGCACCAATGACTGGAATTTCAGCCTCCAACTGAAGTGTGGGGAAAATATGTTACTGTATCATTTTTGTCCAGATGGCCGTGGAGATCGGAGGGAGATCTTTGCAGTTTTCTAGAACAATACATAGCGCTGTTGTTTTTAAGAGCCACAAAAAAGCCACACTTAAGTGAATGACAGTTAGCACATATTGCTCAGTGCAGAGTGTTCCCTTGCTTAGTTGCAGAGTGTTTCTCTTTGTATACTCTGTGTGTGTGTGTGTGTGTCCCTGGCACAGCTGTACTCTGAAGCTGCCAGCTGGCTGTGGGACTGGTGTCAGTGAACGAAGGATCTCTCGGGGTTGCTGTCCCAGAGTCCTCTAAGATGTTGCTGTTCTGGGTCAGAGTACTTGAGGTTACGACATACAAAACTTATAGCTTTAGTCTGTATGCGTTTCTGTCTGCCTGCTCCAGACTTAATTCATTCTTCAGTTTTCAGTCTTCAGTTTTCATCAATTTATATGCTGGCTACAGTTTTGACCATTGGATTTGTTTGCCCCTTAAGTTTAAATTTTTGCCACTGTAAGATCAGGTATTAAAATGTCCTGTACTATTGTCATAGATTGTTTTCAGGATGTTGTTATGAGTAAAATGAAAGCCAGTGGTAAACATCGTACCAGAGTAGGATCACCATGTTGTATTGTTTGCCTGAGCAAATTAGAATGCTGACATTAGCATTGACCTCAAAGCACTGTTGGGCTTTAACACATTTGAGTGGCTGGAGAGGGCCACTTTTGCTCTGCTCTTCTATAAAAAACATTTGACAAGCCAAAAGCTCATGCAACATGATCAATGCAGTTCCTGATACTGATACATCCCGCAATGGCGGGAGTGTTGTGCATATTTCGAGTCCCGTCATGTTTATGGCTTGTATCTCAGAGCAGATCTGTCTCTGGGACAGGACATGAGGGACAGACATCCGGGCACAGAGGCACACGCATCTGCCGTAGAAAATCTTGTGACCAGTTCATAGCTGTGAATGGAGAGATTGTTGCACCATGACCAAATGTGTTGGAAAGGGAGGCTTTGCGGATGTTTTTTTTTATTCTAGAAACTAGCTAACAGGGAGTCATTCAGAAGGGCTCCAGCTGTGATTTTTTGGTGTTGTGCTTGTCAAGCAAAGGATTTTTTTTCCCACTGTTCCTACCAATGATTTTTCAAAATGGATTAGGCTGAAACTTCCCTAAGCTGAGCGCAGGGAGAAGATGATAGAATGCTCAGTTTAGTATGTTTGCTCATCTTGTCAGAACAGTTTGGCTGGACATCATTCCTAATCTGGGATGATGCAAGCCAGCTGCACATAACCCTGTGTGAGTGAAACCGGCTAGCTGTGGGAAGGCTGGCTACGGCTGTGGTGGGCTGTGTCACAACACACAAGTTCAGGTAAAGGACACAGTGCTAGTGTAAAAAAACGTTAGGACTAACTATACAAGCATCACAGGTTTTTTGCACTGCCGCCTTTTAATATGACTAAATTGTGAATCATCCATTATTAAACCAGATCACTGATTTGCTCTAATTTTGTCATAGACTCTTAAACTAAAACCAGAAATTATTATTTTATAGATATTTATTTTAAAGACTCAAACATTTCATTTATTGCCCATAAATAGCTTAAATAGGAAGCATAGCCAAGAGTAATAGCCATTATGCATTATATCTATTTTTTCTGTCCCACAGAGTTTGACTGTTTCTCCAAAATGGTTGAAAAATTTGTTCCATGAAAATTTTGAAAGTTTGCACAGCACAGCATGTTCCTTTAATTCTGACCAACACCACACTGTCACTGTAAATTCACACCACAAATACGTATCAATCCAGAGCAGAAAAGAAACCCTGGCGAGAAGAAAAATGATCCTCCTGTTTGTCTGACGCTTGTTTATGTCCCTGTCAGGGCCGATAGTGGCCTCTCATGTGGTAAACAGAACAAAGCAAAAGTTCTCCTATTATTCCTGGAATTGTGCATCATTAACATTTCTTCTGCTTGTTTTGCTTGTTTCCAGGCTGCGCCTGCATGAGGGGAAGGTCATCAAAGATCGGAGGCACCACCTTCGAACTTACCCAAACTGTTTTGTAGCCAAGGAGCTCATTGATTGGCTGATCGAACATAAGGAAGCCTCAGACCGGGAAACAGCCATCAAGATCATGCAGAGACTCTTAGACCAGAGCATCATTCACCACGGTGAGGCTGAGCTGTGTGGGAGGTTAGACATGTGTGCAGTTTTCTGCCATGGAACCGATCCCGCTTCTGGGAAAGAGCTGTGCCTCGTAGTTGATGAGTCTTCATTTCTTCCTGCTGGTTTGGTCCCACAGTGTCTCATTACCTGCTTCACATTTGACCAGATAACAGAAAACAAAGGAACAAGTCTACCAGCTCCGTGTGTAATCAAATTAGGGGTGGGGGCTAAACAACGACGTGTCACATTTCAAATCTTTTTGACTTTTAGAATTTTGCTTTAGGCCATCAGTGGTCTCATGAGGGTCACAATAGCCATGTGTAAATTCCTCCTACAGCATGACATAGAGAATCACTATTTCTGAGCCACGAACTGTGCTGAAGTAACAACCGTGGCTCTGTTTTTCCAGTGTGTGATGAGCACCGGGAGTTCAAAGACTTGAAGCTGTTGTACCGGTTCAGAAAGGACGATGGTACCTTCCCGCTGGACAGTGAAGCCAAAGTCTTCATGAGGGGGCAGAGGATCTATGAAAAGTATGAACACACAAAGCACTCAGTCATATTTGTTTTCATTGAAATGCATTTAGGAGTGAAATGAATAACTGAATTTAGCTTTCACGCTTTAGTGAGTAGTTTTTTTGTTTTTTGGTAATGGTGTCTCATTTGATCACAACATGTTTATTCACCTCACTGTCATGAGTAACAAGGGAGAAGATCAATACCTGTCTTATTTTTGTCTGAAATGTGCTGAATGTAGCCAGCTGGGGGACAGGAAGGCTGGGAGGAGGGGGAAACAACAAGGTGTCTCAAAGTGTAGTTAAAATGTTATATACAAATGTTAAACAAGGAAACCGTCAAGGGTTGAAATATGAACTATGTTTTGTTATCATTAAGAAAATAATCAAAATCCCAAACGAATGCGTACAAGATGTAAGATTCTTCTCCATAAAGATGGATGTTGAAGCCTCTGCTGTGATCATCAATGACCTGACAGCGGCCACATTTATTTATTTCCACTTTGTTTCTCTGTGGCTTGAATTCCTTTTAAGGCTATACCTCTGTTGATTTGGTACATCAGAAAAATAACCATTAGAAATGTTTACAGAACATGTGTTTTGTTGTTGACTGACTTTCATTAGGTGAGAGTGCATAACATTTAGCTTACTTGTTTTTTATCTGCGTTAAAATCTGCCTGATCAGGGGAGTAACAAACTAGAGTGCTTTAACAAAATGTTACTTACAGCTTTTTGTTCAGAAATGAGCTGTGCTTAGAGCAGGACATCAAAAATAGTACTGCTTCTATTTGTTGTTCGTTCGTCCATTAGGCGCTCTTGGTAGTGGTGCTAATAGTTTTTGTGAAAACGCCAAAGTGTTCCAGTTCAATCTAAACACAGATTAAAGCCGTGTGTCTGTGCTTCTCCGAGCACATAAACCGTGGCACACTATTAGAAAAACAGTGTCTCTGAGGGAAGAAACACAGACACACACACACACATACAGTTATTGCATAACAGAAAGAAATACTGCAAGAGGAGACATCTGTCATGTAAGGTCTTAAAGCTATGTATTTATGTAATCACTGTGGTGCAGCCCAGTACTCTCACACATATACAGCTAACACACCTCACTTAGACTCTCTCATGCTTGTGGTTGCCTGCTTGTGAACTAGCATTGCTTTTCAGCTACATTTAAGACATAAATAACAACCCTGCATCTGTGTCTCTTGGGTGCAAAGGGTAAACATCACTCCTCCAGGGTGGAACCTTTTTTTCACTTCTTGTTTTTATAAGGTTCAGAAATATATCATTTAGTTTTCGAGATAGCAGATTGCTGATCAAATCACTGCACAACTATTATTTGTGAACTATTTTGTTCAGGGTTATAGGTTACACGAAAGCAAAAATCTCAATATTGTGCGTTATAGCAGATGGAATCAAATTGTCATGTTGTTTCATGTTTTTCATTCTATAATACGTTTTTGGACTTTCATGCAACAGAAAACAGACAATTGCAGACTTTGCACAGTCTATTTGTTGTAATTCCCATGATCAATATGGTCTCATCCCTTAAATTCAGTACAGATGATTAATTTTTATGGCCCAGTATTCCTGAGAGCACTGACCCAATTTGTTTGTCTAACATGACAGATTTTCCGTTTGACATGTGACATATCTTAACAACCATCCACTGTCTAATACTTTCTCTTTTGCTTCACCAAAGTTAAAAATAAAATTAGCTATGGAAGGACATTAGCAAAAAGAAGAATCCCCATTAGCTTATATTATTAGTGCTAATTGATAGATATGAACAATATACATATACTGAGAAAACTGGACCCATAGTTCAACATAGTTCAACAAAACTTCAGAAACTTTCACTTGTCTCTGCATGGAAATGACACTCTAGTAATACCTGTGATGTATCTTAAATATCAGATATATAAAAATAAAAACAAAAGTGAAGCAGTCACATTAAGTCAGCCCTAAAGAACTTTATTATTGTTTAGATCACTGTTTATATTGCAAAAAATGTATGAGCAGGCAGCATAAAACATAAAGTACCTTCGGCTTTCTACAAAATTATATAAAATTTTACCATTGGGAAAATAAACATCTCCTCCTTAAACAAGGACTGAGCTTTGATTTAGTCAGTTGTCAAAGGTGCACTAACAATGTTAAGTAAGCAAACCGCTGGCAGATATTGTTTTGACAGCAGTTCCTCAACCACCGAGTTGGACTTGGAGACCAGCTATAAGCATTGTTCACCATGTGCTGTGTTTGTATGTGTCTTTGAGGTTTGAAAGTTATTACCTATGTTGTGGTGATGTGTTTTTGTGTGGTGAGTACAGTCTGTGTCTGGGGGGAACTGAATTTTAACAGAAGTTACCCCTTGGTGATTTTCTTAGTTCTCTATTGAAGTCACTATTAGCTGTGATGGTGACAAGGTTCCATGATTGATAAGGCAGTTTGGGATTTATTTACTTCAATAATTTGCGACTTGTAGCCATTCAGCTAAGTTTAACTTAATGTAAATCCTTTGTTTGTGTCTCATGAGATAACCATGGTTTATGCTGGCCATTGTGGCTCTTTCATTGGAGTGGTAGCTATTAAGTTTAGTGTAATTATAAGGACTTTTCCCTATCTATTATCTGTAATGATGTTAATGAATGCTTGGTAACATCCTGAACTGTGATGTCAAAGGATAATTTAAAGTAGACATTTTGGCAGAAAGGGTAGATCAGATGTTGTGACAGCATAATGTCAGCGGCCGGTACGCCAAATGAGGTCGTCATTGGGCAAATATGAAATCAGCATTTGGTTTGAAACTCAACCCCTATCTATTGTGTTACATGGGTGGAAACTACCTAGATTGGTCTGTTTTTAATACTGTCCTAAATCCTACACATACATGTCTGTTTTTTCTTCTTGGGTTTTTAATCTCTGAGCCTTTGCCAGCTTTATAGAACCACAGCTCATAGAGGGCTTTTCTGGTGGGCTCCTCTGCAACTGCAAATTGTACGCACTTTGAATTATTGCCGACTGCATTTCTGCACTCAGGCTGTCCACCAAACTGAAGCTGTATTGTATGTTCTCATTCTGTATGTTATCTAAAGACTGAGCACTCTGAGAACAGCACACACTTTTAAATCCTAAAATCACCATCACAGAACTACTCTGTACAGTAGTTGCTCCTCATACCGCAGATTAAATGTAACATTTCCACATGAATGATGATCCCTGCAAAGCGTCTTATCGTTGTGGGAAATCATGATGATAATACAAAAAGATTACTGAGAATTAGCACAAGGTTACTGACGGAGAAACATTCACACAAAATATTTCAGGTCTCAAGCCAGAGTATCCTGAAGGATAGTGATTATAATGAGTTGCGATAAAGTTGTGATAACTATTGTCATTATGCTTTTGTTAATCTATGAGGTGTCAGTTATGGAGTGTCTGAGGCTGTCAATAAGATAAAATACTGTGGAAATAATATAGTAAAATTAATTTGTTTAAAAGTTCTTATGGAATTGAGGGATAAATCTTCCCTTTTTCATTTGCGTTGAAAGATTTAGATACGAAATGGGGAGTAACAAAACAATGAGCAACCTCAATTTTGTCTCCTGGCTTTACAATTAAATATTTTTTTGTCCTCTTTCAGGTAAGCGGGTATAGGGTTAGTGTGTGTATAATTTACATGGTAGGCATATAAATATTGGCTCTTAAGATACAATCATGGCTAATCAATTTACAGGATTTTTTAAAATGTGACTTTTTCACCTTTTTATAGGCAATGAATAACCTCAAAAAGCAAAATCAGTTTCCTTTAAAAGTGGCTTATTTAGATGAAGAGCAGTTTAAGGTTCTCCCCCTCAGTTCTTAGAAATCTCCCATACATAGTAAACACTTTGACTATCTGTTGAATAATTAAAGCCAAACCTTAAAAGAAAATCCCACATTTAGTTTCTTCCGTAAAACCGCTGACTGGACCTGGCATGGCCTTTGGGTGACCCCCTGAAGCAGGGGATCCTTCGGTTGTCTTATGCTTGTAGACATCAGTGCCTCTCGGTAGATACCTCTCAGGCTGAGTTTGGTATGCCCACTGAGCAGCTAAGTGCAGTTCCAGGTCGTGATAGCACAGGCTGTCCCACTTCAAGTTTTTGAGATCCATTCATATACTGTATTTAAATGTCAGGTGATGAATAATGCACCGTATCACTCAAGCTACTTTTATTCAAAGCGAGAGGGAAGTGTACTATGAGTGAACCCCTATGAGCAAATGTAACATGAGCTGTTTCTTGAATACATTTAAATGGATTAAAAACCTTTCTCTAGGACAGACCGGTCATGGAACACCGTGTCCACTTTCAACATTTGTTTTGTGATGTTAACTTCTAATGTAAGCCATAATGGACGATTGCTATGCTAAAACTCCCAATCCATCACAATTTGACAGCCAAAAAAGTAGACGTGAACAACTCTGGGTTTGCTCCTAGGGCCATTTTCCAATTCTATTTTTTTACTCAACGTTATGTTGAAATGTGTGTCAAATGGCTTCAACTTTAGACTAAGTTTAATGGGGGCACGGTTTCTCTCTTAACTCGTTGACCTCTAACTTTTTATTCAGATCAGTTGAGTTTCTTTTCAATTAAGAGATGTTATTTGCTGCACATAATTTAGTTTGATCTAATTGATCAAGATCTCAGTTGACCTTCAACAACACAGATGTAAGCGAGGTTTCTGCTTTTGTTTCCTGCCAAACAAAAAAGTTATGGCTGTATACATTGAATAATTCATCCATTATTATTATTATTATTACATTTGTGTTATATATATTCATTTACTTTGTTATGAGGAGTTAGACAAGGAAAATTATATTTGATGCACAGCCAATAGAAAGGTAAAGTATTCAAAATAGTCAGTTTTCCTGTTCACATCAGTGTGTGTGCCTGATCTCCAGGCAGATGCACTGCAGCAGAGCAGTCAGTGGAGACCCCGGGGCCCTGGTGCTCAGGTCTAATCTCTGCTGAGGTTAATGCAGTTTTAGAGTTGATCTGTTCCCTGTTAGACAGGCAGACTGCACTCCATTTAGCTTGGATGGATCTAATTATATAAGTAGTTGTAAAGGTTTATTAGTCTGAGGTGTAATTTAATTTTTATATATGTGTCCTTACCTTTTAGTTCTCTGTTATTTCAGTTTTTTTAATAGTCTGAACTCTTCTTGAAAATGTTTTAGTTGCTTTAATTTGTGAAATCTGTCAGCAGTGGAGTGTTTGAGCTGAGGAAGGGACAGGTCAGTGAACAACAGCAGTTCACAGTGTCTGGCTCTCTCAAGAGACATTGTCTCTGACAGCGCTTATGTGGGTTATAGTTAAAACCTGTAGGTGGTCATTTTGGTGAATGACAAAGTTAGAGTCAGCAGTTGTCTTCTTTACAGATGTGTATTACTCTTGCCACTAGAAAGGTCCAGAAGATACCAGACAATTGACTTCAGACAGTATGCATATAGTAACATGCATGACTTTATGAAACCGTATAATACCAGAGGGGAAATTTTGATTCAGTAATTTTTGCTATTTATTTAAGGTAGTTGAAATCACTATCTTCTATAAATCCAAGACTATGTCCATGAAGTCAAATGTGCATTAATCACAAATTAAGCACTACTAGACGTTTTGCTTTATGTCATTTTACAATGATACTGTATAATTTTGGTGTAAGAGATTTAAGGATTGGCAAGTATAATTTTTGGCCATCTATGTATGTGTCTGAACTACTTATATCATGCTGTTACGGTGAGGTTAAAACTAGATTTTTAGCATCCAGATTACAGAGTGTGCTCAAGTTTTTATGTATTGGAAAATCTTTCTAAAGAAATTTCCTGGTCCACAGCAAGCCAAGTTTCTTTTCACAGATGGTAAAACTAGAGTATGGGTTATGTTGTGGCTTTCAGTTATGAATAGTGGGCCATTCTTGGAAAAACCGTCTGTTTTCTTTAGTTCTTCAGTAAAGTATGGAAACATTTAAAATGTTAGATGCTAACAGTCATATGCACTTGTCTCTCATACGTGAGTAAATATGCCAAAGATATGCACCTCAAAGTTTTCTTCAGTCTCCACAAGCTAGCAACATAAAATGCTCACTGAGCATGACTTGTTCTCTGTACAGGATCATGAACACAGAGAACAACTTATTGCAGACCCGAGAGGAGGAAGGGGAGTCATTTGAGCGAGCGCTGGTGGCCTCAGAGTTCACCGACTGGCTGCTGCAGGAGGGGGAGATGCCGACCAGGGAGGAGGCCGAAAGGCTGGGCAGGCGGCTTCTTGAACATGGAATCATTCAGCACGGTGAGGACGTAGGTTTCTGTAGCACAACAAACAATCATAATCCCTAGGTTAACAATGGAAATTGAGTAAATATGAATGGGTGACTCATTGGGACTAACCCACAAAGGCTTGAAGATTTTCCGTTCATTTTTCCGCCCAAGCAGGACTTCACAACCTCTTAAAACAGCTTGACATTTTCTCTTATTGTTTTAAATAATATGTGCATGATCTCAATACAACTAAATTAATTTTCCCTCTCTGTTTGGTCTGAACACTGTCAGGTTGCTTGTTTTGAGGGAGCAAACTATGACAAACACAATGAAGATAGGTGTCTGATTCTAAACAGCTGGCAGAAATAGTTACGAGTGAAAAACTGAATATGTTTAAAACTGCTGTATCTGTTTCTGTATCTAAGTTTAAGTATCATAATTGTAATTTTCTGGTCAATTGAAAAAATCTAATGAAACTGTGCTAAATCCACCCCCTTTGTTTTTATTGCTCTTGCCTTATTTCCTCTTTTAGTTATTCTTTTCTCTGTCTGTGGCTAAACAGGACCTCGGTATGGAATTTGGTCCCACTTCCCGTTTTAACATGTGTTGCATGTAATGAATGTTTTTGATCCTTAAACCTGAGGTACTGGCATTCTACAATTAATATGCCACAGGTATGGAAGAAGAAAGAGGAATGAAAACTGTTAAAAAAAGATTTACACGTCCCCTTTTGTGCATAGCTTCCCCCACACTTTTCAGCCATTTTGTTTTGATAGACCATTGCAAAACCTTGACTGTTTTCTTTCTTTTTTCTTTTCTTTTTTTCTGCTATGTGTGGGATCGTTGTCCTGTTGATGAGCCAGTTTCAGCCTTGCTTTAGCTGTCAGACTGTCAGCTTGTCACCCTCACATTTGACTCTGGAATACTTTGGTGTACAGATGAGTTCATGATGGACTCAGTGTCTTTATGCTACCTTTAAGGCCCTCTGGCTGCTTAACAAGCCCATATCAACAATCCTCAACCTCCGTGCTTGGCAGTTGGTATGTTAATTTGCTGTGTTTTTTTTACAAGCATCGTCAAAGTTTTTTAGTAAAAAAAAATACTTTCACTATGCTTTATTAAAAAATATATATATATTATAAAATAATATTTAAATATTATTAAATAATATACACTTTGGTCTTATCTGTCCCAAGGAAATGGCTCCAGATCTCTTGTAGTTTGTATAGATGCAAAAACCCTAGACATCTTAATGTATCCTTTTTAGAGAATAGTGGCTTTCTCCTGGCAGCATATCCAAACAACACAAACATGTTTGATATTTTTGTCACTGAACTGTCACAGACCCTAACATTTAACATGCTAACTTAGGCCTCTACTCTTGTGTGGACACACTAAAATTTGGTTGAACTTGCTTCAAAGCCAACTTCTGGGAAGATTAATGATTGTGGTTATTGGTAACTTGTTCTAGTTATTTGGTAACTAGAAGAATGGTGTCTACATTGCTGTCATGTTGTATCAACACTGTCTTTTAACTTTTGTTTTTTAAAGATATAACAGTTTTCAACAAAGGCCCAGATTACAAATTTACCATGTACAAAAAGTTGATTTCGACCCTTTTGACCATTTATCTTTTTGTGAACATTTACTACAAACACAAATAGGTCAATGTGGCCTTTAGTGAGTATCTGAAGACTTGGATATAGAATCTGTATTAGTTAAAATCCTACATCCCATCACCACCCGTCTGAACTGATCTACATGGTATCTCATACTGATGGTATTTCTTGCTTTGTCTCCTTTGCTCAGCCTGAACGGGCTCTGGGCTACATTCAAGAATAAGTGCTGAGTGATAAGCATGAGGAAAATGAGACCTAAATATCACCGGCTTTCAGGAGGTCATCAGGCTGTTTTGACTTTGTGACCAGGAAACATGTCTTTCTGTTAATCTGTGGCTGCAAGTTTTAAACGTACATCTAGTTTAATTTAATTGGTTCATCGACGTGGTGAGTTCTGCTTAGGCTTTTTACAACACAGTATATAAGCAAAAATATTCAATTCAGTTCAAATCCTACTTGTTTAATTTTTTAAAAATTAGACCATTATAATTCCACTTGATTTTGGCCTCGTGAATAGGTTTTTCTTGTTACAAAAATAGTAAATGAGCAGCTTGTTTGAAGGGTGGATTTTGTCCTAATTTGTGGATAGATTTAGTCTGTGGTCAGGTTGAATCAGAAACTCATTTATTATTATGTGTTAGTCATAGGCACAGTTAGTAAGTATGGTGTGATAGTAAGCTCCGCTAATAGGGCATGTCGTTTTCTGAAAATTGTCTCACAGATGTTGTCATCCTTGTCTCGTGCAATCTGTCTCTGACCCTCACACTTGACATTTTGCTGAAAAAAGATAAGGAATAGGTTCCTATTGGGGGACCACATGACAGAAAATTAAATTTGCCTTCCGTTTCTCCAACAGCTTTAATGAAATTTGTCCATTTGCAGATACACAAATAACAATTATTATACACCTTCCCATGCCTTTATGCTGGTTGATAATACAGAAGAATAAAGCTTTATTAACCCATTAACCATTGTGCATTTCATAGGAAACGTGCAGAGTGGTACTATTTGCCAGGATTTGTAGTCGAAATAGATTTATGAACAGTGAGAAAACATGAATGGAGACACTGTTGGTCATGTGATGAAGCTATTTCTGCTCCTGCTTTTCTTCTTCTGCCTCAGTGGCTCACATCCTACAGTGGGTCAATCTGTTCTGCCTCCCCCAGCTCTCCAGAACTCTACTGTCACTGTTAAAGGAATGTGATGATTCACACACTCATGTTGTGTTATCATTTTACTTCAATGTGATACTGAGCCTGATCTTCTTGCTGCTACCCTCATTTTTTAAATGCTTATTGTGTCACGTTGATGATTTTTGGATTTTCCACTTGTGTGTCTTGCTTTACATAATTATTTTACAGGTGGTGGAATCATTTGAAATAGTATACTTTCATTGGTAATGTTTGTACAGGTTTGCGGTTCCTATAAATTCAAAATAAGGTTTAGAGCAAAGCCTCAGCTCATCTGTATTTCTGCTTCTTGCATTTTAGTGAGGTCAGACTGGCTCATTCATACCCGGAGAGATGCTAAACAAACTTCTCTGTCTTCCAGATTATGGAAGACAGAGGCTGATGCTCTCTGTGGTCTGAGTTGGTTCAGCACAGGCATCTCATGAGGATGGACCTGTTTTCTGTTGATTTCATGACCTTAATTGTTCCTGTCAGTGTTAGATCTTAGAAGCCTTCTCAGTTTTTTTTTTGCATTCCCATAATGATAAAAGGGGTAGTTTCTTATGCAGTTTAGATGTCAACTAATGTTCCTCAGCATTTAGAAAAAGATGAATTCCTTCCTTAAACTGACATTTTCTGTGTCCTTGTCCGTGTTTTTCAGTCACCAACAAGAATCACTTTGTCGACGGGCCTCTCCTTTACCAATTCAGGATGAACTTCCGGCGACGGCGGCGTCTGTTAGAGCTCCTACATGAGCGAGGCCGCAGCATCCCAGAAAGCCATGACAGCCCTTTCTGTCTCCGTAAACAACAGTCTGATGGAGGCAACACCAGCTTCCTCTCAGGTCTTTCATTAAAATCATTTATTGACATTTAAAGATGATAACTCATCATCTGGGAAGTGGTACAGGCCAAAATTAGCTCTTTCATCAAAAACGTTAGATTTGATTTAATATTCTTGCGGTGCTTTCTAAAGCCCCCATCATTATAGAGATAGGAAATTGTTCTTTTCTGAAGAGTGACATATTTGTTCTATTTGTCTTATCCTCTGTTGACGCATATATCTAAACACAGGCACACTCACATCTGGTTTCCTTGGTGGTGCCTGCCATGTACAGATAAGGATAACACTGTAAAAAAGGTTTTCTAACTGTCATCGTAACATTCTAATGTCAAAACATTGGCCAAAAACTGTAGTATTAATAACTTATGGTTTGGTAGAATTTTTAAGTGGAAAGTCTTTCAGCTTTAATAACTTTCACTATGTTTAAAGGCATTGACGTCTGACAGTTTTTGATAAGGATTAACCCAACAATCAGCAGTAATGGCTTCTCTCTGGCTCTGGAGACCTCAGTTGTCCTGAGAAGATCTAGCTGAGACATTTCCACAAACGATTACCTCATTTCTTGGTGTCTTACATTATCTCAGATAAAGCAAATGTGGAAGTCAGCTTGATATATTCAAGGGCATCAACATCTATCAACAGCTATGATATTGATAGAGGTGTAGATTTAAGAGGCTTGTTGGTCAAAACAAAAGAGAATGAATGCATTTCTGATAAAGACATTTCTGTCTGTAAAGAAAAAAATAAAACAGTTTAACCTCTTTTTTTGTGCCTCTCTTGATCAGTGAGTCCCACCAAAGAGATAAAAGTTGTGGTCGGAGCCCGGAGGAGCAGCATGAGCAGCAGCTGTGGCAGCAGTGGTTATTACAGCAGCAGTCCAACCCTCAGCAGCAGTCCACCTGTCCTCTGCAACCCGAAATCCGGTAGGAACACAGGGATGACTTTTCATTTTATCCAGTGCAAAAAGTATTAACGGTTGAACAGTCCTTTTTTCCTCTTTTCCTCTTTTTCTACAAGCAGAGGGACTTTACTTAGATTTAAATTAAATGTATCCACTTGCTTTGGTCAAAGTATGACCAAAACAGTTTGAGCATTAGAGTTAATGTTTTCATTTGTAGATACAAAATATGAGACAAAGTGTGGTATGAGCATCATTCAGTCATTCTCTTTTTGAGAAAAGTAAATTAGTGACTGCTGGATGAGAATTTGGTAAACATCATAAAGTAGGAGCAAAATAGTTTGAAGTTTCCAGACAGTTTCCAGAAAATTACAACAACAATTTAAGGTTTTACTGTATCACTGCAAATATTTGGAACCATTATTAAAATGAAACCCATTGTAACACTTTTGTTACGAATCGTCTTGGGAAGTTGATGCACCGTAAACTAATTTGTTGTCGATACAGAAGTTTCAAAACAGTTCAAGACTCCAGTTTAATTGCAAACTGGGGATGAACTTATCTTTTTTCTTTTTGTTGGATTCACAGTTACAAGTGTAAAGCCGAGGGCTTGCTCTCTAAACACAAATATGCATCTTGTTCCAAATGATTATGAGGTAAATTATTCTAAGAAAAAAGGTTTGAACCTCTGAATCTCCAATTGAATAAAAGTAGTAACCAGTTACATTTAGTTCTGCATGCTGTGTTCTAACAACTTTTAGGTTTCCCTTGATATTTGATTCAAGCTGAGTTCTTCACAGGACTGTCTTTGAACCAGCAGAATGCCCTCAGTAAAACCCACACAAAGAACAGGAAGAGGAAGGGAGACATGCACAAACACACAAATACACACACACACACACGCGCAAACACAAACAAATACTGTTGGGGGTATTTCCAACCTTCTTCTTCTTCTTCTTCTTCTTCTTCTTCTTTATAGTTAAGAATGATGTATCACACAATGGGAAGGAGGGGGAAACTGTAAAATCTTCACCGCGGACAGTACAAATACGATGAGCTTAATGTCTAGTGTTGCTGTTTTAATGTGCTTATAAAATGAAACAGATCAAAAGATTTCACCTGATGTTACCTTTCTGAAATGATGGAGAAACTGTCACATGGAAAAAGTATTAAAAGGATTAAGTTGTTTTAGATGTCTAATCAAAAAGGGATTCCAAAAGGAAATGTGACACTGAACAGAAAAAGAAAGAGGATAAAGATTTTCTCACACTTCCTTTTTTCTATCAGATTATGGAAATTGCACACAGATTGCTGGAGACACACACACACAGCAGTTACACAGAGTCCATAGGTGCTGTGAGAAGGGTGCAACACTTTTACTTATTCGTAATTTTAGATAACAGTTAAGTTATTAAATGGTGCTCTTTTAAAGTTTTAATGACGTCAATAGCTGAATGAAGCAATGTAGATGTGAAAAGACCTAATGAGAAGTACAGAGAAAAAACTAAACATGAACTGATTTTGTGGACCACCTTAACCCAGTTCAGGTTTGCTCTTAGCTTTTAGTTTTTAATTTATTTGAATGATTTCGTACAGTCATTTTCAGACATAAAAACATAACGTTAAGTTATGGAGTTATGTTGATCTGAGTGGTAGTTAAGGGAAGTTGGAGTAGTGTTTCAGGAAACAGGACTCCTTGAGGCTCTATCTGCATGTGACCAACATTCACAGAGTCTTCACATACATATGTGTGTTCACATTTTTAAGTTCAACCAATGAATGCCAGATTAGATCTTTGTCTATCAGGTTGAGTATGTGTGTACTCAACCTGGGGAATACGCAATTGGGAATACTTTCCCGATGTGTCTTTTTTTTTTAAGGAAAGGGTGCGCCTCCTGATTGGCTGCCCCACTGTCTTCCCGAACCCTGTGTGTTTATGTGTCTGTTGCTTTGTCTGATCTTGGACGGGTTGTACTGAAATGTTGAATTTCATTGTATGGATTGATTGATTCTCCATATTTTTAAGACCCTAACAATATGTGCTGGGTTGGTGGGTTTTTCTTTGCAGTTCTAAAGAGGCAAGTGAGTCCAGAGGAGCTGCAGTCACCAGGAGGGCCTTTTGTAAAGAAGACATTCACTGTAGGGAACTCTCACACGTGCTCACACACAGCGTGGACACAGTCACACTTAACCTTTCACACACATTACTTTGCAGAAGTCTTGGGACACCTCTCATTTCTTCACACGTTTCCTCTGAGGAATCGCATTTTCATGTCATCTTTAAAAATGGTCGTCAGCTACAGTTCTCTCCTGGACCTTCAGAAGGTTTCAGTCCATTTCTTTGAGAGGACCATTATATGGGCAATGCGTTTTAAAAAAAATGTTTTAAGCCATTTGTCTATGTGTTATTCAAGCATGTCAAATGGTCTGTATTCTGGGCATAAGCCAGTGTTGTATCTGCATATTGGAGAGTTTATTAAGGGTGGACTTCAAATGGCCATAAAGTTGTCCTTAAAAAACATGACTTAAAACTGGATAAGTGGACGATGAACGAAAAAGAGGAAGCCCTAAAAAATAATTCACACTATGTGATGAACAGAGAAAAGGAGAACTGGACTAAAACCACTGTTAACAAGTCTGTTGGATGGATAAATCCTCCCCAGAGCACAGACACTACATTATTGAAGTAGAGTCCGACCATTTTGACAGAGAACAGAACAAAAGGCAGCCAACATTCAAAGCTAAACTTTGGGCAGTCCTTCAAGAAGTGTGGAGAACTATTCCTGAAGACAGACAGCTAAGCTGAATTTTAAGTCTGTGTTGAACAAGGGGGTTAAAACAAATATAGAATATTATGCAGTTTCTAAGGAGGTGCTTTTGTTTCATTTGCTAGATTTTCACTGTTGTTTGCATATGTGTCACTAAACAATTTTCATGTTAAATGGGAATGAGTAAAGTAAGAAGGGGTGCGGCAAGGCTTTTGCCGAGTTCTTTACATATTTGTTATATTCTGAATATAAATCTATAGAAAACGTTTGAGACGATGGCTCTTCATCAATGATGCTTTGAAAACCGTGTTGTGAATATAATTTGTGGCATATTCAAGTGAAAAACACAGTGATTCATCAAGTTGACATGTAATCTGTAACTGTGATCTCTCAGATTGTCGGTGATGCTGTGGGCTGGGGTTTTGTGGTGCGAGGCAGTAAACCCTGTCACATCCAGGCTGTGGACCCGGGTGGACCTGCTGCAGCTGCTGGAATGAAGGTAGAAAAAGGGAGAGATTTGTGGACTCCACAAAGCACTCTTGGCCTCTTTCGTGTGTTCATTCATGTGATTAAGTGCTGAGCAAAAGAAATAAACCACCTTCAAGGTTAGATAAAAAAGAAAGGGAAACTCTTGACAGGGAAATATTAGCCTGTGGTATGTTTGCTGGAGTTTGCTCTACTCTACTGCATTGCATGTAGTCATTTGATATTTCAAAGGACTACTTTTCAATATGTAGGTTAGACCAGAATAGAAAAGCAGAACAGTTCTAGTGGCTGCAGCCTCCACGAGAAAAAAAGCCGATAGAAGCTGGAAGAGCAGCAAGAGGGTAGTGGGAAGGAAAAAGTCAAGGAGGATGAAAACAGGGTAATTGTGGCTCTGTTGCCACAGCGGGTATGATGGTATGTCAACACGACCAGCAGCAGGAATCCTGGGAATGCACAGTATAGCAACTTTAGCCTCAACACGGGGAGGGAGGATACTTGAAGAGAGAGAAAGGACTCAATGGAAAAAGCAGCGGGAGAGGAACATTAGAATTTTAATCGTAATTTGTAGCATTGGTTGATAATGATATAATAAAAAAAATAAAATAAAAAAAACATAATGAAAACTTCCGTGATAATAATATGTATGTGAGCTGGAGGTTGTGGAAAAAGTTAAATGTGGAGGAGCTGTTTTACGACACAAAAAGAGGAACCGGTCAGTGGAAATAATAAGTTCTGCATTAGCTACTGTTATCACCATGGAAATGTGTACTGTATCACAGTTCAAGTCTGTCATAAAGGTCTCATTGTCCAGTTCTTTTGTGTGGGATTAACACGCCAGAAGGCATAGTGAACTGTTTTGAAATGTTTTAGTTTAGCCTGTAAGAAGTGAGTCAAATTTAAAATTTGGGTTAGATTTGTCAGATTTATAAAAAATTTGAATTCCTGGTGTGCAGCAGTTTGTTCCAACCTCTTCGTGCTCTTACTGGAAAGCTCCTCCCTTTTCACCCCACCTGTTTAGTTTTAGTGATGTGCAATGGGTCAAGAACATAATCAAGAGGATGGAATATTGACTTTGTAAAGTGTTGGCACTTCCAGGTAAAAGGTCAAAATAGAGATGTACACCCAGGATTGCAGGTTGTAAAAGTCATTAACAAGTATATCTTTTCCCATCACACACACAAACACACCACGTAGTCTTAGCTAGAATGAATGTCAGCACTTTTCCAGGAGGAACTTCAAATTGTATGTATTTCTGCTGAAAGGTTGCGACCAGGAACATGTCTCCAGTTGTCCTAGTTTTTACAGTGTAGATAAAAAGATTCTCTCCGCCTGCATTTAAAGTATTTCACCTGTTAAACTGAAAATTTGACATGAGAAAAAAACTAAGAGTATCTTTGTGACAGTGAAGATGCACAGTCATAAAATGTCAATATCAAAAACATACAAAGGGTAGTTTGGTGTTTGGAAATCTTGCTTGTTAGGACTCTTGGAATCCTGTTGCCAAGCAACCTCTGCAATTCTGCAAGCCGCTGCCCCAGGCCAAGATCCATGGTGAATCACACTGTGAACTACAACTTGTTTTTGACTAATAAAATCCCAGCGTCATGCAAAGCTGAGCCAGCTGTGTCCAGGCTCTGGTATCAGTGTATCATACTTCCACTTGCTCAGCAAAGCTGCGCTCTTATTAATTTAAATGGAGCATATACAGTACAGACTGCTTTCAGTGTAAATGTCTAGTGATGTATGACTTGGTTCATCCATCTCCTGAGTAGTTTTTTTGTGCCCTTTCTTTACTCTGAGAGTGATTTTTAACCCTCTCAGCAGAACGAGTCATTAAGTTCAGTTGGATTTCAGCCAACACTAACAAGCCCGGAGCCTGAAAGAAGAAAAGCAGTGACAGGGGGGGCGGGTGTGTAAAGAGAGAGTTAAACAGGTTTATAGAAACTGCAAAAAAGTTCCATGAGCTGGAGTGAAGAAAGGGCACCTTTATATCTCCTGATCCATTTTCACCCTTCCCCCTTTATTTTACTGAAATATTAAGGTGGGCACCTAAAGATTTCCTGTAAAAATAATTATGGCAGATACATGAAGCATCTGCACATACGGCAGAAGTATCTTTTGAATGAGTGCTCTCGTTGTCGGTCTACGTGAAAATGCAATACTAGTTTGCATTTTCATGTGCATGTATCCTGTTTTTAGGCACCCTCCCAGCAAAGAATTAGAAACATGTACACCCACACTGATATGCCACCCAACAAAATCATCATAGTTACAGAGTTGGAAAGCTGTCAAACTTGAAAGTCTTTTTTTGGGAGGGATTATTTCTTTATTTCTCACTGTCGTTTACATTTGTCCTTTATAAACTTTTATTGTCAGTAGTTGAACCATGGAGCAACTCTGCTGTTTGTCTGTCTGTTTCCAGGTGTGTCAATTTGTGGTGTCTGTGAATGGACTGAATGTCCTCTGTCACGACTACCGGACCGTCAGCAACCTGATTCTGACCGGACCCAGAACAATCGTCATGGAAGTCATGGAGGAGGTACAAGTTTGATGAGTAAAAAACAGAAAAAAACCTTCAGATGTGTGGAACAAAAACACAGTAAAGAAAATGGGACTAGAAAGTCTGGTATGTGACGTCACAACCACATCCAGAAACATGAGAATGGATGACTTGAAACAGCTTATACTATCTCTTGTTTGAACAAGGTGGGTGATTGAGAAACAGCGTGTGCTTGAGAATAATTGACTGCACCTCCAGAGAAACTGTGCAGGCTGTTCAGGATGTTTGGTTTAACTTTGACTTTTGTGGTCAAGCTGTTCCCATGTACGCACAAAGACTGCCAATCTGAGTGAGAATGCCCTCAGTGTCCTATGTAGAGTAGGAAAAGTGCATGTCCTGTTTGTGTTTTGATCACTAGGTGTTTTGTGATCCCCAGAGTGTTAAAAGAACAAGTTATGTTATTACAAGACTAAGTCAAAGGTGAAACTGTAAAAATAGACATGAACATTTCATGGTTACATTTTATGACAACTGCCCCAGCCATGAGGTTTCTGACGTCCCCACACTGCCCTATGCTGGTCAATGGGTTTGTTGCAAGAGAAACAAACCCTACTGTAAACAGGTTCGTTTTCAGAAAATGTTTCAACTGCACAATTCTGGTGCAGCAACAGGTTTATGAAACATTATACTTTTTTTTTTTTACTAAGTGGATACAGATCAGAAATGTCAACATGTCTGGATTTCTGAGAGATGCAATGAGCAGTTTGCATGAGACTTCACCAAATAAGAGCTAAAATATGATCACATTACCAAACTCTCTCCAAAGCATTCATGTAAAACTGGCAAAGTATGCTTTGTGATTACCTTTGATACTTATACTGCTTTATATGTTGATAAGATCTGAGTAAAGACTAGAAGGAGCATGTTAGCGCTTGAACATCGAGAGATGTCAAAGAGGGCATCCATCAACGATGTTGCAAGGTTTTGAAATTTGATCTACATTTATCCTGATCCGCTCCAGAATATCAGGTTCTTTCTTTATTCAGACCGCAAGTCTAAGTTAATGAAATTGATCTTGATAATGATAACCTAAAATTGCAACAAAAAAAAGAAAAAAAAAAGGAAAAACTGTCACATAACGTGTTTGGCAGAAGTTAAAACATTGTTATTTGATAAAAGTACTTATGCAGGTACATAATTTCTGTAAAACAAGCTACAGAAAACAAATGCTATGATGTACCTCTCCTTCTTAAACTGTTTTAGAGCATGTTTCAGATGGAGAATCACACGTGCAGTAGGTACACATCCACTGTGTTATTTGATTTGTTTTTTCTTTTTGTGTTTTATCCCTACTATTAAAACAATGGCCTCATGTAACATCTTTGTCCAGCCATGATTTTTTTTTTACATGCCTTTTTTTCTCTCAAGACTTTTCTGCCAAGTATAAACTTATCCAAATAAAAAGTCCACTTTTGCCACACAGTATTAAAACACCTTCTCTTTTCAAACTCACGTCCCAAGGCCACTGAAGAAGCACAGATTTCTACATTTAATTTCCTCCTTTTGGCACATTTGGGTTTAAATGCTCTAAACCATAAACTAAAATGACCAGATGCAAGATAACTTTTTCTTAAATATGTAAGACTTTAGGTTAAATGACTCTTGAAAAGAGAACGTCTTTGAAAGAAAGAAGGTTTGGCATTGAAACAAATGGATCAGCCTACAAAATAACATATTCGACTGTATGTTTATAAACTATACTATCACATGTTTAATGATAAAACTTAAATCTACTTAAACATAATTTAGATTAAGTAAAACCAATGGATTTTCAAACTGCTCATAAATGAAGTCTGTGATTTAGATTTTTGTTGTAGGTAAAACTATAGAAAGTAATAAGTACTTAGTTTAGATCTAAAGTAAAATTGTAATAGAGAAACCGAACTAAAACAGTGAAATGAACTTGTGCGGTTTCCAAATGGGGCTCATTTGTTGTTTCCTGATGCTTTATTCTCATAGGCAGAGAAATGCATGGATACTGTAAATAGCTTCATATGTAGCTCTTTTAATCCAGAAAACTTCCTTCGTATCTTGACTAATAGGACTGATTAATCTGATAAATCATTTTAGATATAAAGCTGCTTTAAGTCATTAAAAATATTCGGTTGTACATCTTATAAGACGGTGATAATATCCTCTGCTGAGCATATTGTTCATGTTGCTGAACTCATGAATCCACTGATGTTTACAGAATATATCATACAGTATTCCAAACTCAAGGAGACTTTTTCAAATGTTTACTGTGCACAAAGAAAGAAATAAACATTTTAGATTTCATACCTCTTCAATAGCTGATAAAATGTTTGTACGACGCCATATAACACATTTTTACTGTAGATGTTATTAGTTAATTGTAGTTCATATTGACACTTGACATTGATTTTCTCTGTTTTCTTGATTCAAAACTCTTTCTTTTTGCAGTTTTTGAATCATTTTGTACTCTTTTTAACTGTGTGGAAACAATCTGGATGGAGACTCTTCACATCATGCAGATGATGTCTGATACAAGTTTTTTTTGGGAGAGTATAAAAGGTGATGATGGACATTTATAGTTTGTGGGGTGTTGTTGTGTTGGGTTGCTGTCTGCAGGTTCCCTGACTGTCTAACTGAAAGTGTTTGCCTTAAGCTCTCATTTTGCTGCTAATCACAGTTGGTGGACCCATGATTTTTCTTCTTCAAAATTAAAATAGCTTATTGTTCTTTTAATTTAGCTGACAATCATTGTTTTAAAGCTATTACCTTCTAATAGCTCAACATAAAAAAGCAGCTTTCTGACAGAATGTATGTCTGCCTTCTTCAGGATTGTACTGTTGACTCTTCAACTTAAATGACTCCTAAATATAAAGGGACTAGGGTGAGAGATGTTGTTTTTAAGCCAAGCTCACAGTACCAGTATGTATCATTATGATGTTCATATGTATTAAAAAGTTAAGTGTTTAATAAAAACCTGACCTGAGTCTTGAATTGTGGTTGCTTTTGGATAATTTCTTTTTCCCACTGAACAAAAACTCATGTGTTTTAGATTAGGCCTATTATATGTTATTCTGTGTAAATGTTCAGGGTGTCAGGAAGCTATAATAAGCAGTAAAAATCCCCCACTTTGGTTTTGGGGAAGAAAGGATGTTTTAATCAGTAAAGTAGTTGAGTTAAAAGCTGAGTAGACGACTGACAGAAGCTTAATGACCCATCACTGCAATGGAAGTCACATGATTTTTATGTGTGAAAAATTGCAATAAATTCTCTAGAAAACTGAGTTGGCTCTTTATACTGTGCAAACACAGGGTGCAGTTTTTTACTGTTGCTTTTTGCACAGAGCTACTGACATTGATTAATTACTTTATAAATTCCAGCTCAACAAATGAGTCATCTGCCACCATCTATCCAGGATGATTCAGATGTTGTAAACATGTTACTTTGCCTTTAAGGCCCACTGAATGTACAGCAAGTGGTTTAAATGTATTTGTTTCCTGTTTGGGCTTTTGTTTTGATTTTATGTAGTTCATATGAAGTTAACGACAAAGTAACTTATAAAAGAACTGATACAGAATGAACAAATGGACACTGCAGCATGCAAAACTATTGTCACTCCTGATCGAAATCCCTGCTATTGAGTATAACTCACCAGGTAAGAGACAATCTTGAATATAAGTATTGAAGATGATTTCTTTATTGATTAAGGGAAAGAAAAACGTTCCGCATTTAATAACAGTTTAGAATCTTTTGTTTTTCTTTCTTTTCTATCTGCAAAAGGCTGCTAGCTCCATGAGATACATGGAAGGTCTTGAGTTTAATGATATCTTTTAGTCTTGCTCCAGCATTTTGACCTTCTGAAACAAATTGACATTTAAAGAGAACATAGTAAAACAACAAGTGCAGCAGAAAAAAGTCATTTGTATCTTATGCCAATTTATCTTGTCACTGCATCATTTGCTTGTATTTTTATATTGCAAATTCTTAGGGAATTCATAAATAAAACTGACAACGCCTTGATCATGGTTGTTCACTCTCCTGATGTGCTTCCACTCATCTGCCAGAAGGTGGCAATCTTTTTCCACCCTCACATTTAGCATAAACTGCAGATTCATGTCCAGCTTTATTTCTCCAAGTTTTTCATTTTGAAAAGTTAATGAATTTCAAGGGACAATTGTACCGCACCCCATTAAAAATAATTCCATCTTTACTATATGTGGATATAAAAGCATGGCTGACATTCTTTTTAATTGCTGTTGTTTGATTTCTGGTTCTTCATTTTCCATCTCTTTCTTCAATCACTCTTACCTCATTATTCTTTACGTGCTTGCGCATCGTAATGACTTTACTCACTGCTCATGAAGATAATCCTCCAAACTGTCTGAGTCCTCTGCTAAATATTTCATCAGTTGTTTCTGATTTCTCATTTTCACTCCACACCTATTTGACATTCTCCACGCGTTATCATAGAGGTGTTCATGTTTGGTGTAGGACTGAGTTTACCATAAAGTGTGATGAATATTAAACTAAATGAATATTTCCCCCTATTGGGATCCAGCAGGTAATTGCTTCAGGATGATATAGAACAACTTATGTGTTGTAGAAAGAAGCTACCACAAGAACATTTAAGCGTAATTCAACCTCTGTGTTGTCTCATAGGCTTTCACGTCAGGCATAATAATTCGATTTCATACATGGGTATCATGATATTGTTTTTAGTGATACTTAGTGGTGTGTCTGGGTGGTCAGCTTTATAGCGCAACCCAGGTTTTTTAAATTCTAACTATGAACCCGTTCACATATAAGGCTGTGTTTGCACCGGGTGAACGATCCTTAACACTGATCCAGGGCCACGCATCCCTCACAAGCAAGAGCTTTTGGCTTGCAGTCGTCAAAGCTAGCTTTCTGCAACTAATACACGCAGTGGCAAGGTGAGGGCTTATCTCACACCCTCAAAGACCAGGAAAAAAGTTAGCCCTTTTTTTATACCTCTTGTCTACAGCTGCACTACATGTTGGATTAGATCAGTCTTGTTTGTGTTTGCCAAGATCAGCAGCTTGCCTATTGATTGGCTGAAATAAAAATGGATACACAACTGCTGTCCGAGCAAACGTCTTTGCAGGCCCAGTTTCTGTTTCTTGTTTTGAATTAAAATTGTTCTGCCGACTTCTAAAGTTTGAACTAAATTAACTTTTTTAAACTGATTCTCAACACATTGACACTCTTACGAGAGCTCTGGGTCAACTCCAAGATCTGAAGCACACAGGTGATCTATCTTTTTTCTCTAGCCATTAACTTTATGGGGCACATTCTGCTTCACATAGTCACCTTTAAGACATACGTCAGATTCAAATAGCTGTCTAAGACTACATTTGTATTTGTACAGCTATCATAATTCATGATTTTTTTATTCCTTTTACTTACACATTTAGAATGTATTGAATGTCATTGCATTGTTGTGTTAAGTAGTGAAATGCATTTGACAGTAAAGTTTTTTTTTAAGCTAAGCATGCGTTATAAATATGTTGTTAATAACCACCATTCTTTCATTTGAGCATTTGAGTGGGGAATATTCTAATGAAAGAATACAAAACAATTACATAGAAAGTCTGAGTACCAAGTGGCTCTTTTTAAAAACCCATCTCTTTCTTGTGTGAAGGTGTTAATGACGATAAGTTGTTATAAATGTAAAAAATGACCTTTTCCATGGGAAGAAAAACGAAGCAATGACAGTTCTCTTATCTGCTGTATTTTACCCTGTTTTGGGGAAAGTGGGAACGTTTATATGATTTTTATAAGACCTGAGCATGAGGAAAAGAGCCAATGATCTTTATTCTTAAAGTATACTATGAACAAGAGCAAAGTAGGCTTAGATGCTAATCCACTCCAGCTACCACTGAATGAGGGGGAGGGGTAGACAGGTCACCGGTCCATCACAGGGCAAACAGACATGCATGTTCAGGGAAGGACATGCAAGCGCCACACAGAAAGGTCCTGGGCAGGTATCTTATATTTTAATCAATATCTTCTTTAGATAAGCCATTTAAAAAAATCATGCACCATTTATTAAATGAGGGAAAGCAATGTTTAACCATTCTATGAGCTTTAAAAGACTCAGAAGAGTACAAACCCCATCCCTGTGTTCTGTTTTCATGTTCTTTCTTTCCCCCCTACACTTGACAGCAGGTAAGATTTACTCCCCCCATCCTCAGGACATTAAAACCTTGAAGCTGCCTCACTAAAACTGTCTTCACACCTGCATTGCCTCCCTGAAACTTTCCAGGCATATACAGAAGGATTTGTATGGGAGAGAACTAAGTTTTGCAACATAAATAGCAGACCGAATCGACCAAAGACAGGCAGTGAGTCACTTTATTCCAATAATTGACTGACCACCTCTTTTATTTCCCTTTTACCAAATAAAACAACCACAGTCTACTTCACAAATTTATAGACATGGTCACAAACCAGTTTTCACGTTGCCTCCCACATATATTTGTCCAGCAACCTGTGAATGTTGGTATTCAGTACAGAGGAAATTAAAGCCACAAAGCCCAGAGCCAAAGCCTGCTGGGCTTTTTCTATAGGAAAAGATAAAGACAAATACTATCAGGGTGTACAGCATCTAAACTAGTGATTTAGTCCATCATAAGAAATGGCTTTTTATGGTATGAATCAGCAAGATTCAGTGTTTGATCTGTTTTATAACAAATGTATATCAAACTAGAACAAATGTTTCGAGGGCTGTTGAGCACGGTTTTATTGTTTTTCAGAAACCCTTCAAGTATAATTTCCAACTGACATGCTGTAGCTCTGAGTACAGACACAAAGCCGAAGTCCAACTGGGACTGACGCACATGCTCAGAGAAGCCTGGGATACAACTGTCACTGTACGGGTTTGAAAGCCCAGTTGTTCCAATTAAAGTTACAGAAATTCAGGTAACTCAAAGCCTCTCATGTGATTGCAGCAGCAGCTAAAATAAGAAATTTTAAAGTAGATTTAAGACGCATTGAAATCAGCTGGATTAGGCTTTGGTTTAAAAGACAAGCTTGTTGATTCCTCTGCTTTTCTTTTCTTCTCTTTAAAGTGGCTAAATTATCTGATACAAAATGTTTCCACTGGCGATATTCAGGGATCTTCTCTCCAGTTTCAGTTTTCTGCCTGCTCTTGCATGCAACAGGAACTTGAGGTCATTGGTTGCTATTTCTCTGAGGATTAACAATCCTCCTCTCTCAATACATTGTGTGTTTCCTAATAAATAAAAAATGGTTTCAGGCTGTCAGTGTGTTCAACTAACCTATTTTTTTTCATTCTTTTTTTGGTAATATCGATACTTGCCACGTCATGACAGAGCCAAGCGAGTAAAAGATAGCAGAATTCTCTGGAGCTTTGTAAAAAGCTTGTTGTTTTTTACT